CGCCCGGAAGGAGGAGGACTGCAAGGAGTACGTCGCTGCTGTGCTCAAGCACATCGAGAACAAGAACCTCATGCCACCTCTTCTTGGTATGTGGAACGGGATGGCTAGACAGGCTTTGGACAGTCAGGGGCTCTGTGGAAGGTGCCCTTCGACTCTCCTTAGGGGGCTGTTGGTTCCTGTCTTTTATTTCCCCTCCAACTCCATTTTTAGTGGTGCAGACCCTGGCCCACAACTCTACGGCCACCCTGTCGGTTATCAGAGACTACTTGGTGCAGAAATTGCAGAAACAGAGCCAGCAGATTGCACAAGACGAGCTGCGGGTGCGACGGTACCGAGAGGAGACCACCCGCATCCGCCAGGAGATCCAAGAACTCAAGGCGAGGTACCAGTCTGAGCATACGGAGGGTTTCGGGGCGGACGTGGTCTTCACAGGACCACTTTTCCTAGATACAGGATTAGATGAGTGTATGGCAGCAGTTCTGTTCCTTTTTCTTTTCATTTTTTTGTAGTACTGAGGATTGACCAAGGACCTCATGCATGTAAAGCACATGTTGCTCACTGAGCTTCGCCCTCAGCTCTCACTATTTTTGATTGTTTTCTTTGAAACAGGGTCTTGCTCTGTAGTCCAGCATGGCCGTGAACTCACTATGTAGCCCAGGCTGGCCTCAAACTCATTGCCAATCCTCCTGCCTCAGCCTCCCAAGTGCTATCATTAGTCGTGTGCCACCACGCCTGGCGCATGACTCTTCTAAACACATTCTGAGTGTGGTTGGAAGCCATTTTGAAATGAGAAAAATTTAGCTTTGGAATAAATGCAGAAAGCAGATAATTTAGATTTATTTATGGTACAAATAAAGCCTGTATTAAGTTGTAAGCAACTACTGGGAACAGCACAGAGAAGAAATGTGTAGTGACTGGCTGCAGCTGTAGATGTTCCGGGGGGAAGGACGGTGAGAGGACAAGAAAAGGAAGAGACAAACGCTGCGGGCAGGAGGAGTCCACTGTCCGGCTGGGCGAGAAGGAGCTGCCCGCCATGGCAGCATGTCTGCTTACACACTCCATTTACTCTGAAGACGGTCAGTTTCAAACCTGCTGCCTGGCACCTTGTCTGCCAGGCCGGCCTGGGCCCTTTGCCTTCTTGGAGCTGGAACAGCTGCTTCAGGGGGCTTGTTTGGGGCTGTGTCTTCAGTGCTGGTCTTGCTTTAGCCACACACATGTGATCAATGTCCAGCTTCAGTGGCTGTGTACAGAAACCCTGCTTTGGACTGGGGTAGAGCTCAGTGAGTGATACAGCACTTGCCTAGCAAGAACTGGCCTCTGTCTTCTCTCCCCAGTAACCCACACATACAAACACCCTCAAAGTTGTTTTCTTGGCACTCACATCATGGAGGGAAATAAAAACAGTAAACACCTTAAACAAGCGAACCACTAGTGTGTCAGTGATAAGTTCTGCGAGATTACCTGGGTAGGCTGAGAGGTAGGGGTTCACAGCTGGGGGCAGGTGCTGTGGCTTGAATCAGGGCCCAGCATACGCTCAGCAAGCACTGTAGTGCTGAGCTGTGGCTCCAGCCACCACCCTCTTCCTCTTTTTTCTACAATCGAAGCCTACAGTTTTGGACAAGGAAGGCAGGGAAGACCTCGCTGTAACGGGAAACACTGCAGAGGGAATTTAGTGGCAGTTGTGACACATGAAAGAGGGAATCTATCCCCCTGGGTTACTTGTGCTTCCTGAAACTCACTGGAGACCTAAGGGTGCCGTCTTATTTGACTCCCGTTAGGTGATAAGAGCAGGTGGGGCCTGGGCCCCTCCACAGGCCCTGTCCTCCTCCATGCCAGCCGCCTCTGTCTCCTGACTTCTAAGCCCTGTCTTCCCTCTTTACCACTCATTTCTGATGTCCCTTGCCTCTAGTCCAAAGATTTTCCAGAAGACCAAGTGCAGCATCTGTAACAGTGCCTTGGAGTTACCCTCTGTCCACTTCCTGTGTGGCCACTCCTTTCACCAGCACTGCTTTGAGAGTTACTCAGAAAGTGATGCCGACTGCCCCACCTGCCTCCCTGAAAACAGGAAGGTCATGGATATGATCCGGGCTCAGGAGCAGAAGCGAGATCTCCATGATCAGTTCCAGCACCAGGTGGGCATGAGTGGGCTGTCCGGGGCAGGGACAGCCGCCAGCCTCGGAGCCCAGAGCACCGCGGGGCTTGTTTCCTTTCCTCCACAACTAGGAAACAAGCATTTCCATTCTGACTCTTTCTTGTTCCTTCCTCTTTCCCTGCAGCTCAAGTGCTCCAACGACAGCTTCTCTGTGATTGCTGACTACTTTGGCCGTGGTGTCTTTAACAAACTGACTCTGCTGACTGACCCTCCCACCACCAGACTGACCCCCAGTCTGGAGGTGGGGCTGCAGCGGGACCTGCTTATGCACTCCAGACGAGGCACTTAACAGCTCGCAGGAAAGCATGTGATCTCGGGCACAGCTGGATGGACATGGGACTGCAGTGGGCTGTGGCTGCACAGAAGGCTGGCGGACAGGCACATGGTTCCCATCTGACTCTAGGGGACTTTCTTTTCCTGCCACCTTCTTTTGCCAGCCTACTGTCCCTCCCACTGATTAGCAGTAAAGAGTATTCCAGACCAGTGGGGGAGGGCACCTCAGCAACCACAGAGTATGGACAATAGCTACTTTATTCTCTATTCAGGAGCACCAGGCTGTGCCTGGGATCTCACTCAAGAGTCTGTAAATAAAAGAATATAATGATATGAGGGCTTAAGATTTTATTTTTGGTGGGGTTTTTCCCTTTGGTTTTTGCTGCAGGGTTCCAACATGGTAGTTCAGGCTGGCCTCAAACTCAAGATTCTCTTGCCTCAGCCTCCTGGGTGCTGGGATTATGGGAGGTGCCACCACACCTAGCCTCTGAAGCATTTTTTCTGGACACTCCCTATTGATTCTTGTGTACAATGTACTTTCCTTGTTCCAGAGCAGAGCCCCAGTTCCTCTCCTAGGCTTTGTAGTGGGTGGGGCCTGTGGCAAGTTCAGTGTACTGAACGGAATGTAGGTGTATAACCTCAGCTACCTGGGAGGCACAGTCAGGAGGATTACAAGTCTGAGGCCAGTCTGGGCAACCTTGTGAGACCCTTGTCTCAGAAAACAAAGGGCTGCGGACATTGTTCAGGGTAAAGACTCTGCATTGGATCCTCTGTACACATACACCCCAAAAAGGAAAAAGGGTTCAGCTGAGCTCCAAGAGCAGCCTAGACGAGTCTGTTGCTCGTTAGTCTTCCTGTCTCCATGGTTCATGTTGAGGAAATACTCCAGCAGGAGGCAGATTCCGGCAGGGAACCCTGGGCCCAGCCTGCCTTCGTAATGGATAGGTTGATGGCTTGCTGTACTCAGTACCAAGCGACAGAATAAAAGATCTTGTAGGCTTTTTTAATTTCTGGTGGTATTGGTGCTGCCTGCACTAGGCAAGTGCCCTCTTACTGAACCTTCCCTCTGCCCAATTGAAACACTTTTCCCGGTTTGTGGTTGTCAGCTAGCTTTATGTTAGTGGGTGTCTGTGTAAACTGGTTTATACTTTCTGTGAAAAGAAGTGGCCTCCAACAGGATTATTGAATAGAAGTAACACGGACATTGTAATTTAGTCTTTAGAAAGGCAGTGCTGCCAGGCCCGTACTGTAATCCCAGCACTCAGAAGGCCAAGGCTAAGGTGACTTAGCAAGACTGTCTCAAACTAAAATATAAGGAAGGCCAAGAAAGAACCACATAAGGACCATAAATCTAGTCCCAGCCAGGCATGGTGGCACATTCCTGTAATCCCAGCACTCAGGAGGCTGAGGCAGAAGGACCATTGTGAGTTCAAGGCCTACTTGGGTTATATAACAAAACTCTTGTCTTAAAAAAAAAAAGTCTTTTCCCAGCATACAAGACACGGTGTTGGCACACTCATTTCAGTTGATTTTAGGAATAACCTTTATAGTCCTGAACTGGTTTCCTCATTTTTGAAAATACAAAGACAGAGCCGGACATGGTGCCACATTACCTATAATGCCAGGATTTAGGAGGCTTGAGGCAGGAGTATTATTGTGAGTTGGAGGCCAGCCTGAACTACATGGTGAGACTAGCACGTAAGAAAAAAAACACTGCCTGTTTCAGAATTGTGGCCAAACTACGTTTGAAGAGAACAAGTTTGAAAGGAGCGGGGTGCCACATAAATTGCACAAGTGTATGCCATTGGCGAGATGAAACAGGGTTAAGCATGAGGAGTCTTCCAGTGCAGCCCTTTGAGGAGCTGTTGAATGGTGCCCAGCATGGACCAAGTGGGCAGTGAGTTCTAATTCCAGCCCAGAGCCAGGTCCTTCCCCCTCCCAAGGAGGGCCAGATACTGATTCCTCAGCGGGTTTCTCAGTACCTTGTCACCTGGCATGGTGGCGCACTCCTGTAACCCCAGCACTCAGGAGGCTGAGGCAGGTGGATCATTGCAAGTTTGAGACCAGCCTGGGCTACAAAGTGAGCCCAAGGTCAGCCTGAACTGCATAGCAGGACTCTCAAAAAGACAAAAAACAAAAAAACTCAGTACCTTGTATTTGAAACCTAGCATTTTCCTCTAGGGCATGACTAACTTCTGCTTAACTCTTAGGTCTTAGAGGCCCGGTAGGAGGGGACTGCAGATAATTTATAGGTAGGACTGGCAGGGGACCTGCTCTCTCACTATAGATTTTTCACACCTGTAATCCCAGCTCCGGGGGAGGCTAAAGCAGGAGAATTGCAAGTTTGGGGCCAGCCTGAGAGTGCGACCCAGTTTCAAAATTAAAAAAAAAAAAAAAAAAAAAGCCAAGGTAAAAGAACAGAAGAGATGAAATGGGGAGAGTCGGCAGTTCATGGTGTGACATCTCCGGGTTACCGGGGGACCCACCTTCCGGGTGAACCGGGTGGAAGCGGGGTGGAGTCCGCTCCGAAGCCAAGATTCTAATTCCCGCCCAGAGCACAGTCCCTCCCCTTCGAGGGACGGCGCCGGACGTGACGCAGAGGCCCGCAGGTCCCGCGGTCAGGCCGAAGGACAGGATCGGGCCACATGTGGTCCTGGCTCCTGCCGGCCGGAGTCCCCGGTTGCTCGGAACCCAGGAGACCTTAGCAGCACCGCCAGGCCTCCTTCCGGAGTGCAGTAATGTCTGGTAATGGCGACGCGGCTGCAACGGCGGTGAGTCCAGAGCTAGTGACCCTCACACTTAGGGCTTCCGGGAGAACCTTGCAATGATTGGTCCCTGGTTGCACATCCTCCGTTGTCTATTGGTCGGAATGGCTATCTGTCCCTTCTTCCCCCACTGTATGGTTTTTAAAGGGCCAGTAAGAACTATCAGTGCATAGTGGGTGCGAGGTTATTATAGAAGAGAGAACTGTCATAGAATCCCTATCCTTACGGTTGGGCTTCTGGCCCAGCCTGAGATACTGTGCTATAATTCGTCTAGTCGTCTACACAGACAGGATCTTTTCGTACTATACAGTCCGGGGCTTGTGTAGTCACTTTGTAAAACGTTCACTTCTGATCCAGAGGAGAGCACACCCCCAAGTCTCCGAGCTGTACGCAAACATCTCTACGCAAACAGCCTTTTCTCTGTTATAGCAGTCACCCAGCCTCAGCCTACTCTAAGCCCCAAATGAGACAGCTTTGCATTACTACGGTGTGAGGGGCCACCTCTGGGCCCTCTCATGCGTCGGAGCTTGGGCTTGTGCAGTTGCAAGGCCACTGTGGGGTTGAGATAAGACAGGGGTAGGGCAGGTACTTATCGCCCCCTCTCCCAGCCTGCTGTGAGCAGCAGGTTGATTCAGTGCTAGTGCAGACATTCCAGAGCACTGGGCTAGGAGGAGAAAGATCTGGATTCCAGTGTTCACTCTCTGCCCCTTATTAGTGATATGACTCTCAGCTAATTATTTCACCTCTCAGCATCAACATTTGCTTCTGTAACATCCTGAGAGAAGTGCAATATGATTGTCAAGAAGACAGTAGGCCGAAACTTTGTTACCCGGGCTGATATCAAATTCCTGGGCTCAGGTCCCTTTCCTACATTAGCTACCTAAGGGCTGAGAATACAGGCGAGCTCCAGTGTGCCTAGCAAATGCTTATTTTTAAATGGAACGATTTGACTTGAATGTGCTGTTTAGATTCAGTAATTTTGTTTTTTTCGTACCAGGGATCATACCTGATGTTTCGTACCTTGTGCTTGCCAGGCAAGCACTTGTGCCACTGAGCTAAATCCCCGGGGCCAGATTCAGTAAATTTAAGAGATTGTTTGAACCTAGAAGTTCTGGTCCTTACATTACTTTCTGTTGGCCCCCTACAGTCTTGAATTCTAGTGACCATATTTAGCATTTCAAGCCTAACCAAATGTGCAAAGGGCCTCTGAGAGTTGGTATTTTGAAGGAGTGGTCACAGGGTAGACCAGAATCCAATGAAAGCAAGCTCTTACCTGCTCCATGCGCCCTCCCCCCAAAAGAACTCTGGGATGAAGATCACAGAGCAGGTAAAGTTGACTTTTTCCACAATGGCTCTTGCCTGTGTGTCAGACTGAAGAACCTTTGTCAAAGAAGAGGTGTGTCTTTTTGAGTTCTTGGCTTGGGCTCTCATGTCCTGTTTACTCTTTGGTGAAACTAGAAACAGCACTGCAGATTGTTAGGCAGTTCAGCATCACTGTTACAGAAGAAACTTCATTTCATAGATGAACCAACAGGCCTGATGGGATAATGTGCCCAGGATAACCCAGCCAAGAGGTGGAGCAGGTCTGAACACCAGATCGAAGGGTGCATTCCATTCAGAAACCCTCCAGGCATCAGCCTGGGTCAGGTGGACCTATCCCTTCCTTTTCTGCTGTAAATTTGTACTTCAGCATTAGAGTAGCCGGCTGTGTAAGGGATACAGGAAGCAATCTGTTTACCCATTTGGTATGACAAATGGCAAGGAGTGGGGGATTTGGACACTCCTGTAAGCTGCTTCTAACTGGCTTTGTGTATGTTTACCCGAGCGTCACAGAGGGTCCAGTAGACCCACACCACTCCAGGAATTTGTTTTCAGGGTTTGGTTTTAAAAAAGTTTTCTGGGCTAGGGATTTAGTTCAGTGACATAAGCACCTGCCTGGTAAGCACAGGATCATGAGTTCGATCTCCGATACCAAAAAACAAAAAAGTTGTCTTTGATTTTTCTGGTAGAAATAACCCAACTCAGTACCAGGGCACATGAAAAACAAGATTTGTAAGCTTTGGATGAGGTCAAAAGTAAACATGAAAGTGGGCATGGCGGTACACACCCATAATCCCAGTACTCAGAAGCTGAGGCAGGAAGATCGCCAGGAGTTCAAGACCAACCTGGGCTACATCCTGAGTTCAAAGACAGTTTGAACTACATAGCGAGATCTTGTCTCAAAAAACAAATGTGAATAGTCTGATTACTCATGCATGGGTGATGAAGATGATCCATTTTGGTAAATACATACTTTCATAACAGAAGAGTGATGTGGGTGGATGACGATGATGACAATTTTGATGTTGGCCTGTGACAGTGAGGTGGAGCAGGAATCGACTGATATAGACACAGGGAATACAGATTCAGATGATGAAGAAAACCGCAGTGTGAGTACACGGTAGAAATGTGACTAGTAGAAATATGAAATAACCACGCAACCAAGTGGAATGAGCTAATGTTACAACCAGGTCCGAACATATATTGAAGGTCTTGGCAGGGGTGAACCATATTGGACCAAATGCCAGCACTGCCATTCATTGTTGGAAATTGTAACAGATGAAATGTTATAAGACACTGTGAACTGGGCGTGGTGGTGCACACCTGTAATCCCAGCACTCAGGAGGCTGACGCAGGAGGATCACTGTGAGTTCCAGGCCAGCCAGAACTCCATAGCAAGACCTTGTTTAAAACAAACAAACAAATAAAACACTCTCAAAATAGTGAAACCCTGTTTAAAAAAAAGGTTTTGTGAAATATAGAAAGACTGATACAAAACTGAAATGTTCTGTATGTCCTAGTAGCCATATTCAAAAATATTTTTTCTATGATACCTTCCGGGCTGAACTGAAAACTTGATTCATAAGTCTGCTGTACTTACACAGATTTCTTATGGTGATCACAGGAATGTAAAAGACTTATGGAAAAGCAATGGGTCAGAATAGGGCATAAAAATTTATGTCGTCATTATTCTTTCAGTTTAGACCTTTATCCTGGAACCCAGCCTTCCGGTCCTTTTTCATACAGTAATAAACTGAAAAATGTTGTGAACAGACTTGCTGCTCCCATCTCCTACACTAATGCGAATGTGACATTTAACAATCGGCTTACCTGCCGGGGCTGGTGGCACACACCTGAAATCCCAGCCCTTGGAAGGGTGAGGCAGGAGGATTGCCATGAATTCGAGGCCAGTCTGGGCTACATAGTGAGTTCAAGGCAAGGCTAGTCCGGACTATACAGTGAGACCTTGTCAAACAACACTGATAACAACAAACCCCAAAAGACGATTGGCTTACCAGTTTCCATTTGATAACAGCACAAGTTGTCCAGCATAGAAACTGTACACAGGAATTAAGCAGAAATTCCAAATGAAATGTTGAATTTCAAAACAGAGAGTTGTGTAGTACAGTCCTTAAATTTCAGAAAGGTGTACCATTGGCCATTGTATGGCAAAGAAAAGCAAGCTGGTCCTGCTGTCACGTTTCACCTTGATGGAAATATTGATAGGGGAACCTCAGCACAATGTAAGCCTGTGATGGAAACTTCAACAACAAAACCAAAGCCGGGCATGGTGGTGCACATCTGCAATCCCAGCACTCAGAAGACTGAGGCAGGAGGATTGCTGCGAGTTTGAGGCCAACCTGCACTACACAGTGAGACCCTGTCTCAAAATATAATATAATATAATATAATATAATATAATATAATATAATAACAACAGCAAGCACAAAGTCCTGAGTTCAATTCCTGGTTAAAAAAAATTAGAAAATAAAAACTAAACATGGAGAAGATGCTGTTGATGAGTTATGCAAAACTGTGATGTCACCTGAAATACAAAGCATTGGCCAATGGTTGTGTTTTACTTGATCCTAAGCATCTGTGGCATAACTAGTTTGGTAGTTTACAAAAAACAAGTGCAAAGTATCAGAGAACTGTTCTGAGAGGACTGGAACTGGAGCTCATAAGAAATTGTTTATAGGGGCTGGGGGTTTAGCTCAGCGGTGTAAGTGCCTGCCTGGCAAGCATGAGGTCTTGAGTTTGATGCTCCCCCCGCCCCGTACCACAAAAACACACAAAAAAAGAAATTGTCTATAGCAGAGGAAAAACGAAATGATTCTACTCAGGGAACTTTTATTTTTGGGATCAGGAATTGAACTCAGCTTCATGCTTGCCAGGCTGGTGCTGTACTGCTGAGCTGTATCCCTGGCCCCACATAGGTTTTTATTTTTGATGTTATCTTTTACATTTTATAAGCAAGTACACAATTGATGTAAAAATGTGAGTGTCTAGTCTAAGAACTCGCCAGCTATTTGATGTTTTATTGACATCTTATTTCCATACTAAGTGCATGGTGAACCATACAATAGGAAGCTCCTGACAAAACAGGAAGAGAGGTGACAAGGCTGCCACATAGGAAGGGAAAGCTAAGCACATGAGCCGTCAGTGTACGCAAGATGTGTGCATGGCACACGTGGCTGTCATGTGCAGACTGCCTTGGGGGGAACCGTTGAAGCAAAGCTTATTTTTGTGATATAGTTCTATTGGTATTTTCACTGTATTCCACTTAGGGATTTATTTCTGATGTTTTTAGGTTTTGTGAGGAAGTACACAGCTGATGTGAATATGTTGATGTCTATTTTAAATGCACACTACCTATTAAAAATCTAATTATTTATTTTATTGATATTTTATGTCCCTATTAACTACACCCTGTATAATATTATAAGAGCCTCCTGACAAAACAGCAAGACTCCTGAGGTGTCAAATCCGTCCTGTACAAAGGCCAGGAAAGCAAAACACGTGTGCTGTCAGTGTAAACCATGCGTGTGTATGGAATGTGCTATTGTGTGTGTGTGCAGACCGCCTCAGTAATTATCACTGTAACCCAGTGATAATTGAACAAAGATTAATTTATTTACAAAGTTCTGTTGGTATTTTCACTGTAGTTCATGTGGGAATTGATTTTGGATGTTCTTTTTTAGACTTTGTTCACCAAAAACCAATTAATGTTGAAAATTTTGATGCTTTTTTTTTTTATAAACAAAATACTAAAAACTCAATACTTTATTTTAGTGGTACCTCTTCCTGTCAAGTACTCATCACTTAATATAATAAAACTCAGAATTAAAATTAATAACTCACCAATAGGAATATTCTAAAGAATAGTCATGGATCTGGCAGACCTTGATGATAGAAGTCTTCTGCTTCAAGGGTCATGGTACCCTTCGTGTGTAGTTGTGGGGAGCTCTTGGCACCTGGGTGACACCAAGCTTTCTCGAGCACCAGCTCTTGTGGATAGTAAACCTGTCTCCAGATGATGGTGGCTGTAGCTGCCCTGCCCCAGCCAGCTGCAGGCCGCACCCTTCCTGTAGCCAGGCTGATGGGCCTTATCTCTTTACCCACCCGGCTGTGCGCAGCCCTCCCCTGAGACCTCTTTGGCCAGGGTGGGCCTTGGGGCCCAGTGTCCTGGTTCCTGCCGCTGCAGCAGCCGATCATAGTGTGGCTTCCCTCTGGTCTTTGCTCCTCTGGATGTCAGAGAAGAGCAGGGGGTACTAAGAACGGTGGAGGAACCAGCCTGGGATAATTTTTCTACTCCAAGACTCACTGGCTACACATAGGCCAGAGATTGAAGTTTCTTTTTTCTAAACCAGTGATTCTGGTTCTTGGACAAGACCTTGAGGACCACGAGGAGCAGAGGGGACTGTAACCCAGAGATTTTTTTTTCGCAGAAAGAAAACGGCTCAAGGATGAGAGTGATTCGAGTGGGTACCCGTAAAAGCCAGGTGAGTACAGACACAGGCTTGACGAGGTTTATCAGAAGAGTCCTAGTGCTCAGGATCACAAATTGAGGGGACCCACAGGGCTAGTTCCCAGCATAGCGGGCGTGGAGCGTCTGGGTTCGAGTCCAGCAGGGAATAGCAGATTGCTTCCTGTGGAGAGATGCTCCTGGGTGTTGGAAGTTATTGTGTGTGTTGGGCTCCCACCGCCTGCCCCTGTCCTTCCCAGGTGAGAGTCCCATTCCCTTCAGGATCTCACTGACACTGTGAGGATCTGAGCTAGGGAAGGCCGGGAAAGGGAAGGACTAATCTGAATCTCTGTCTCTAGCTGGCCCGCATACAGACGGACAGTGTCGTGGCAGCCCTGAAAGCCTTATACCCTGGCCTGCAGTTTGAGATTGGTAAATTTTCTGGAGAGGAGTGGAAGTTAGTGGGAAGCCAGCACACCCTGGTTTGGGTGAGGGGATCACAGTTACTGGCTTTGCCATGGGCCAGAGCCTGGGCCCCTGCCTCCAAGAATTGCTCTTGGCTGCTTCTAGATGGAGGGCTCTCCTCGCTGAACACCTGTAGTTCTGGTTGCCTGGGCTGGCCTGCACTTCATGCCCTCCCCCTGGGGCCGCTTTATGAGTGTGTCTGCTCCCTTCCTACCCCTTCCTGTATTTGTTCATTCCCGGGAGCTGGGAAGACTGGTGCTCATGGGTTTTCTGTCCCCACTATGAATTTTGGCATAGAGGTGGACACAGTAGGGGCCCAATAAATGCTGATTAATGAATACCTAACACTTTCTCTCTCTCTCTGTCTCTCTGTCTCTCTCTCTGTCTCTCTCTCTCTGTCTCTCTCTCTCTCTCTCTCTCTGTCTCTCTCTCTCTCTGTCTCTGTCTCTGTCTTTCTCTCTCTCTCTCTCTCTGTCTCGATCCTCAGTTGCCATGTCAACCACAGGGGACAAGATTCTTGACACTGCACTGTCCAAGGTAACACCCCCCCCCCCAGTCCCTGCAAGCCCCCCTTTTCTTCCTTCCCCTGAGAGAGTCACTCTGAGGCACTTTTTCACCCAACAGATTGGAGAGAAGAGCCTGTTTACCAAGGAGCTAGAAAATGCCCTGGAGAGAAATGAGTAAGAGAAGACGGGAGAGTATGGCACCCCCTGGTCCCTTGCTGGGATCCACAGCTGTGCTGGCTGAGACCGTCAGATGGCTGGGGGCTTCATGAGTGGGCTTCAGGCTTCTGGCAGGGACGTTTCCTGGTTCAGAGTCTCCAGCTGTCTGGCGTGTAAAATTAGCAAGGGGGATGGAGTAGAGGGCAGGCAGGGGAGCAGGTCTTGAGGCCCTGAGGGCTTGGGGAGGCCTGCTTCCTGAGCTGTCCTTGGCTTTGTTGTGGTAGTAGAACAGTGTTGGGCGAGAGAGGCTGGCGGCTGGCTGCTCAAACCCCCTTTGCCCCCCTCTCCCACCTTTAGAGTGGACCTGGTCGTTCACTCCCTGAAGGACCTGCCTACCGTGCTACCTCCTGGCTTCACCATTGGAGCCATCTGCAAGTAAGAGCCATGCGAGCAAGGGGGCTGGACGGGGATGGACCTCAGCGGACCCTTTGCTTTTCTCTCCGGGACTCGACCCTCTGCCTTGAAGGCTCTCTGTCCTCTAGCCTGGCAGGAAACTCGGAAAGTGCCAGTTAGTTGGCTATTGAATGGATGTGATCTGAATTGAAAGCTTACCCTGATTCCATGACCTTTCCTCCTCTCAGGAGGGAAAGCCCCTACGATGCTGTTGTCTTTCACCCCAAATTTGTGGGGAAGACTTTAGAAACCTTGCCAGAGAAGAGGTGAGTGCGACCTGGATGAGCACCTGGGTGAGATGGGCACAGAAGATGGGGGGAGGGAAGAAGACAAAAAGAATAGGATCGCCTAGTGTTAAATCTCATTTTAAATCCTCTCCTCTGGGCAGTGTGGTGGGGACCAGCTCCCTGCGGAGAGCAGCCCAGCTGCAGAGAAAGTTCCCGCATCTGGAGTTCAAGAGCATTGTATCCTTTTAAAAAAGGAAGGGGCTTCCGGAGCCAGTGCCTGTGGAGGGGAGTGAGCTGCCTTTCCATCCACAGCCACCCATCAACACATCCACAGTCCTTTAGTATTTCCTTTGCCCCAGGCAGATAATATTAGCATGAACATTGCCACCCCTTACAGAGTTTACATTTCAAGTAGGCGGAGATAGGCATGGGCAATGCAAAATAATACTACTTGTAGAGAGGTAGATGCTACTATACTGTTTTGATTTTTTTCAATGCCTATGAAGTGTGTTTCATAAAATTAACTTTTTTTTTTTTTTTTTTTTTTTTTGAGACAGTCTTGCTATGTAGTTTAAACTGGCCTTGAATTCACTATGTAGCCCATCTGGCTTCAAACATAAAGCCATTCTTCTGCTTCAGCCTCCTGAGTGCTGGAATTACAGAGGTGGATCACCACACCCTGCTTCATAAACTTAATTTTAAAAATAGTATGTGCTAAGTGCTCCAACAGGCATAAAATGTAAATTCTCTGGAAGCATATAGCTGCAACCTTCAAAAACAGATTTGCTGGTCAGGGAAGACTTCCCAGAAGTCTGGTAACTTTGAGCAAGTAATTTAACTTCTCTGTCATCGTCCTCATCTGTAAAGTGGGGTTGTGGTAATAATTCCCGCATGCGCTTGTTGTGAAAACAAAACAAAACGGGTTGCCATAAGGGAGGCTCTTTAGAATAGCAGTGGGGTCCTTAGCATCTCTCCACAGCGGGGGAACCTCAACACGAGGCTGCGGAAGCTGGATGAGCAGCAGGAGTTCAGTGCCATCATCCTGGCTGTCGCTGGCCTGCAGCGCCTGGGTTGGCAGAACAGAGTGGGGCAGGTAGGGCTACCCCTGTTCTTAACCTGGGCCCCCTCCTGCCTGTGCTCCTCTTTTTGTGTAGTTTTTCGAGACAGGATCTCACTTTGTAATGCAGGCTAGCCTTGAACTCACTGTGTGGTCCAGGCAGGCCTTGAACTTGTGGCAGTCCTCCTGCCTCAGCCTCCCGTGTGGGCATGTGCCACCATGCCTGGCTTGTACACTCTTTCTGAATACCTTCCTTTAACACCACAAACTATGAACAAGACTGATCAGAGGCCAGACTCCTTCCTGCTGTGTCAACCCCTGGCTTTCTAGATGATAGGCATGCCCCATCTCACTGCTGGGTGTTTGGGGCACTATCATTGACACCTTTTTTTTTTTTTTTGGTATGAGGAATGAAATTCACAGCCTCGGGCTTGCCAGTCAGGCGCTGTGCTACTGTACTGAGCTATATCCCTGGCCATCCCCACCTTTCTGACTACCTGTTTTGGTTTCACAGATCCTGCGCCCTGAGGACTGTATGTATGCTGTGGGCCAGGTGAGCTTCAGTGGGGAAGGCCTTTGTCAATGTGCCCCTTCTCTCTTCTCAACCAAGAAGCTGGTCTCCCAGCCCTAGGCTTTGGCTCCCCTGGGATTTTACTGGCCCAGAAGTGCCCCCCACCCCCAGCAAGTGAAGAGGTGATTCCCATCCTTAGCACCATTGGCTGGGTAAAAAACATCCAGCCTGTTGTTTTCCATCAGGGGGCCCTGGGCGTGGAAGTCCGAGCCAAGGACCAGGACATCTTGAAACTAGTGGGTGTGTTGCATGATCATGAGACCGTGCTTTGTTGCATCGCTGAAAGGGCTTTCCTGAGGCACTTGGTAAGACCTGCGCATCCCCGTGGAGGGGTGGAGACCTGGGCAGGTAGGGAGGGCAGTGGGCCGCACTGCGCGTGGTTATGCTTCATTGTTGAAGGTTGGATAGGGCCTAGCAGTTAGGCCCCAAGGTCCATGATCTTCAGGCTGTGGTCACAGGATGGGCTTCTCATTGCAGGAAGGAGGCTGCAGTGTGCCTGTGGCCGTGCACACCGTGATGAAGGATGGGCAGGTAAGCAGGGAGAAACGGGTAGGAGGACAGGGAAAAGGAATGGCATTTCTCCTGTGCATCCCAGGTTTCTAAGTAGTCCCCTCAGACTGGCTGAGGCCACCATTTTCTTTCTCAGCTGTACTTGACTGGAGGAGTCTGGAGTCTGGATGGCTCTGATAGCATGCAAGAGACCATGCAGGCCACCATCCCCGTTCCTGTGCAGGTACTGAGCCTGGAGGGAGTAAGAATGTGTATCTTTTATTATTATTTTTTTTAATCGGTACTGGGGATTGAACTCACAGCCACGTGCTTGCAAGGCAGGCGCTTATGCCGATGAGCTAAATCCCCAGCCCCAAGAATGTGTATCTTGCCCTTCATGCTCACCAGATCCCACCTCCTACCCTTGTGCAGCACGAAGATGGCCCAGAGGATGACCCCCAGCTGGTAGGCATCACTGCCCGGAACATTCCAAGAGGAGCCCAGCTGGCTGCGGAGAACTTGGGCATCAGCCTGGCCAACTTGTTGCTAAGCAAAGGAGCCAAGGACATCCTGGAGGTTGCGCGGCAGCTTAATGATGCCCACTGACTGCTGTGAGGGGCACAGGTGCCTGGGCCACTTCCTGTGCCCACCTCAAGCCTTCAGTTCCTTGTGCTCACTGGGGAGTGATTACCCCAAACTGCAGGATCCGAGACTGCAGCACGTGCCAGCTGCCTTGCCTGCTTCCTCTCTAGAGAACAGTAAAATCAGTCTTTGAATGTAACCAACTCTGAAGATGATTTTGGGAGGGTTGGAGTGAAGACATGAATAAACACAAAACCCTTTAATCTTTTTGAGTCTGGGCCCTCTGTGCAAACTTCTGGACATCCTTTGTCTCACCTCAATAGTTGCTTGAAGCCAAATTGGTTGCTTCCCAGGGAACACCAAAACAGCAAGAGAAAAGTCACTTTGAAGATCTTAACTAGGCCTGGTGCCACATATCTAATACCAGCGCTCTGGGAGGCTGAGACAGGAGGCTCACAAACTCAAGCCCAGCCTAGGCAATTTATTGAGACCCTGTATCAAATTAAAGAGCTAGGGCTGTAACTCAGTGTGATGACTCCAGCCTAAATCTTGGAATACAACCAAAAAACAAAGTTTTACCAGTCTCTTCGATGAACACTAGAAACCTATTTATGTTAGTTGTCTCCCACCCTCAATACCTGAAGTGTGAAGTCATCAACCTTACAACTCTGGCAAAATCATGACACCTTTTGTTTTTTTAAAAAAACGCAAATCCTTTAATAAACAAAACAGTCCATTTCAAACTCGCCGTGACCTTAAGTTCTGGTTTCGGATGGGTCAGCTGCACAGTTCCAGTGGAGAAGCCCGCAGAGGCTCAGTCCGGACAGGGCTGCGCCTCGCGCTGGTACCCAGGTGCTCGCGTCTGCCGGGCCGCGCGCGGGTGGGGACGCGGGGTGGCTCGGGCCGAATGCCAGCCTCCGCCAGCGCGACCTCGAGCCTGGAATCCGCACCGGGGCGACTTCTGCCCTCGCGCCAACTTCTCGGGGGAGGCGGGGGTCTCCGAGGGAAGCCGCCGTCCTATCAAGCCGCGTCCTGGCCGCGCCGCACAGGCCTGCGGACGAGACCAGGATCGGCAGCCTCCCCTCCCACCGCAACCCGGAGCCCGGCGGTCACGTCCGCCTCGAGCCGCTGGGGGCCGGGCCACAGCCAGGGACGCGCGGGCTGCGGCTGCGGCGGGCCTCACCTTCAGGGCGCCGGCCCCGACCCGGCCGCGCACCGCAGCCGGCTCGGGCGCGAAGCCGAGGCTCCGGAGGCTGCGGCGGGGCCCGGGGCCGGCTCGGGCAGGGGAGGAGGGGCGCGGGCGCGCGGATGGCGGCGGCGGCGGGGACGCGCGCGGGGGGCGGGGGCGCGGGCCCGCGTGGCTCAGCTCTTTCTGTGAGGCGGTGGTGGCCCTGAAAAGGGCCTTTGTGGTGGCATGAGGAGGGCCGGGGCCGGGCCGGCGCGGGGCCCTCAGTACTCCTGAGAGGCCTGCGTGGCCTTCTTGCCGCCCGCCGGCGCCTTCGGCCCCACGGTGGCGCTCGTCTTCTTGGGCAGCAGCACGGCCTGGATGTTGGGCAGGACGCCTCCCTGGGCGATCGTCACGCCGCCCAGCAGCTTGTTGAGCTCCTCGTCGTTGCGGATGGCCAACTGCAGGTGGCGGGGGATGATGCGCGTCTTCTTGTTGTCGCGGGCCGCGTTGCCCGCCAGCTCCAGGATCTCGGCGGTGAGGTACTCGAGCACGGCCGCCAGGTAGACCGGCGCGCCGGCGCCCACCCGCTCGGCGTAGTGGCCCTTCCGCAGCAGCCGGTGTACGCGGCCTACAGGGAACTGCAGGCCGGCGCGCGAAGAGCGCGACTTGGCCTTAGCACGGGCCTTGCCGCCAGTCTTGCCCCGGCCAGACATAGTTAAAGAGGTAGACCAGTGAAGAGTAGCGTCTCCAAAATACAGCACAGACACAGCCCGCCGCAGCACAACTGCTGCCGCGCGCGTTACGAGCCGCCTTTATAAGGCCCCTGGGGCACACCCCTGCACTCTTCTGATTGGCTGTCTTCTCTTCATACCCGCCTCCGGTTGGTTGAGATTAACCCTTCCCTAAAGGCCCTCGGTTGAAGGAGCGCGCTCGACGATTGGTAGAATTTGAAAACCTTTTGCCCGGGGGAAGACTGCGAGGAGAAGCGGCAGCTTGTAGCCTGCCAATCGCGTCCAGAGGTGGCCAATGTAAGGAAAGCGCGCGAGATTTAAACGCTACAGTGGGAGGCCGAAACCGGAAGGCAAAACGGGTGGAGTCTGAAGCCACTTACCCTCTGGCAAATTTTGGGGTTGGCCTAGGATTTTTAAAAAGGGCTAATACTACACCTCCCATTTCCTCTCCTCCCAAATTTATTCACAACCCTCTCGTTCTAATCAAGCAAAGGGACAAGGGAAAAAAGAAAAGAAGAAATAAGACCTGAAAATTCAGTCCTCTGCCAGCTATTAGATTCTAAAATCCACCTAAAGTATCAGCATTCTCAACATTTGACATGTTCTGATTTTGATTCTGCTTTTTTCTTTCTTTTGTTTTCTTGAGACAGGCCCTCACTATGCAGTTCAGGCTAGCCTCCAATTTACAGGAATCCTCCTGCCTCAGCCTCCCAAATGCTGGGATTACAGGCATGTACCACCAATCTCAGATCAATTCTTTTCACTTCTTGCTAAAAAGGGTCTGCTGGGGCAGAGGTATATATCCTCTTGGGGGAAAAAAAAAAAGCTCCACCAACTCTCCCAATCTATCCTAGAATACTCACATAGGAAATTCACCTACAGGAACAACAAGAAAAAGGTAACACTTTATTGTCACCGTTGGGAGCACCAGGCTCCCCTTCTGTCTTACTAATCAGAACACTTAATTTATAATCAAATATCAAATCACCCTTGCACCAGTGTCCCTAGCCCTAGCTCAGGTTCTATCTCAAGGCCCAGCATGTTCTTTGAGAGTGAGGACTCTGAAAGCTGAGTTGTGGATATCTGCATAAAAGCTGCTACATCAAGCCTCTGGCTGTGATGGGTAGGGAGAGTGGCAAGTTGAAGGAGGCCATAGGCAAAGTCCAGTTAGTAGTTGCTGGAGGGCAAAAATGGCTCAGGATGTTGATAATCATAGGTTATGAAAAATGCTGGGAATAAATCTGAAGGAGACTGAAGATTGGGAGAGGCCCACAGAACCAGACTGGCTGGCCTGAGCAGGACCCCTGGAGACAGTGTGGCAGAGGGCAATCTTCAGGAACTCAAACGTCATAGAAGAGTCGGACAAGCTGGTATCGAATGGAGAAGGTGACAGCACTGCCCACGATCTGCAAGGAGAAATGGACTAGAATAAGAACCATAGAGAAAAGGACATGAGGAGGCACAAACTCACCCCAGGCTCACCTGTAGCAGCAGCAAGAGCAATGTGAGGTTCCTCTCATGTATGGGCCCAAAGATTTTAAGCAGCAAGTTGATGAGGGTCATGTTGTTACACTCAGTGAAGGCCCCGTCCTCACCCTCACTCCGGTGCACTGTCACTAGCTGGAGTCTCTCTGCTACCTAGAGAGACCAGAGACAGACAGAAAAACTTCAGCCAATACCTGTATGTCAGGAACAGGGCTCTGCTTAATGCTTCCAAGCTCCCTCTAGATCTAATGTAGGCCTGGGTCCCCCATGTCCCAAGTTCAGGATGGTGGCCTGGGGCCTTACCTCCTCGTTACCTTGTTACCTTTAAAATAAAGGTGCCCAAGAAAGAAAGGCTGTTGGTCTTGAACTTGGAATAGCTCATCTCCAGTTTGCCTGTCTTGGTATTGAGTCTGTAGGGGAAAGACAGCTTCGTGTGACTGGGTCACTACTCAAAAAACTTTCTTCCGTTAATGACTAAGAAAAACACTGATCATGGAGTGAGATCTATTTCTGGCTCTGCTGCTTACTACTCTATGATCAGAACTACTGTGAGTATTAAATGAGATTATGGAAGTAAACGTGCTGTGTAAACTTAAAGGGCCACCTACATGAAAAAAGTTAGCCTTCCTATGGGCCCACATTCTTTGCACAGCAAATGTAGAGCCTGGTGTTAGACATCCCAGTAGAAAGGCTTTCCAGCCCCCAAACAGCTACCTGGGTATACGGTGGCGAGGACAGGGGATGATATGCAGGAGCTGAGGCAGCGAGTAGAGGAAGTTGAACACCTGTGGCATGAAGAAGAGCAGCATGGTCTTGCTGAAGTGTCCCAAGATGCCTACCACGGCAAAGGTCATGCCAGCAAAGTAACAGAAGGTGTCTCCCACAAACACCTGAGATGGGTACCTGTGTGGGGGAAAGGATCCAAGCCAGTGCCAAGAGGCATCACAGTCTTTTCTCTCACATCACACAGGCTAGGTACTGGACGAACTCAGACCCCTGTTCTTTTATTCTTTCTTTTTTTTTCTTTTGGAGACAAGAGTCTCGCTATGTAGTCCAGGCTGGCCTCAAAGTCACTATGTGAGCTGAGGGTGCCCTCGATCTCATGGTAATCCTCCTGCCTCAGTCTCCTGAGTGCTGGGATTACAGGTGTGAGCCACCACACATGCTCCCCTGATCCTAGTTCGGACAGGAGGGTCTAGCAAGTCTGCAGAACGCAAGTCCCCATAATTATTCCTGGGGCTCCATAGCACTTGTCTCCAACTGCTGAGAAAAGAACAAACCTGAGAATACTAGAGGGCAAGACTCAGTAGTAAAGCACTGGCCTAGCACTCGAGAGGCCACAGGTGTCTCAAAAAAAAAAACGGGGCGGGGGGAGGCAATCCACCAACTGAATACCCAGAAAACACTGAGCAAAAGTATGCGCAAGTTCAGCCTGTCTTTCAGGAGCTGGGTTAAGATCAGGACCATCTTTGTCCAATGACCAGTTAGTTGTTTTCCTTTTCCCTGAGCCACAGCCTCCTTACCAGTTATGATACAGCAATCCCAAGGTGGTGAAAAAAAACGGTATCATGAAGTAGAGGGAAAAGACATGATCATCCCGGTAATCACCTTGGGAAACAAAGGACAAAGAAGGAAAAGTGAACACCCATCTCCCCTATGTCCCCTGCTCTTCATTTTGTCTGTCGCATCCCTGTCTCTGTTGCCACCTCCCCTCACCCGAGCCACCTTCAAAAACTCATTATTCCTTTTTTTTTTGTCTTTTTCCTTTTTATCGGTACCGGGGATCAAACTCATGACTGCCTGCTTGCAAGGCAGGCGCTTATGCCGCTGAGCTAAATCCCCAGCCCCTCATTATTCCTTTGATGGTACCCAGGCAGTTCCCAATAGCTCACTACTGTCATGAAACCGTCAAAAACAAGTTAAAGTCTTCACTTTGTCCAGACATGCTGACTTAAGTTTGAAAACCAGTTTTATTATCTAGTGTATGAAACAGGGCTGATAACACATACACGCAGCTGCCTTCACATGGGGTCCTGGACCTTAGCACTAAGCTGCCTCCCCAGCTCTTTCATTTCATTTCATTTATTGGGGGGAGTACTGGGAACCAAACTCAGGATCATGTTTATTTATTTATTTGTTTGTTTGAGGCAGGGTCTCACTACGTAGTTCACGCTGGCCTTGAACTTGCTTATGTAACCCAGGCAGGTCTTGACCTTGTGGTGATCCTCCTGCCCCAGCCTCATGAATGCTGGGATTACAGGTGTGTATCACCACTCCATGTTTTATTTCTAGAAACAGAGACTTACCAAGTGCCCAGGCTGAGCTCAAACTCATGATCTTCCTGCCCAAGTCTCCCAGAGTGTTAGAATTAGTGATGTGTGCCACCATACCTAGTTTAAAAATTGCTTTCTTAGCTGGCCTGGTAGTGCATACCTTGAATCTTAGCACTTAGGAAGCTGAGGCAGGATTATCACTGTAAGTTCGAGGACGGCCTAGGCTACATAGTGAATTCAAGGCTATTCTGAATTACATAGTGAAATTTTGTCACACACACAAAAAATGCAAATAAATATTGCTTACCTTCAATAAGTAAGTTCAGTGTGTGCATGTGGGTATGTGTACATGCATGCAAACAGAGATACTGGGGACTGTACCCAAGGCCTCATGCTGGGCAGGTACTCTACAGGTTGTTAGAAGGGACTTACAATAGGATTCACTTTAAGTGGTTCTGGGGAGGCTGCAAGGAAAAGTTGTGCTCTGGACTGCCTGATGTCAGAAAGCAGAAGTAATTTTCTGACTGAACAACTTAAGAAGTAGCAGGAACTGAGTTGTTACTGCAAAGAAGCTATACCCTCTCACATTAGACAAGAAGGGATGTTTGGGCTGACTTTGTTCCTGTGCTTTTGTCGGTGTTCAGACATGATTACAGTGGGAGAAGTCTGGTTTCTGTCTTGTTTCACCACGGTCAGGGCGCCCCTCTCTCATGCTGGGGTTCTATGAAACTATTTATGTCCAATAGGAAACAGTCATGGTCTAGCTACTCATGCCAATCCAGCTATAAATGACAGACTGCTATTTTTCTTCCTCCTACTCAAGTAACTCTTCATTGTTATTTGCAAAGTAAATAGCTTTCCCTATCTTCTATAAGCCCCCCTTTTCTCAAAGCTATATATCAGGCAATTCTCTGAACACTGAGATCTCTCTCTTCCCACCAACCTTGCAGCTCCACCAGGTTGAAGACAATGATGGAAGCAGAGATGACCAATGACTGGCCGGCCTCTAGGCCGTTAATTCCTGCTAGGATATTGATGGCATTGGTACAGAACACTGCCAGGAGCCCCATGTAGACATAGTACAGGATCCCTGCAAGACATAGTATAAAAAGCAGTGACAGCTAGGAAAGGATCTAACGGTATTCTGAAAACAGAACACACAATGACAGGGCACAAGAGAGAACCTGAGCATTCACAGGGACGGAACAAAAACAGGGGAGTGTGGAACATCAAGAAGGGTGCTCTGCTGGGCACCTTTGGGGGGAGGGTGACTTGAAATAAGTGCCACAGGGGCTGTAGCAGCAGGGATACTCACCCAAATCCAGATGCAAGCCAAGAACTGGGCGGAAGGGCTTGGGTACCACAATGGTTGTGTTGCCAAAGTTGGTAAAATAGACCATAAGAAGAGGTAGTGATGCAGCTGTGGGCAGCAGCAGCTTATGGCGCCAGCGTAGATTCAGGACATCGTCCGCGAAGCCCAAGAAAATCATGCAGCAGATGGCAAGAAGGGCACCTATGAGGGCCACAAACTGGGGGAGGCTCGGGCAGGTCATGACTCAAGCCTACTGCCATTCAAGCTTTCAAAAATTTCTGTCTTTTCCACTAGGTCCTCAGTCCCTCCTCCTCAAATCCACACAACCCCAACTCTCTCGGGAACCTCCCAGGCCCCAGGCAACCGCCCCCACGAACCCACTTACTTCATGGTGGGGGAAAGCCTTACACTGCTCCTTCACAAAGCAGTTCAAGAAGGGGAAGGGGATGAAGCAGAACAGGATGATAAGGAAAACGGCACCGCTGATCACTCCCTGGGATTCTGGGCTGTGGCCCCGCAGCAAGGGGGTGGAGAAGGAAGAAGAAATGGGCGTGGTTAGTGCAAAAACCATGTGACCCAAAAGATCTTCCCAGGAGTGAGGCGGGGGAGCAGTGGAGCGGGAGGGCAGTGGGGGGCGGGGGGAGGCAGGCGCCGCTGGATGTTCTCACTCAAGGGTCCCCTTCCTTAGCATTCCCCAGTGCTAACCACTTCTGGCCATCGAGTCCCAGGGTCCCGGACAACTCCAGTTAGATTTGGTTCGTACGCACATTTAAGCACCTCAGAGCTCGCCTGTGCCTTGCCCACCCCTGGCCCCTGCCCGGGACACCCGTGTGCCACTGCTCACATCTGCTGCCGGTTGGTTTTGTTGAGGTCCTGGCCACAGAGGCGCGCAGCGATAAAGTGGCCACGAAAGGCCGGGATGAGGGTGAGCGTGGCCACAAATCCCAGCAGCGAGCCGATCAAATTCACCAGCAGCGGAATCGGTACCTCAGAGAAGGCCCACATGGCGAGTGGCCAGAGGTTCCAGCTCCGCAGCCTTCTCAGCTAACTGGTGGGAAGCAGCCCCGAGGTCTCAGCCGTGAGCAGTGTCCGCTCCTCACATGCGAGGCGGGGCAAAACCCAACAACTCTTAATTTGAACCGCCCTCGGGCTTCCCCAAGAGGTTTTATAAAGCAACCTAGGCTCTGCCTTGCAGCACCTGCCTAACCACTGTTTCCGCCCGGATCTTGAGTCTAAATGAACTACGTCCTAGAAGGCAACGGCGCCATTTTTAATATGGGCAATAGAGAGGGAACAAAAGTGTCATTTTAAACTGTATTTTGGTTCGAGAGTGGAAGAATCATGAGAGTATTGGGAATGCAATAAAGAAAAACGAGCAAGAATGTACAGCCTCCTGACATTTTATTAAACGTGTACAGCCCACAGCGGAAATGTCCTTTGCCCAGTTCCAAAATGAACGCCTCCTCCTACCACGTGTCCGACATTGCTTTCTGCGGTTCCACGTCAGTTTTAGCTCCCTCCACCCCCGCAGGCCACGTTTAAAGGGCCAGTGCTGGGCGCTCAATCCGGGATGGCTTGGAGCCCGGAAGATAGTTCCTGGAAGCCAGGGTAGGTAGGAGGCATGAAGACTGGAGCCACACCTGTTCTTTGTGGGAAACCCAGGTGGAAACCCAGGTAAAGGCAGCTGGAATCTAAGAAACGCAACTGCAATTCGCGTGATGTAAATGCTAAAGCCCCTTCCACTCTTCTTGTTCTAGATCCAGGTACACGTACATTCCTCAGCATCCCACTCACCTTCTGCCCCCTTGCAGCAGCTAGTTGCTGGGCAACCCAAGGTGGCAGTTCACCGCGGAAGGAGCTGGAAGTGCCTCTAGGTCTGGGATTTAACCCGCGACTTGAGCTTGGTCTGGGATCACTGCATGTTGCTAAGCTCCTAAAACAAGGAAGGGGGGCTGACGCCTACCCACACGTAGCTTTCCATGAATCTGCAGATCTCTTAGGTTTTCTTTCTTAACACTGTTCCCCTGCAAGTAACGGTTCACCTGCAGTGTCATTACCTTTCATTCCCCCACAAGTGGCAAATTATTTCCATTCCTCAGAAAGGACATCATCGCCGGGGAGTTAGGGAGGTGACGCAGCCTACCACTTTGTCCATCGGTTCAAATACGACTTGTTCCAGGGGTCATTGGGGGTTGACTGTTTTTAGAGCAAATATAGTCTTTCTTTTCCCTTAAAATCAGATGCGAAATGTCTCTTCTACTTGAGTGTGACTGTAATTAACAACAACAAACCATATTTATATATCTATATCGTAGTGACCACTCTTCTTCAGCATTCAAGCGGATGCTTTGAACACATAGCAGGAAAGGCACAAAATTCAATTGAGCCAAGTTTATTACTCTCTTTGATAAGTCTGATAATAAACTGGGCATTTGTTTGTGTGTGTACTCCCTGAAGGAAAATGTTTTACTTTCTGCAGGGTGTTCTCATGGGAATAAGGACACAGGATATCTGTGTGCATCATCACACCTAATGAGCACATCTGAAAGAGCTATAGAGGCAATAAGTGCACATGGAAGATGAAATTAGTTGTGGCCAGATGAAATAAGTGGGCTTTGAGGTAGAGTATTATCCTGAAAATGTTTGGTAGGTGCTAAGCGCCAAAGAGATTTCCAAACAGAGAGAGTGAGGTGGCAGGAGCAGATGGAAAAGAGGAACATGTGGGATCCCCAGAGAAGGCAGCACTCGGCTATCTTGTTGATCAGGAGCAAGCTGAGACTCCCTGGAGGTCTGAGGGACAAGTCTGTATTTTTTATTAGGACGCCTATCCTAATGATCTTCCTTGCCAGCTTAGTTAGAACCCTAGGACCTCTTTGAATCTTTCCAGAGATCATTAGCCCACTGATCCCCACCCATGGGAGGACTTGCTCAGATTGTAGGGATTATCATCCAAGTATACAGGTAACCATCAGAAAGTGACATATAATCTGAATAACTTCCTCCCATGATGGTAAATACCTAGTTGATTATCAGCCTAATCAGAGAGAGAAACAAACTTTTGACTCACTTGAAATTTTAAACCTTTCCTGGTAGAAGTTCAAACTGTTTGCCTGAACACTGAAAAGTGGTCACTAGAACTCACACATGAGCTGAGGTGTCATTGACCCCGTGCTGAGCGCTGTCTGAAATGTACATCAGAAGCCTTGAGCACCTCACAGTAAGCAAGGCCAGTTCACTGTTCAGTCAGTTACAAAACAAAACCTGTCCTGAAAATGTTTCACAGTGCCTACCCAACCATGAGAGCTCTGGATGAGTCTGGGCTTCTGACACTTGTAGGATTCTACTTGACGTTCTGTCCAGGAAGCTCAATTTATTCTTTTTTTATTTTCTTCCTCTTCCTGCCCATCAGTTTAGCTAGCAAAAGTTATTAGCTGAAAGCAAGCTCTAAGAAATTCATGTTTACTTTTATATTGGAATATTTTCTATTGGACTTTGGTTTTTTTTGCTACTAGAGATTGAACCCATAACCTTTGTACTGAACTACATCTCCAACCCTTTTGATTTTTATTAATTTACTTTTGAGACAGAGTCTCACTCTGTATTCCAAGCTAAGCTTGAACTTATTATATAGTCCAAGATGGCCTTCTATTCTCAGTGACCCTCCTGCCTCAGCTTCCTGAGTGCTGGAGTTACAGGCATGTGACCCTACCATCAACCACTTTTTTATTCTGAAACAGGGTCTCACTAAATTGTGTAGGCTGGGCCCCAACTGAACTAGTGACCCTCCTGCCTCAGCCTCCCAGAATGCAGGGATTACGGTGTGTACCACCATGCCCAGCTAAACTTCTTAAAATTACAAATTGCAAAGCTTATTATGTGAATAGGAAACTCTTAAGTACTGTGAGGAGCACCAAGTGATATAAATACAGTTGCTTCCCCCCAAGGAGTATACCAGCATATTTAAAGCACCCAAGTTGAATAAGAGGGAAGAGAGATGAATAAAATGTGGTCCTCACTCATAGGCAGTGTCCTGATAAATGGAAGAAGCAGCCATAAAAAACAGCTGCATGATAAAACACAATGAAATGAATGCAAAGGGTGTAGCTCACAGGCAGAAAAAAGATTGGGAGATTCATGGAAAACTGAATGGTGACACAGTATCTGGCAGCATAAGATCAGGCACTTGGTAGAGGAGTTGGGGGAAGAAGTCCAAAAACTCAAAGAACTGAGATCCTTGGGCTGGCCCTGGGGTTCCTGAAGCATTCTTGGTGGAAGCATCTTCATAGCAAAATGCTACACCTGAGTGGTTTGCTGCATGCCTGAGTTCTGGCCCTCAGTTCATTACTCTCCCTTGATTTCACATCTTCTGCTCCCCCTTGGAATTAGATACCAAGACTCCAGGAAGCCTCACTGCTGTTGGGTATCTGACAACAGGGTATAGTGTGGGCTGGGGATTTAGCTCAGTGGTATAAGCACCTGCCTGGCAAGTACCAGGTCATGAGTTCGATCCTTAGTACCAAAAAACAAAACAAAACAAACAAACAAAAAACAGGGAACAGTGAGGGCTGCAGCAAAGCCACCTTACCACTCCTTCCCTCTTTGCTGTCCCTTACAATGAAATCCAGGGACCACCATCCCCTGTGCCTCAGGCATCCTTGTTGCTGACCTTGTACGTCCTGCCTTGCCCTGCAATCCCAATTTTGGAAGACATTATTTACTCTCATGCAAACATTCTTTAGATGACCAAGTAGACTTGGGAGATGTTAACACTTTTTCTTCCTACCTCTCTACAGAAGGGTCTCTGTGCTAAAGATCTGCCAATATGTATGAAGAAGGGGCCTGGAGATTGGAGGAATGAGAATTCTTTTCTATCCTTTTGTTGGTTTTTCCTCCTTCTATCCATAGGAAGCAAAGATGAACTCCAGTCTTGTTTGTTTTTGAGACAGTCTTGCTGTGTAGTTCAGACTGGCTTTGAAAAGGCCCAGTCTTACAGCAATTGAATCTCCTGAATGTAGGAAATGTTTTTTTGTTTTGTTTTAAACAAGGTCTCTCTCTATAATTGGGGCTGGCCTTAAACTTGCTACATAGCCCAGGTGGCCTCTAACTCATAACAATCCTCCTGCCTCAGTCTCCCAACTGCTGCAACTACACGGGTATGCCCCCATGCCCAGCAAAAGGGGTATATACTGAGGCCAGGGTTTGGGCAATGTACCTACAACATCATTTCTTGAGAGCTGATTGAGATAATTTGATTTGGGTTACAGGTGTGCCCAGGTTTGTTTGTTTTTTCTTTATTTTTGAGGCAAGACATCACTAGCAAAAAATAAAAATGACTAGCTGTCCAAGTTGATCTCCAGCTCCTCCGGGCAAATGTTTCCCCTCTTGGTTTTTTGAGACAGGGTCTCACTATTCTGTCATTCAGTGTGGCCTTGAACTCAATTTGTAGTTCAGGCTGGTCTCAGACTCATCTCAATCCTGGAATGCTGAGATTACAAGTATGAACCACCATGCCAGACTCAAGGGATCTTCTTGCCTTAGCCTTTCAGATAAGTAAGACTATACAGATGTGGGCTACTGCACCCAGCAGGATATCATATAGCTGGATAGTAAGGTCTTCTGGCAACCCCACACGTACATTTAGAAAGTGCTGAGATACATCCTTCACTCTTTTGAGACAGGGTCTTGCTAAATTGCTCAGGCTCTTGCAAGCCTTCTGCTTCAGCCTCCTCAATGGCTGAGATTCAGGCCTGTACCATCCAGGCCAAGACTTATTCCAATGCTACATTACCAGCTCCCCTCTCATTACCACTCTCTCTACACGTGCTCCACAGGCAAGAGCTGTTACTATGGAAATGTACTGTATTATTTTTAAAAGCAGACACAGCTCCAGGCTTGGGAAATATCTCCAGAACAAACCCACAAGAACAAGGAGGTTAATGGGGGTGTTCCTGGGTCCTAGCTCCAATGGTAAGGGCGGTGATGGTTGTGAAGGGAGTTCAATGTCCCATGCTGTATTTTCAGCCTGTGCCAAGTTCAGGTTCTGCTTTCTTTTGGTGGATGCTGGCTGTCTGTGCCAGACACCCCTGTCTGGGAGAAATGCCCCTCACCTTCTTACCCAGCGTTTAGCTTCAGCCAGGAAATATGAACCTCAACGATGCTGAGTTTGATAGTGTTGGGAGAAGAAGGTGGCGATACCCACAGAAGGGTCACCTCCTTTTCAACTCGTCCAACTTGTAGAAATCTAAGAAGCGTATGGGCAAACAGGCAGCATCCTATTTAAGTGAAGCTACTCTGGTCTTGCGTTCGGGTGACCAGTTGCACACCCCTCAGCCCCACCCACCGCCCCACCGCTAGATGGAACCTTCGCCGCCCGCCGCTCCGGGCTGGCCCGGCCCCTCCCCGCGCGGGTGCGGCTCCTTTAAGGGCGAGTGGGGGCGGGGCGCCGGCGGTGTTGTCACTGTCAGCTCTGCGCACGCAGCCTTCCCGGAGCCGGTGCCGGCTGCTAGTCCCGGCGTCTCCGCAGACGCGTCCCCGCCCGGCTCCGGCGGGCCGGCCGTGGGAGGAGTCGGGTGCTGGCCCGCGACTAACCGGGGTCGGGACGCCGGCTAGGGAGTCGGACCCGGGGACAGAACCCCGGCGTCGCCGCCGCCGAGCACCTCTCCCGGATCGATCGGGCACCCACTACTCCCAGGCACAGCCCCGGGGCGCACCGAGCCCGCGCGCCGAGCCCCGGGGGAGCCCGCCCCCGCCCCGCGGCCCGCCCAGGCCATGCTCCCCCGGGGCAGCGGCTGAGCCCGACCCGGGACCGCGACCCGAGCGGCGCGGAGCATGGAGCCGGACGTGGGCTGGGCGGCCCTACTCGTCCTCTTCGCCGCCTCGCTGCTCACGGTGCTCGGCTGGCTGCTGCAGTACGCCCGGGGTTTGTGGCTGGCGCGGGCCCGCGGGGGTCGGAGCCCGAGACCCGCTTCAGCGGCGGAGCCTGGGGGTTCCCTGCGGGAGCTGGGCGTGTGGCGCTCGCTGCTGCGGCTGCGGGCGACTCGGACCGGTGCCCCTGAGGAACCCGGCGTCCGGGGCCTCCTGGCGTCGCTCTTTGCTTTCAAATCTTTTCGCGAGAACTGGCAGCGAGCTTGGGTGCGAGCCCTGAACGAGCAGGCCTGCCGGGACGGGGTGAGTTGAGTGGATCCCCTGTGTGGTCCTTTGAGCTTTTCCTCCCAGAGGAGGGACTGCTCGTGCTAGGAGGGAGAGGTTGGGGTCGGTGCGGGATCAGCTGGGGAGCCCCTTGGCTTCACCTTCCCTTCTAGATCAGAAGGAAGGATGCAGGTGAGACGGGGGGTTGTAGAAGCCCAGTTATGTTTCAAATCTATTTTTGCGGGCAAGGTACTCTGGCTCCAAACCCCAACACAAGTTACTGTTCTCATAGCAACGCTAATCCCTGTGCCTGAGGGCACTTCCGCCTAGTCTGCGTGCTGGTTGGGCAAGGGGAGACAGGTGCACTTGCAGAAGGAATGTGCCTGGTTCTCATGACACCAGACCCATGTAACATTTCATGACCTAAAACAGGCAGTGAGCCTGAATGACTCCCACCACCCACCATCCATTTCATGCTTTTATTCCGTGCTGGCTTGCAATGTATTTTTTGGGAGGGAAGTATTCAGGTAGAGCAGACTGACAGTTTCTGTCCTTTCCAGTAAGTAAACTTGTAGCTGCCCCTTAAGGGTCAGTTACAAACCAGCCCAGCCTACTTCCTCCTATTGTACCATGGGCATCTGGCCTCCCAGGAAATGGAGCAGGAAGCATGGTCATGTGCCTGAGGTTGAGTAGAAAGCAGAGGTCTCCCCTTCTGGGCCCCCTCCCATCCTGGCCCTCACAGCTTCACCACCCCTTGTGCAGAGAAGAGTTCTCCTTTTCTATGCATTACAAGTTTGGAGGTTTAACCCAGATAGTGCCCCAAAGGCCTGGAAACAGAAGTGGTCACAAGAAGTTGCTCTATTTCCCCTTCTCAGCTGGCCAGATGAAAGCCTGATGACATCTCTCAGTTTATACCTTAAACCCACCCCTCCACTTAGCTCTTGCTGTACCTTGTTCTTGGGTTAGAAGCAACTCCCTGGTACAGATGATTCAGCTGGACATTGGCCTCCCTTTTGGAATAGGCAGGCTGAGGCCCAGGTATCCATTTCCCATCTCCTTTAGCCTGTACCTTTGAAAGCCACAGAAGTTGGCTTTCCCTGATTTGCTGGGAACATGAGCCATATGGATTTCTTCCCCCTTATCTCAAGACTCAAGGAGGAGTTACCAGCCCAGTCCTTGCCCCCTCCTCAAATTCTCCTTCCTATCCTTCTTTCCTTTACTGGAGAAGAATTAGGGAGCCACTCTTTCAAGATCTAAACTAAGCAGCTTTCTGTTCCCTAATGCCATCCTGCTATCTGCCTTGAGGAATTAGCCAGGCCTCTGGACTCTTTGGCCTTTTGAACTTGCTTCTCTTCCTTGTTACCTCTGGTGAAGTTCTCCAAGGCCATGCTGAAATTGTCTTATAGACAGAGTCTTGCTCCTGAGCCTTCACATCCTGTTTCTCTAGAAGAAGCCTTAGCCTCATTTCTCCAGCTTTTATCTTCACCCTTAGCTCAGCCCTGTTCCTCTCTGCCCAGCTATTATGGTATGTGTAAGTGGCAACCAACACCTTAATTTTCTTCTGTGCACTTCATTCTTTGGGGTTGGGGAGAGGGCAAAGAGGAAAATGTAGAGATGAAAAAGGCTCCTGGTATTCCAAGGCCTTCTTAAGTCTCTGAGGTGGTCTGGTGTTCGCCCCTCCTTTCTCAGTAGGTCTTAGCAGCTGCAGGTCTCTGGAGAGGTAGGGCTTGAGGGGACCATCTCCTGTCCTAAATTCCTGAGCCAAGGAGGGGCCAGAAGCCAGCCTGCAGCTGAGGCCTCTGCAGTGCTAGGGATCAGCCAGCAACTGAATAGGCCAGCCCTGCGGGGTGGGGGGAGCTCCAGGGACCTGATCCTGTGTCCACATTACTCCCTCAGAGCTCCATCCAAATTGCCTTTGAAGAAGTGACCCAACTCCCACCCAGAGCCAGCATTAGCCATGTGACCTGTGTTGACCAATCAGAGCGCACTATGGTAAGGGTCTAATGGGACTGGTACTCTTTGGGTCCTGAGGTGGGCTGACCCCAAAGGGTTCCCTATAATTGGAGGGTTCTTAACCTGAGGTTTATGTATGTCTTAAAGACTTAAGATTGGCTTCAGAAAGTCTGAGATTCCCGCTGAAGTTATTGGTAAAATTGTCATATGGATGTGAATAACTGTTTTTCTGGGGAAAGGCAATTTTAGCTTTTAAACCTACTTAATTTAGGGGATTATGGCCCCATAAAGCTGAACAGAAGGGAAGTGGGGAGGAGTCTGCGGGACCATCACACGGCAGAGCAAAGCAGGGCGAGCACCCTCCGTGCCTGATCCTGCCTTCCTGTGTCAGGTGTTGCACTGCCAGCTCTCTGCCGAGGAGGTGCGGTTTCCAGTCTCTGTGACCCAGCAGTCCCCCGCTGCCGTCTCCATGGAGACCTACCACGTCACTCTGACACTGCCACCAACACAGGTGGAGGGGAATGTGGGAACCTGAGGTGGGGAGGGGGTGGTTCTGTTGGCTCAGGATTTTTGGTTTGATTCATCTCTGGGATGAAGTTTGGGAATGGTGGGGGTCAGGGGTCAGGAATTGTCGCAGTGGGGCAAGTCCACCCAATCCTTTTTTCCCTGTTTGCAGCTGGAAGTCAGCCTAGAGGAAATTCCTGGTGAGGGGCTACTGGTGTCCTGGGCCTTCACTGACCGCCCAGATCTCAGCCTGACGGTGCTTCCCAAGCTGCAGGCCAGGGAGGTGAGAAGGCAGAGCTGGCAGAGAACAGACAACACAGGGTGGGCCAAAGGGGCGCTCTACCTCATTTTCCTCTTCCTGTCTGCAGAAAGGTGAGGAACAAGGAGCGCTCTCAACAATTGAGGAACTGATTAAGGATGCTATAGTCAGCACCCAGCCTGCCATGATGGTCAACCTCAGAGCTTACTCTGCCCCAGGAGGCCTGGTGAGTAGGTACCCAAAGCAAAAGGTTTGTATGCACCCCACCCCATTTTTTTAAAACCTCCTTCTGCTCTTAGGTACCCAGTGAGAAGCCACCCTTGATGCCCCAGGCCCAGCCGGCCTGCCCTAGACCTGCTCGGTTATTCTTACGTCAGCTTCGAGCATCTCATCTGGGAAGTGAGCTAGGAGGTGAGAGCTAGAAGCAGGGGGGAACCATGTTTGCAGACATTCCCTGCCCTCTGGCAAGGTCATGGTCTCTCTGTTCCTCAATGGCTTTCCAAGTTTGATTTAAGCATTTTTATTTCTGTTTCTCCATAGACACAGAAGAACTATGCTGTGTAGCTGAGCTCGACAACCCCATGCAACAGAAGTGGACCAAGCCCGTAAGGGCTGGTCCTGAGGTGGAATGGATAGAGGACTTGGCACTGTAAGGAATGATCCTGGTTCATCCCCTGCTTCTATATGCAGACTGAGGATGAAACCCTTCCAGTCTAGCCCTGGCATGAGTCACCTCTGCTTTTAGTAACCTTTGATGTGAGCCTCTGTTGGATCCCAGACCCTGGCCTAGTTCCTGGGGATACAGATATGACCAGAATACAGCACCCACCCTGCAGATGACCACAGGCTTGATGCAGAGAGATATACATAGAGATGTGGGTACAAATGTGCCATTTGAGGCTTATACAACATACATGGGAATACTTAGGTACAAAAGGTTAATTCTTATAGCAGACTAAAGATCCAAGTGGGCTTTGTGAAGAAAGTGGTATTTAAGTCACACCTTTGAGGAAGCTTACAATTTCAGCAGAGTGGGAAAACATTCTGGGTAGAGGGCATAGCTTGAGCACATGAAAGTGGGTGGCTTGAGACATAAGGGGACTGGCTAACCAGCATGGATCAGGGCTTGGAGATTTGAATGCCTGGCTGAGCAGCATGGTCTGGCTGCATTTTCTGGGGAAAAAGGGAGGCTTTGGAGGGCAGGATAATCTGATTGGAGCATTGGGACCCTCCTATTTATATGCATCTAACCCTTCCTATGGCCTGAGGTTGACCCAAGGGTGAGTTCACTGTGCTAATCTTGCCTTTCCGTGCCCCATCTGCTCTGGGCCCGCAGGGACCTGAGTCCCCAGAGTCGGGAGCTGATTCTCAAAGTGCTAAGGAGCAGCAGCTGTGGAGACAGTGAGTGTGGGGCAGGATGGGCACCTGGGGTCGGTGTTGAGCCTGGTCACGGGCCCAGCTCACACTGTCACTCCTGTCCCCAGCTGAGCTCCTGGGCCAGGCCACACTGCCAGTGGGCTCCCCCTCCAGGCCACTGTCTCGAAGACAGGTGTGCCCACTTACCCCAGGGCCAGGGAAAGCCCTGGGCCCAGCAGCCACCATGGCAGCAGAGGTGAGAGGCTCACCCAAAGGGGGAGATGGGTGGACACAGGATGGGAAGTCTTAGAGGCCCTGATCCTTTGCCTGCACACCCCTTGACAGCTGCACTATGAGGAGGGCTCCCCCCGAAACCTGGCCACATCTACTCCCTCCACGCCACGCCCCAGCATCACACCTACCAAGAAGATTGAGCTGGACCGAACCATCATGCCTGATGGCACCATTGTCACCACTGTCACCACCGTCCAGTCCCGGCCCCGTGTAGATGGCAAATTAGGTAAAGAGGAGGAGCCTGGGAGCCCACCTCCAGCCAGGGGCCCTACATTTCAGACCCATGGCAGGGCAGGGAGAGGGGAACAAAAGCCATAATTCCAGCACACCCCATTTCCTGATGTTCCCTGCTGATTCTATCACTTCTTTCTCATGATGCCCCAGACTTCCTCATGTCTCCCAGATTTCCCTTCCATCTCTCGTTTCCCCCAGTGATCCCTCTCACTTTTCAGTCTCTCTGGGTCTCGCAGGTTTTTCCAGCAGAGACTCTTGCTCTTCCATCTGCTCAAGTTTCCTGTTCTTTCACAAGTCTATTTCCTTCCCTGTCTCCATCATCACCTGGCTAATCGTCCCTCTCTCTACTGCAACCTGCAGCAACCTATGGGGTTCTTCAGCAAACCCAGTGGCCTCCACAGTGTTTCTCCCACGTTCGTTAGTAGACTCCATCTTACCCCCCCATCTTGAGGGCCCCATGACAGCTCCCCTCCCTCAAGGTCCCTGAACCTTCTCTGTACACTCTTTGTATTTTATAGCATCTCCTCACACCTTCAAGTGGGCCATGTGACACTTTTGCACACTCTCATTGGTCCCTGTAGTGTCTTGTTGTCCCCACAGCATCTTCTTAATCACCCTTGTGATTAATCACCTTTAATCATCCTTGTCCTCTGAGTCAACTAAAGTCTGCATCCCAGCAAGGATAGCAAGGGGGGGCCCATCGGAAGCACCTCCTGGCTCACTGCCCCTCCCCCGCCCAGCAGACTCCCCCTCCCGCTCCCCGTCCAAGGTGGAGGTGACTGAGAAGACAACAACTGTGCTGAGTGAGAGCAGCGGGCCCAGCAATGCCTCGCACAGTAGCAGCCGTGAGTGGGGAGTGGGGATGTGTGAATGTCGGTGGGCACTGGTCCCCTTAGTCCAAAACCACTCTGAGTGGGGCGGAAGGAGTTTGAGTCCAAGAAGGAGCCAGGGAGAAGTCCAGTTATCCATCTGCTGTGCCCATAGCAGGGGAGAGCCACCTTTCCAATGGCCTGGACCCAGTAGCAGAGACAGCAATTCGCCAGCTGACTGAGCCCAGTGGGCGGGCAGCCAAGAAGACACCCACCAAGCGCAGCACTCTCATCATCTCTGGTGTTTCCAAGGTAACAGGCTCTGGGGAAAGGAGCCAGAACAGGGAGAAAGCACTACTCGGTCACTCCTGCCCATTAAAACTTGTGCCTCCTGCCAGGTGCCCATTGCTCAGGACGAGTTGGCACTATCCCTGGGCTATGCGGCATCCCTGGAAGCCTCAGTGCAGGATGACGCAGGGACCAGCGGAGGCCCCTCTTCACCTCCCTCAGACCCACCAGCCATGTCCCCAGGACCCATAGATGCCCTCTCCAGTCCCACAAGTGTCCAGGAAGCAGATGAAACCACACGTTCGGACATCTCTGAGAGGCCATCTGTGGATGATGTTGAGTCAGAAACGGGGTCTACTGGTGCCCTGGAGACCCGCAGCCTCAAGGATCACAAAGGTGGGAGATAATGACAGGGCACCTCGCCCACCTCTTCTTTTACACCCAGGGTTGTGACTTGGGTCCTACTGGACATTTCTGAAAACAGGAGGCTCTGCCAGATTGCCTTATGCTTTTCTTCCTGAGTTCAGCCAAGCCGTAGTGGTGGGAACCTGGTACAAGGTTCCTGGTCTGGTTCAGACAGGCCTGGCTGACAGAAAGGGATTCTAACTTTTCCCCTTTACCTCTGTTTTTTCCTCCTGAGCCCAGTGGCCTGTCTTCCTTCCACTGTTCTTCTCCCACCTTTACTCTGTACCATGCCACCCCAAGATTATAAGAAATGCTACCTGGGCACATGTTAGGATTATTCTCTGGCAGTGAACAGCTGTGGCAGTTCTAACTTAAAAGGAGAGGGGCCAAACTGAATCACTCATTTAACAGTGAGCCTGTCAACCAGGAATCTATCTACTTATGATTTAAGTCTCCGTCACTTCATGTCCAAAGCCTGCCATGTAAGCACCTTCCTCAATTGTCTTGGTCCTGGATCTCCTTCTTTGAAGTTTCCAGACACTGCTTCCTGTGCACACCCTGGAATGCAGTAAACAAGTTGCTGTCAACCCACCTTTTCCTTGATGATTTATAGGCTTTGGAGAACACCTTGTGTTACCTTTGTGTTTTACAGTCTCAATGTGTCCACACAGAGCAGTGGCCAGGGCCACTCTTCCTTGAGGCAGAGTCAGAGTTGCACCCAGAACCCCATGAGCATACAGTTTCTTCATCAGAGCAGACAAAGTGCGTTTTGGGCTCTACTTTATTTTCTGTCTGGCTTTAGTCCAGAGACTCTGGTTCTGTTTTTCATCTTGTCACTTCACTCCAACATTGGTCCTTATTCTGTCCCCTACCTCTCCCCACACCCATGCCCATCTCTCTGCCTCTGTTTCCCCTCTTCTCCTACAGTGAGTTTCCTGCGCAGTGGCACCAAGCTTATCTTCCGCCGGAGACCTCGACAGAAGGAAGCTGGCCTGAGCCAATCACATGATGACCTCTCCAACACAACGGCCACACCCAGTGTCCGCAAGAAGGCTGGCAGTTTTTCCCGCCGCCTGATCAAGCGTTTTTCCTTCAAATCCAAACCCAAGGCCAACGGCAACCCCAGCCCCCAGCTCTGAGGGGTTTCCTCAGCTCTTGAGCTAGGAGAGGGCAAGTTCTCTCAGCTCGCTCCCCACATCCCCTTCCTTACCCTTTCCTGGATTCATTGGGGTCAGGAAAACCCTTGGGTTCCAGGGAGCCCCGTCCACCCTGGGCTGTGGGGCTGGTTGGAAGGGAACTTGCAGTGGGAAACATTTGAAAGGTGGTACCCATTGCGGCGGGCACGGAAAAGAGAGCTGGTAGCTAGGAGTAAGAGGCGGGCTCTGTCCTGGCGCGTGTGGACATTGCTCAGGAGCGTTTGCCCCTGCTGACGCTGGCCCCCCTGAAGAGGAGTTCCAGGGTGCTCAGCTCCTCAGTGGATCCTTTTTCCCTTATTTATTCTCTTTTCTATTTATATGTGTGATCTAGGACCCTCAGTGAGCAGATGAGAGAGGGCATCTCTCCCAGGTGACCCTTCTTTTCTGTCCCAGAAGAGTAGGCAGTTCCCAGGAGGGGTTCCCACATCTTCAGGTCCCCACTCAGAGCAGCACCAGTGTCTGCCTCTGAGGACACTGGCAGCTCACAGGAAGTCGGCCGGTGCCCAGGACGGGGTGGGGCAGGTACTCCCCACCTCCTGCCTCCCCTGCGCTCCTCATCCCTCCCTCCCCCTTTCTTACCGGTTTTTGTACTTGAGGCCTTCTCCGTGAGCAGTGGCTCAGATGGAAGGAGGGAGCCAGGAGCCTGGTAGGAAGCCTTGTCCAGGCACACGGCTTTCGGGGCTTTAAAGACTGTGATGATGAGCAAGGCTGCACCTTCTATGTTGGGGGGATGATGATGTCCATTGCTGTGTGATGGCTTGGAATTTAATTTATTAAATTAAAGTCAAATCGGAGTTTATAAGCTGGACAATGGATTATCCTCTGCAGGATAAATAGGCAGTGAGGCTGTGTGCTGATAGGTTGAGGATGAGGGTTAGGGACCCAGGTAGCAAGATGAGACAGATGGTCCTGCAGGGAGGAAGGGATGTATCGAGACAAGATGGGAGGAACAAGAATCTGAAAGGTGACGCTGCAGAAAGAAAGCCAAGTGGCCACTCTGTAGGCATCTTCCTCAAACATGCTACTCTTTCCTGGACATTACAGGGTTCAGAGGGTGAACTCTGGAACTAGACTGTCTGGATTTGAGTCCCAGCTTGATTAATTGCCTGTGTGACCTTAAGCAAGTTATATAAGCTCTGGGTGCCTCAGTTTCCTCTGTAAAAACAGAATCATGATAAGAACAGCTGTCATTCAGTTGTGGAGGAGAAATAGAGTTAAAGTACTTAGAACTGTGTGGCATATAATCAGTGCTGAGTATTTACTGTTGCCTCAGCAGAGAGTAATAGGCAGGGGAAAGTCCTACATCTTTCATTGTTTCAGTGTTTTATTCCTAAACTCACAAGTTTTAGGGTGCCATAGGTACTAACAATCTCTGTGTCCCTGGTTCTTGTCTCCAAGATCCTACAAAGATTTGAACCAGGAAAGCTTTTGCAGGATGTTGGATAGAGCACAGAACCAATAGGTAGGAAAACTTGAGTCTACCACAAACACGCCAAGTGACTGTAGCAGGCCACTTCTTTTGGAGCTCAATTTTCTCATCTCAAATAAGTATGGTCTTCTATCGTTGACATTCTGTGACTTACCTGCATCACAGAGAGTTCAGGGCACATGCCTGGGTAGACAGCATGTACCTGTTAATGTTCTCTGTGCTCCTTTCCTTAGTAATACAGGATTTGGAAAGAGTGGCAGGATTTGAGAGTTTGGTTACTTTTTATATAACGAAAGACTCAACCACAAGTCATGAAAACTCATTTTTCAAGTTGTTTCTCCTGGAGCAGTTTGTTTACCAGTCTTAAAAATGGCAAACACACGGACTTTGTCATTTCATAGGAAACTTGTTGATAGCAGATAGAGTCCCATTGGACCTGTGTACCTGATGCTGTGTTGCCCAGAGATCAACAGAAACAGATACAGTTAAAGTCAGTATTAGCCAGGCACCAGGGGTTTAGCTCAGCAGGCATAAGTGCCTGCTTGGCAAACTTGAGGTCATGAGTTCAATCTCCAGCACCAAAAAAAAAAAAAAGCCCAATCACATTTCAAACACAGATTTTCAAAATGCATGACTGTGAATGTAGCTCAATGATAAAGTGCTTGTCTAGCATCTGTGAAGCTGAATAAATAAATAAAACAATTCTATTATCCATTTTACACTACAGAGCTACAGCTTTTAGTAAGAATAAATTGTGCTTTAAGTTTTCTTTTTGTGGCAGCTTTTAAAGAATAAATTACCGAATATGTTTGCATTAGCAAGCCAAAATTTGGCTTGTTTTCAATACAAGCAGATTGAGATAGAAGTAAACTATGCTAGGCAGCAAGAAACTGCCTTAAATTTTTGGAAACATAGATGGATTCCAGAGCAATACTGAAATTTTTGCTCTAAAACCTATGTTGGAGTTCACACAACTCTGTGATTGAACTTAGTCTTCATGAAACTGCTAAAATAAAGCTAAGAGCCATTTTTAATGGTGTTAAGTCTGAATTAAAATGAGGTTGGCATTTCATGCAGTTCTACTACATGCATTTCTGAATGAATAAAGTAGTAAAATATATTTTGTACTTTCAATTATATTTTTAAAATCCTATTCTAAAATGAGTCCTAAGCTAAAATTCACCGTTAAAGATAAAATTCATGCTAAGCCATAACTACAGTAGAGTACTTATCTCTCATGTGCCAATCCCTGAGTCCAATCTTCATTACTGCCACAAACAATAACAACAATAAAAAAAATTCATGCACAGCTGAGTATTTAGCTCAGCAGCCTAAGCGCCTGCCTTGCAAGTGTGAGGTTGTGAGTTCGATCCCTGGTACAAAAAAAAGTCATGCATACATTTTTTTTTGGTGCTGGCTCAAACCCAGAGCCTCTGTTGACCAGTGCTGTACCACTGAGCTATCTTCCCAGCCTTGATCTTACCACTGTTAATTACATGTTTAAATTCATTTTATTTACACTGAAATGTAATGTATTTCTCTGATTATATAGATATTTTTAGGTTACAAGATACAGAAAACTAGGGGCTGGGGATTTAGCTCAGCGGCATAAGCACCTGCCTTGCAAGTAGGCGGTCGTGAGTTCGATCCCCAGTACCCATAAAGTTAAAAAAAAAAAAAAAAAGATACAGAAAACTACAATGCAATAAAAAATTACAATCTCAATGAACACTACTAAGGTACATAATTCAGCAAGTATGTTGAACCCTTATAGAGTTTCAGCCACTGGACTTGGGTTATACCAGTGAAGAAATAGGTACAATCCCCGTATTCCCTCGCTGAGGGAGCCTGTAACAGAATGTAGACGAGTAAACAGGTAAATGCAATATGTCATAGACTGGTATTGGCAAATACAGGGCTGTCAAGGAAGATTTCTTGGAAAAAAGAAAGTATCTAGGGTGATACCACAATGAATAGCAATCAGTCATAAATGTTGAGACAGGGAAATGGGGAAGATCATTCTGGGCAGAGAAAACAGCAGGTACAAGGATGACAGGTTGAAGGTGGCTGGGTGTGGTGAAGCAGGACTCAAGATACGAATGAGGGCTGCAGATATAGCTCAGCCGCACAAGTGCCTGCCTGCCTGGCAAGTGCGAGGTAGGAAGTTTGACTCCCGGTACAAAAATAAATAAACATTTAAAAAGATACGAATGAAAAGACAGGACGCAAATGTTGAAAGATGTAGAAAGCCTCAGTTTGATGGTGCTGTGGTCAGATCTAGCTCTTTTGTTTTTTTATATTTTTGTAAAGATCACTTTGCTCCATGGAGAATGATTTGGTGGGAAGCTAAAGCAGCAGAGGGACTAGTTTAATGTAGAAATCTGGGCTGGCTGGCATCCATCGCTTAGGTTGGGGGAGGTGAAGATAAAGGCGGATGAATTTCAGATACGATGAATAAAAGATGGACTGCACAGAACTTGGCAGTGGATTATGACGGGTGACGGAGGAATCAGAGATTACTATGTACCAGGTTTCTGAAGTAAAAGACTGGACGGATGACGAGGGTGTTCAAGAAGCCTGGAAACGATCTAGGCAGAGACTTGTGGGGAACAGCAATACCAGTTTTTAAAAGAAGACTAAGAGGATAAAGAGTGGATGTAAAGCTCCCAATTAGGGCAGAGCCTGGCAGCAGTGCCGGGCAGAGAGCCTCCCACACCGTCTGCTGCGCGCCGCCCACGCGGCGAGCTAACCGGAGCCAGCAAAGGAGGAGACCCCCACAGGGCGCCCCCGCCGGAGCTCTGCGCATGCCCATTAGGCCGCGCGCGCCGAGTCTGCGCAGTTGGTACATTCAGGCCCCCAGGTTCGGCGCTAGCACACCCGCCGGGCAGCCCGCCGATACCTTTTCCCGCATCCGGTCGCCCCTCACTCCAGCAGCAATCGCTCAACCCCACCCGCCGTTCCCGCCCCTTCCGTGTTTTGGTGCGCACGGGTTCCGCCAGGCACACTGCCCATTGGCTGCCAGTTGACCACAGGACAGTGATTGGCTGTCGCTGGCCGTCGCTCAAGCGCCCTCGGGGTGGATAGACTGAGGTGGGTGGAGAGCTGGAGAGCCCTGGAGCTGACGCTCGGTGAGTTGGGGCTCCGTGCTCGGCGGGATCTGCGGCTAGGGTGCGCTCGTCGGGAGTTACAGAGGCGAGGCTCTCGCGAGCCGCCTCGCCGAGGGCTCCTGTTGCAGCTCGGCCACGCTGCACTGGGGTATCCCGTTCCTCTCACCCCGACTCGAAGCTCCCGCTTCTCGAGGGGCTTCGGTGCCGCCGAGACTCGAGCACTGCCGCGCCTCCGGGGGAAGGAGTCCCGGAAGTCCGCAGAGCTTCAAAGGAGAGGTTTTGCCTTCCGGAAGGTCTCTTTCCGTCCCTCCGAATTCTACTGTCCTCGAGGCTTGGCCCGCGCCTCACCTCTGCTGAGGCGAGCTTTCCCGGTTTCAGCTGCCCACAGGGTTTCTGTCCATCTCTATCTCCCTTGTCGGGTGCATTGTTTTGGTCGCTGTCTTCACACGTCAGAGTGCTACCCCTTCTTCTAAATTGGGAGTCCTTAGGCGTTAAGACGTGGTTCCCATCCTTTCCTTGAATGCCATTCAGGATTCATTCTGTCTTGCGATACCGATGTGTGCTGGGTACCAGTATGTGGTATATACATACACACACGTGTTTGCTGATTGCTTCTTTCTTTGACTTCTCATAAAGTCTCTTGGGTTGTTTTTGTTGGCTCTTTTGCAGTATCGGTGCTTGAGCATCGCACCTTCAGCAGGAAGGATATTTATATATGACACTTGCTGAGTTCTAGTGATGTGTAAAGCTAACCATCTTAATATCTAATAGCTAATTCTTTTGTTTTGAGATCCAGCCTTGATATGTAGTCTGGGCTGGTTTTGAACTCGCCAGTCTCCAGCCTTAGTCTTTAGTCTCAGCCTCCTGAGTGCTGGGATTCCATTCATGTATCTCTTGCACCGGGATGCTTGATTTCTTAATTCACTGATGTGTATAATTATCTTCCTGTTGCATAGGAAGCTAAAGCTTGACTAACTTGCCTAAGACCATGTAGTTGTAAATGTTGGAATTTTGTTTTGTTTTGAGACAGGTCTCACTATGCAGTTCAGGCTGGGTTTGAGCTCATTTTGTAGCCCAGGCTGGGCTTGAGCTCACTTTGTAGCCCAGGCTGGCTTTGAACTTGCAGCAATCCTCTTGCCTCAGCCAGTGTCGGAACTTTGTAACCAGATCAGTAGAATCCAACACCCATGGTTATGTTAGTATTCTATTTTACCTTTAAGGAAAGAGGTTCAGAGAATGCAAGTGATGTGTCCAAAATAAAGTAGTTTTTTCCTGTCCCAAATCTATTTTATTTCAAGGAGTAAAAGAAAAGAAGAATCATGCATGCTAATGTACATGAGAGTCAACCCATAAAAATAGTAATTTATAGATTTCCTTAAAACATGGCAGGAGAGCTGGGCATGTAGCTCAGTGGTAGAGTGTGTGTACTGCACACTCAGGGACCTGGGTTTCATCACCAAAGCCACAAAACAAGCAAGACGCTGCAAGAGCTTCTTAGTAGGTGTGCACTTGCCCTACAAAGAATTGAGTGGGGCACAGGCCAGGGTTCTGAGGAACTTACAGCTTAATTGGAGAAAGCTACAAAATAGTGAGTTCGTACAACATGTTCTGGGTATAGTATATATTGGAATGAGAGCTGTATGGAGGGGCTTGAACTGGAGGGGTTAGACAGGCTAGAAAAATTGAGCCAAAGTTCTTAGCTTTAACTTGTTTCCATTACTTCCCAACTGTGTGACAGTGCATAAATTATGTAACGTGCCTAGATCCATCTCCTAATCCTTAAAATGGAATAATAACAGTACCTACCCCATAAGGTTGTTGTATTGATGAGTTTATATTCTTGTAAAATACCAGAATAGTGCTTGGCATTTAAGAGAAACTTAGTAGTGAGGGCAAATCAATTGAGACAGGAAACTTGAAGTCACCTCTCTGACGGCTGGCTCAGTTTCCTTTCCCATATACTCATTCTGTTGTATTCCTTGCCTACAGAGGATACAGTGATGACTGTGTGTTACTTTGTCCTTTGTCTTCCCAGGGTAAAACCAGAACACAGAAAAATTAAAGAAGACAAAGGGACAGTGAAAGAAGACATCAGGGAGTTTCACTTGTTCAGGTCATTAGATTGCTGGCCAGTCTCCCTGCTGGGTAGCACCATCAGCCTAAACCAGGTATGTGTTCAGAATATTTGTGCTCAGTGCTCTGCTTAGCATAGTGTATGGAGGCCGGAAATGTAGCTCAGTGGCACAGCGCCTGCCTGGCAAGCATAAGGTCTTGAATTCAATTGCCATTACCTAAGAAACATAGTATATGGACACAGAGGAACTACATGGTTGGTTTCTGCTCAGAAGCAGCTTACAGCCCAGTTAGGTAAACTAAGTTATAACCATTAAAAGGACTGTGAGCGGCTACAACTGCGTAAAAGTAGTTCGGAGGTTTTATGTTGTCTGTCCATTATGCCAGCTATGGACAAAAGATGGCAATCACTGCAGGGTGAGACAGTTTGACTTCCTGAAATGTGATCGTGTCCCAATATTTACTGAGCATCTAGGGCAGTGAGAGGGAACCTTCTAGAGTTGTCAGTGATAACAAACAGCCGGCTATGGCATACATGCCGTATGTTTGCTGTCACTGATCTAGAGAATACAAAACTGTGCTGACATTGAGATTAGGAAAGGAATATGTGACACTCCCTGCCCTGAGCAACTGCTTGTCTAGGGGAGACAGATGTTGCACTGCATTATACTACAAGATTTCAGGTACTGTAATTAAGTATACATACTATAATTAAGATGTGTATGGAGTACTGTGGGCAGGAGATGAATCGTATTTGGATGAATTGGGAAAGGTTCACCAAAGAAGAACCATTCAGGCTTGCAGGATGAGTAAACTCTTAGGAGAATGTAGTAGATTTAGGGACAGAATGATTGAATCAAAAAAGAAGAGAGAATAGATATATGAGGAATGAAGCAGCAACATATGGGGAAAGATCATGATCTGTCTTGGTTACTTTTCTCTTGTTGCTAAGACAAAATACCTGATGCCCAAAATTAAGGGAGGAAAGGTTTATTTAGCTCACGGTTAGTGAAGGTTTTAGTCCATAGTCAACTGGCTCCAAGGCAGAGTAGCATGGCACAGGGACAATAGTTCAAGGCAGCAGAAGACAGTAAGCAGGAGAAAAAGGAGAGGAGCAAGCAAGCCTCTTCCCTCCCTTATGTTGTAAGCAGGCTACTGCTCCTGGGTGGGTGTAGCACTCACCATCTCCATATCCTCCTCCTTGCACAGGCTCAGGATATTTACAGAGTGAGGACCCTGGGCACCTGTTAAGTCACTAAACTTGAACTCTTCAGGTCGGGGTTGGGGATTTAGCTGAGCGGCATAAGCGCCTGCTTTGCAAGCATGGGGTTGTGAGCTCGATTCCTGGTACTGACTAAAAATAAAAAAAGTGAAAAAAGTTTTCAGGTTGACGCAGTGAACAACATCCTAGAGCAAATAAGGGCATATCTTCTCCCCACTAGGATACAGAACTGCGCAGTAACTTAATTAAGCTGCTCAAGTTGACACAGCATATCAACCATTACTTGATCTTTGCATTTGAATTGGAGGACACTCATTTCAAATGAAAGGTGGAGAGGGCTTACCTCAAGACTTGACATGCTGTAGGCCTTTGCCATGGGTTAGTTTCCTTCGCCATGTCTCAGAGAGGTAAACTGCGGCCAGTTTAGGAGGCCTTGCATTCCATACTGTAGGTAACAGAGAGTCTGAAAAGGGAGATTTTACATCTGGAAGGCTTTCTCATGTTTTGCTACCTCAACATTATAAAAGTAATCAGTGTTTTCTTTTAATAAAGCTCCTGAACAGCACAGCAAGCCTGTGCTCATCTGGGACCAGGCTGACTGGATTCTCAGGAAAAAAGGCTGTGTAGGTTTAGGAGGAATGGTTAGTTCAGAAGTCCGTACTTGGAGCCATCCGGGATCTTATATGTTTTATATTTTGTTTTGTTCTTCCCACTATTTAGAAGGCCCTTTTCTGAGTTCCCATCTGTCTTCCTGTGGGGCTGAGGGAGAGCTACCCACAGGGAGCACTGGCGTGTCCCCTTCCTCAGGGCCCCCATGGGAGGTAAGCAGGAATCAGTGGGAATCCGCAGTCAGAAAACGGCCCCGGACAGAGTCAAGGCTCTTTAGTGTCTTCTACAATTTTGGCCAAATCTTCCATTTTGTTTTAGTTTTTCTTCAACAAATATTTATTACGTGTCCACGCACATCTACCACTGTATAGACAGACACCAAGGTGCATTGTAACAAGACAAGCGGGCCTGTCACATTGGAATGGAATCTGTTTTCTTTTAAAAGTTGTTTTGGCCGTAATGGAATTGAACCCAGGGCCTTTGCACTGAGGTATAGCTCCAGCTTTTTTTTCTTTGAGACAATTCTCACTAAGTTCCCCAGGCTCCTCCCTCAGCCTTTTAGCATGCTGCAGTTACAGATGTACACCATCATCCTTGATTTGGATTCTACATTTTAACATGGTGTTAAGGGGGTGGTGGAGTCAACAGGCAAAGACAGATTGTGTGACACTTTAAAAATCTCGCAGGGGATTTGGGACAAGATCTAGTAAGAAGTGGGGAGCTTGTGGGCTCGTCGGTTGGCTGCATTGAGTAGAAAGAAATCAGCCTGACTAGACTTTACCCTACTGTTAGGGTGTGGCCTTGGACAAATCTGCTCTGGATCTTTTTTTTTTCTTGGTCATTTTTTATAAATGAAGTTAAATATAGTGTCTACTCAGTGGCACTCAGAGGCAGGAGGATCACTGCAAGTTCAAGGCTAGCCTGGGCTCTGTAATGAGTTTAAGGCCAGCCTGGACCCCGTAACAAGACCCCATATCAAACAAAAACCCGAAAGAAAAAAAAAGCTGTTTACTCATAGGTGTCACCAATTAAATGATATAATACAAATAAAATGTTTAATGTGCCGGACATTGTGTAAAATTCATAACAAAGTTTTCTGATCTTCGTTTTGGCCAAGGTCACACAGCTACCAGGAGTAGGTGGTGGGACAGTGGAGCCTGGATTTGAACTCTAGCCCCTCTGCAGTCATCTGTTTGAACTTGAGCAGTGTCCTGCCTGCCGTAGCAACGGCTTCTTGGCAGGCTGCCCTGAAGCTTCAGGGCAAGGTACCTGTTAGTGTTTGGATCAGTGTTTGGCGCATGCCCAGTTTTCGTGCTTCCTCCCCAGGACCTCCAGACAGCTTCCAGGTGTGTGCGGAGCTGCTGCTGCATCCTCACCGAAAACGGCGCAGGGTTTCTCGTGGGTCACTGGGGAAACACTTGCGGGTTTCTGGCAGGCTGCCTGCTCACTTTGGGTGGAACCCTGGCAGCGATGAATTTCTTCCTGTTCCTCTAGGGTGAAGGCCATGTCGCCTCCTGGTAAAGTTCCCCGGAAGGAGAACCTGGGGCTCCAGTGCGAGTGGGGGTCCTGCTCCTTCGTGTGCTCCGCCATGGAGGAGTTCTGCGAGCACGTCACTCAGCACCTGCAGCAGCACCTGCACAGCCCCGGGGAGGAGGAGGGAGAGGAGGACGAGGACAACCCGCTTGGTGAGGGAGTGGGGTGCGGGCGAGAGCAGGGGGCGATCTGAGCCTGCTTTTCCCACAGGGAGGAGGCAGCCTGGGAGAATAGAAGTTAATCATCCTACTTTTGCTGTTTGGTTTATAAAAACATTGTAAGCTCATTTATAGAAAATTCATTCAACAAAGATATAAGAAATGTTCTCCATCTTGCCATCAAGGGAGACAGTTACTTTGATGGATTGATTGATTGTTATGTTGGGCAAACCCAGGACCTTTCTTCACAGTAGGCAAATGCTCTATGTTCCCAAAAAGCGATTACTGACAGTGCTTTAGTAAACGTTATTTTTCTGGCCTTCCACTGCCTTTGTGTACATATTTATTTGTGGGGTTTTTTTTGAGACAAAGTCTCACTGTGTAGTTCAGGCTGACCTGGAACCCTGTGTCATAGAGACAGGCTTGCAACTTGTGGTGATCCTCCTGCCTCAGCGTCTCAGGGCTGGGACTACAAGCATGCACCACCATGCCTGGCTGCTCTTACGTTTTAAAAAAGGTCGAACTGTATAAGGTGTTGGCAGCCTGTTTGTTTTACTCTGTATTAGTGTCTTTTACCCTTTTAAACTTCAACTAACAGGAGTACCTTTTAAATCATAACACTTTGCACAAAAGTTAAAGAAAAAAGGATTCTTGAACCAGTACTTATTAAATGGTCTCTGAAATGTTCTATCTTATTCTTTTATTTGAAAAACGAAAATGGTTTCAGTCCAGTAAGTCAACTTCACCAGACAATAGTGGATTGCAATAGTTTGAAAGATTATCCTGTAGAAAATACAGAAATAACTCTTTCCCCCATCTTGAATTCTGTTTAAGTCAGGTGACCATGAAGTATAGCTCCCAAGTCAAATAATGTTTATACAAAAGAGAAATTAAGAGATAATTGTGTTTTCTGAAATATCTTTTTTATTTTTTAAAGACGATGTCTTGCTATATAATTCAAGATGGCCTTGAACTCACTGTGTAGCCCAGGCTGGCCTTGAACTTGTGGTGATCCTCCTGTCCCAGCCTCCTGAGTGCTGGGATCACAGGTGCACACCACCGTGTCCAGCGGGTACCTACTTTTCAACATGAGTAAACCCTGTAAAGCATTAAAGATAGGATGCTTAGAGGTGCTAGAGCGTTGAGAAATAGGCAGAAACAGTAAGTAGTCGATGGAACTTGCTTGCAGAATGCAAATTTTAAGCAGAAGAGGAGGGCAAGGACTCCTGGTGGTTTCTGAGGCGGGGAGACCACGTGTTCCTGAGGGCCCGGCAGAGCCTGCACAGAGGTTCTCCTGGCTGCCCCTGCTGTCTGTCAGTTCTGGCACAGGCCCTGCATACACCTTTGCCTCTGCCTCGACCTCACTCTTTATCTCCTTAATCATACTCGTCCTTGAGCTTTCAATGTGGGACACTTCCCGGGGTACCTCTGCCCACATCACATTACTTCTGTTTAATGCTTCTGTTTGTTCTGTTATGTTTTGAGACAGGTTCTGTGCTGTGTAGTTCAGGTTAGCCTTGAACTCAGCGATTCTCCTGCCTCAGCCTCCCGAGTGGTGGGATTACAGTTGTGCACCACCACACCCATCTTTGTGTTTAATGTTCCTGTGCCTCACCGCATGGCACTGGTCAAAAGTTTCAGTTTCATATTTATAGTTGAGATTATTTGATTAAGGTTCTTTTTCTGGCTGAAAGCTCTGAGGACAGGGCCTGGGACTCGTTACATCCGAGTGCAGCCGGAGGTGATTATCTGCTGGTATTTGCTCAGTCAGCTCCTGATGACTTGGTCAGAGTCCTGCTGTAGATAGCTCCAGGGGAAAGCAACCCGAGCCTTGCAAAGCGTGACTCTGCCTTTTGAACCCTTTTCTGCAGAGGAAGAGTTCTCCTGCTTGTGGCAGGAGTGCGGCTTTTGCTCCCTGGATGACTCCGCTGACCTCATCCGCCACGTCTACTTCCACTGCTACCACACCAAGCTCAAGCAGTGGGGGCTGCAGGCCCTGCAGAGCCAGGCCGACCTCAGCCCCTGCATCCTGGATTTCCAGAGCCGCAACATCGTCCCTGACATCCCCGACCACTTCCTGTGTCTGTGGGAACATTGTGAGGTCAGCGGCAATGCCGGAAACAAGGGTGGAAGGAACCTGGGATCGACTCAGGGGACCTTGAGCTTTCTGGGGTGTCTTATTTATTTCACAAGAGTCCTGCTAGTGTTTTTATTTCTGTGTGGCCCCTTTCCTCAGACTCTTCCCATCTCTACCAACTTAATTTGGGAGTGAGCCAAAACCCATTGGCTTAGGGATATGAGTCCTTCCCCGCCCCATGCTTACCCCACATTGCCCGGCACAGAGCACCTTCGACAACCCCGAGTGGTTCTATCGGCACGTGGACGCGCACTGCCTGTGCTGTGACTACCAGGCGGTCGGCAAGGACAGCCACGTGGTGCTGTGTGCCTGGAAAGGTAGGCTGTGCCTTCCGCTGCCTCTGGAAGCAAACCTGGGACTGTGGAGGGCCTGTGGTAGCCAGGAATGGGACCAGCCCCACAGGACAAGGTGGGGAGCTGGCTGCAGAGACTGGGGGCCCCAGGTCCAGCTTAGGGAGTTCGGAAGCGGGGCCTGAGCAGGCCTTTCTTCCCAGGCTGTACCTGCACCTTCAAGGACCGCTGTAAGCTTCGGGAGCACCTCCGCAGCCACACCCAGGAGAAGGTGGTGGCCTGTCCTACCTGCGGGGGCATGTTTGCCAACAACACTAAGTTCTTGGATCACATCCGGCGCCAGACCTCCTTGGACCGTAAGCCCTCAGAGAGCAGCGGGTATAGGCCGAGCTGCCTGCAGTGGGGTCGGGCACGTTCCCAGGGAGGGTGGCCGCTGGAGCTCCCTGCAGCGTGGCTGTGGCCCCGGCGGGCTCAGGCACCTCCCAGTCTCCTCCTAGACCTCCTTACTCTCCTTCCTGTGTGTCACACCAGTTATCTCAGGGCACCCTCCCAGCAGCCCCGTGAGGTAGGCTTCTTATTCCCCTTTTTGCAGATGAGGAAACTGAGTCTCAGAGAGGTTAAACCACTTACCTGAGATCACACAGCTCGTAAGTGGTAAAGCCGACCTTCTAACTCAGGTTCCTAACTCCAAGTCCTGTCCGTAGTTCGCCTTTGTCTCCCTGGGTGGCTCCCTCCGTCCTGGGCTGGTTTCCCTGTCTTTGCCTCTGCACTGCCCCCCAGTCCCCCTTATCCTCTCCCACCCTGCCTCAGAACAGCGCTTCCAGTGCTCACACTGCTCTAAGAGATTTGCCACAGAGCGGCTGTTGAGGGACCACATGCGCAACCACGGTGAGTGGCCCTCCGCCCCAGGGTCGCACCCGCCCCCCCGCCCGGGTTCCGCGTCCCCACGTGACAGCCTGCGCTCTGCTCCCCTTAGTGAATCACTATAAGTGCCCTCTGTGCGACATGACGTGCCCGCTGCCTTCCTCTCTCCGCAACCACATGCGCTTTCGCCACAGCGAGGACCGGCCCTTTAAGTGTGACTGCTGTGACTACAGGTAAGGGGATCAGGGGCCGGGAAACAGCCTGTGTTCCAGGGTCCCCTGGGCCTCCAACCCCTCCGCCTCTCCTGGCAGCTGCAAGAATATGATCGACCTCCGGAAACACCTGGATACCCACAGCAAGGGGCCGGCCTACAGGTGTGACTTCGAGAACTGCAGCTTCAGCGCCCGGACCCTCTGCTCCATCAAGTACCATTACCGCAGAGTGCACGAGGTAGAGGGGGCGGGCAGCGGGGCAGGGCTGGCGGGGTGGAGGTGGCGCGGTGGGCAGCCCCGCTCACTTCTTTCCTCCTGCCCTTCAGGGAGACTCTGAGCCGAGGTACAAATGTCACGTGTGTGACAAGTGCTTCACGCGCGGCAACAACCTCACCGTTCATCTTCGTAAGAAGCACCAGTTCAAGTGGCCCTCGGGGCACCCCCGTTTCCGGTATGTCTTCGCCGTCCCCCAGAGCACACATGCTTCTGCCTGTACCTTTCAGCAAGTTAGCAACCTTGAAATTGGTAGTGCGTTAATGTCGCCGTCCCTGTGTGGGCTCAGCCCTGACAGGCTGACCGCAGCCAGCTGAGAGGGGCAGAGGTGATTTCTCTGAATGTCTTAATCCAAGGCACAGTGGCAGACCCAGTTAATTGCACCGAAAGTCCCGCAGCCAGCGTTAGCATCTAGGCCCTGACCCTCAGTGCCGCGGCCTTTGCAAAAACCCTTTAAAGCTCCTGCCTTCCACGTGGAGTCACTTCTTTCTCTGGCTCGGGTTTCTGCCTAAAGCCTTCCACTCTGAGTGATGGGCTTTCCCTCTTGCCCTTTCTTTTACAACAAAGGTCCAGTGAAGGCCTTTTTCATCTTTAGTCCCAGCACTCTGAGTCCCAGGGGCTCAGTCTCTCGCGTTCAGCTCTTGGCTCCCCAGTGTCCGGGCCTTCTTTGCATCCCTCGGCCCTTGTTGGCTGCCCTCGCGCCTCTCCCCCTCCAGGTACAAGGAGCACGAGGATGGCTACATGCGGCTGCAGCTGGTTCGCTACGAGAGCGTGGAGCTGACGCAGCAGCTGCTGCGGCAGCCACAAGAGGGCTCGGGCCTGGGAGTGGCGCTGAGCGAGGGCAGCCTGCAGGGCATCATTCTAGAAACAGAGCTGGGGGAGCCAGGACCGGAGGAAGAGGCAGAAGGCGGGAGCGGGGGCGCTGAGGGGACAGCCCTCTCCGCCTCTCAGGACAGCTCCAGCCCTGTTATCCACGTGGTGAATCAGACCAACGCCCAAGGCCAGCGCGAGATCGTCTACTACGTGCTGTCTGAAGCCCCAGGAGAGCCACCCTCAGGGGGCCTGGTGGAGAAGCTTCCAGGAGTATCCGAGGAGCCCGAGGTCCAGATGGCGTGAAGGCTACCGAGCCTGACCACTCGAACCCCAGGCCGTGGGCTTGAGCCAGGCAGGTAGCAGTGTCCCCCGCGGGCAGCCTTTGCCAATGAATGCCTTTAGGAACGGTGCTGAGAACAGTGCGGTCCTCTGCGGGCCAGGCTTGCATCGTTCTGCAGACTCTTAAGAACTTGAGTTTTAGCCACACTGCATTTTGTAGGGATCCTGAGGAGTGTGGGTTCTTTGAGGGGATCCTGGATGTGTGTGTTCTCTTGTGGGGTACTTGTTACCAGTTTTAACCCCCTCAGTGTTCTGGACAGTAATTAAATCCTTAGTCAACTCACACCCGTTACATCTTTAGGAGTCCATAGGCCCAAGGATGATGGATGGTTGGTGGCTTTCCAGGGCCCTTTCCTTGATCCCAGTTAAGGCATTGAAAGCTAGGCAGCCACTTCTCTCAAGGGTTCCTCTTACGGCCCAGGGACATTTGTGGATTTGTGGTTATCCTCAGGGACAGCATTGGAGGCACTCTGTGTGAGTGTGAGTGTGTGTGTGTGTGTGAGTGACTTTTTGGTAATAAACAACTTGGGTTTTTACTCATTTCTCTTGAAGTTTTGTGGCAGTTATGTAGGTAATGAGGGTCTAGCCGCTCAAGAGAAGAGCTGAACATCGAGGCTCTTTGCTTTTTACTGACTGGGGTGGTTTGTGTTGTTCCCCTTCGGTGTGACTTCTTTTATGATTTGTTTTTTTGAGGCAGGGTCTCGCTATGTAGTTCAGGCTGGTCTTGAACTCCTAAGTAGCCCAGGCGGGCCTCGAACATGCAGTGATCTTGCCTCAGGCTCCCAAGTGCTAGAGTCACAAGCATGAGCCACCGTGCTGTTCCTTTTGGTAGAACTTGTTCCTTTCTTCTCAGAGCACCTGCCAGCTGCACGGAGACCCTAGGCGTTTAGAGTTGAGTGGACAGTAGCAGCACTGTAGAATGGACGAGAGCAGTGCCCACATGCTGACCACGACTGCACTCTCAGTCCTGTTAGTGCCCTGGGCCTCTAGGTTAAGGCTCTGACTAGTGGGTATCTTGGGGGGAGTGCCAAGTACTTCTGGGTCCAGGATCAAGTTAGGAAATTGTGTTCCTGGGTGTCCATTTTCTTGGGGAAGGGAGTGAAATCCAAGGCCTTATGTTCATTGCACAAGTGCTCTACCACTGAGTTGCATGTCAGCCTTTTCTTTTGTACCGCAATTGAACTCAGGACATTGCACTTGCCAGGCAGGCACTGATGCCGCTGAACTATATCCCTGACCAGCCTTATTTCTTATTACAAAAACTGTTCCTGTGAGCTGAATAAAACTTCTTTAAAAATAAAACACCAGACTGATACAAACAAAAAAAAATATGCCTGTTATAGGTAAAATTATTTTGGTTTTTTTTGTTGTTTTTGGTACTGGGGATCAAACTCACAACCTTGTGCTTGCCAGGCAGGCGCTTACACTACTGAGCTAAATCCCCTGCCTATAGGTAATATTAAAGAAAAATCTCTTCGCTCTGCTGTTACTGAGTTCCAGCTATGGTCTGGGCACACATGCTAAGGGTGGAAAGATGAATAAAGCTAGAACCTGCCCTGGAGGGACCTGCAGCATAGATAGATAGAAACTTAGTGGAGTACATTTAAAAGCCCCAAAGAGTAGATGCTGGGCAATGGGGCTCAGAAGACTTCAGAATTACAGGCCTGTGCCGCCACGCCCAGCTCGCTTGCCTGTGGTTAGCATGTGTGAGGCCCTGGGTTAGTCCCCACATCACAAAGACAAGAGCGTGGTCAGTATTATCTGGGCAATAGATGAGGACAGGCTTTTCCCAGGAAGAGACTTCCTCCTAACCAAGACCAAATGAAGACAACCCCAAAAAGGTTGTGTATCCCCATTTTTCACATAATGTGTAATTCAGTATTAAATCATGAGAGCCAGATGTGTGGGCACCCCTGTAATCAGCACTCTAGAGGCTGATGCAGGAGGATTGCGTGTTCGAAACCATCCTGGATTAAATAGTCCAAGTCCAGCCAGGACTGTTCTGTCTCAAACAAAATCCATGAAATTATGTAGTGTCTAAAGAAAAAGGAGAAACTATTTCCTAGTTTTTCTTAAAGGGGATGCAGGGAGGTAACCCAGGTGTTGCAAGCTGGTGTTCTTTCCTTCTTGAGACAGGGTCTCACTGTCTAGTTCAGGCTGGACTTGATCTAGTATATAGCCCAGGCTGGCATTGAAGCTGAGGTGATCCTCCTGCCTCAGCCTTCTGAGAGCTGGGATTACAGACATGTGCCACCATACCCAGCTTCCTTGCTTTCTTGGGGGCAGGTCCTGAACTTCAAAGAAGGGCACAGAAACTATACAAAGAAAAGACTCCAAGGTGAGAAGACAGGACTCACGAGGAGTAAATTCATTTCTCTTGTGATGGCATGAAACCACCTAAAAAGCCAAGCTGCTGAAGATCAGGCAGCAGCAACTTCATACCAGTGCCCCTGGGACAAAAGCGTAAGGGTGGACCCGTGGTGACACCACGAGTGGCTTGTCAAGGAGCAAGACACCAGGGCAGCTGGAGTCGGGTCACAGTCTGGAAGCTACTAGAGTGAAAAGCTGGAGGCTTCAACAGGAAGAACGGGCAGGAAGGAGAGATTTGGGCAGAAGCGCCAGTGGAGGCCATCAGGGTCCAGAGCGTGTGTCCACCGAGAAGGCAAAGCGGGGAAGCCGCAGGGTGTGGTGAGACTTTAAGCTCTAAGAGAACACAGAGAAAGGCTCGGGTAGAGAACATTGGCACCCTGGCTTTGGAGAGCCGCTCACTGCATACCCCATGCAGGCCTTGAACTTGTGATCCTCCTGCCTCAGCCTCCCCAGTGCCAGAATTACGGGTGTGTGTCTCCACACCCAGCGCTTCTCATCAAAGGAAATGGCCCATCAAAGGAGGGAAGAGGAGGACTGTACTTTATTAGTATTCCAAGGTTTTGTCACATTCTTTTAACTTTAAAAGCAACAGATGTTAGGCCAGAAGTTGTGGCACACACCTGTAATCCCAGCACGCCCAAGGCTGAGGCAGGAGGGTCATGGAGAGTTTGAGACCAGCCTGGGCTAAAAGCGACTTCAAGGCCACCTTGAACTGTAGAGTGAAACCCCGGCTCAAAAAGAACAAAAACCAGTTGCTGGGTGTGGCTTGATGCCAGCCTGGGCTATGCAGTGAGACCCGCTCTCAAGTAATTGCAGCAGCAGTAAAGACTGCCTAATCTCTAAGCTCAGGAAAGGCAATCAGCAGGTGCTCTGCCACCGGGGGGGCTAGTCTTGCCATGTCCTTCCCTGGACAGGGACGCCAGCCACGGGAGAGGCTTCTGTGAACTGCTGCACCTCCTCGAGTAGCCAGCAGAGGGCCCTCCGCTTGCCATGCGCCGAGGAATCGGTCACCGGTCACCTAGAGACGAAGCTGGCAGGACGGACCAGGGAGGCGCCGCAAACAAAGGCGCGGGGCTGGTGCAAGCAGAGCTGACTCAGTTTCGGGGTCTCCAGCTGAGGCCTTTTCCAGATCGCACAGGGCCTCGCCACCCTCCTCTCCCCATAGGTCCATAAAGCTCCTTGCCAACTGCTTCTCCCACAAATCCCTGCCCGGAGCAACTGTTATTAGCTCCCGCTGCTAAGCTGAGGTGAGCGATTTCTGCTCTGGCCTCTCTTCTCTTAAGCTAATTATCATCAAGCCTTTTGAGTCTCTGTCTAGAACCCTGGAAAGAGTACATGCCTGGTGGTGAGGGTGAGGGTGAGGGTGAGGGGGCCTGAGGTGGGAGCTGGGAGGGTCCTCAGGAAAAGGCAGAATCAAATAGGCCAGGGTAGCACATGCCTGCAATTTCAACACTCAGGAGGTAGGAGCTGAATTTGACGCCAGCCTCCACTACAAAGCCCTCAAAAAAAAGGCCCCTGAAATGGGAGCAGGTCTAGTTGGGGCGATGGCAGAGGGTCCATCTAAGCTTTAGGGGAGGTCTGCGGTGGGAAACAATTCATGCTGGGCCGATGAGGTCTAAGCTAAGTATAGAAGGATCTTTCGAGCAATGTTCTGCAATGTGTGGTCCCAAAACTGGTAGGTTTTGCACAAAGTTTTGGTTTTTCACTGAAGTTTGACAGCTACTCCCCCCTCCCAATTATTTTATTTTAAATAGAAAAGAAAAAAAACCCAAAATTTCAGGGGCTGGGGCTATAGCTCAGCAGTATTGGCACCTGCCTGGCAAGTGCAAGATCCTGAGTTTGATCCTCAGTACTCCAAAAAAAAAAAAAAATAATAATAATAATAATAAAAAACAAAATATCAGGACACAATAATTAGAGGGTAACAATGGTACATGCATTGTGTATTTTTATTTGCAAATCAGTTACTCAGAGTACAAGTACACATTTAATTGAACAATACTAGCACAAACCTCTCTCTTCAATGAACTCAGAGAAATTAGTAGTGTAACTATCTTAACTGTCATATAGATGATATCTTAACTATATATATGAAACATGTATTGTTTCTCACATTAGGTCTGATTTATTTTTACACAGGTGTCTGATTTATTTCACTAATGAGTGTGGTCTCAAGTTGCATCCATTTACCTGTAAAAGTCTCAAGTCTGTCCTTTATGGCTGAATAGTACTCCATAGTATAAAAATACCACATCTTTTTTATCCATTCCTCAGTAGATGAGCATTTAGGCTGTTTTCAGGATCTGGCTATTACAAATCATGCTTCTAGGAACATGAATGCACATATATTGTTGTGTTGTAAAGTTTTTAATTCTTCTGTGAAGATACACAGAAGGGGACTAGGTGGGTTGAACAGGACCTGTATCCCTAGGTTTTTGAGGAATCTCCACACTGATTTCCACCTTGGTTGTAACAGTCTGCATTCCCACCAAGAGTGGAGAGGGTTTCTTTTTCCCCACAGCCCCTCCAGCATTTGTTACTTATTAGTTGATTTCTTGATATTAGCCATTCTTTCTGGGGTGAGATGGAATCTCAGTGTTGTTTTAATTTGCATCTCTCAAATGACCAGTGATGCTGAACATTTTTTCATATTTATTTGCTGTTTGTATTCCTTCATCTGAGAAGTGCATATTCATTCATCTCAGATGCCCATTTTGGGACTGGGTCTTTAAATCTGGGAAGACTGATTTTTTTAAGTTATTTATATATTCTCCATCATAATGCTTTGTGAGAAGAAGAGCTGGCAAATATTTTCTCCCACATTGTGGGTTGTGTCTTCTGTTGGGTTTTTCTTGCTGTGCAAAAGCTTTTCAGTAGGATGAGATCCCAGTTGTTGATTCCTTGTGATAGTCCCTGCAGTGATGGCCACTGTTTGTGCGTTACAAGGTCTAATCTAGGAGTTAGATGGTAGACAGTAGGCAAGGCTCTGCCTCTGTAGTGTATCCCGAACCCTAGAGAGGTTCTGTTCCCTAGACCAACGTCTGTTCAGGGGGATGGAGACATATCTACTTTATTTCAATGGAAGGCGTGAAGGTATAGTTCAGTATGGAGCACTTGCCTAGCATGGTTTAGACCCTGGGTTTGATACCCAGAACTGGAAAACTAGCTTTTTAAAAAATAACATGCTCGGGGATTTAGCTTAGTGGTGTAAGTGCCTGCTTGGCAAACATGAGGTTGTGAGTTCAATTCCCAGTACCAAAATAATAATAAAAAAAAAACATAAGATGGGTAGATGATGATAATTAATAAGGAATCTGACATAGTAGAGTCATAGTTCTTTTTAAAATTTTTTTATTACATTTATTTTTGGCATTTTGAGACAAGGTATCACTATGTAGCTCAGGCTGATCTCAAACTTGTGGTCCTCCTGCATCAGCCTCCCAATTCGAGCATTACACATGTATACCGAGACTATAGTTTTGAACCACTAAGACCTAGATGTGAACCTCTGGAGCCATCACACCACATGTGCGACCTCAGACTTCTACTGGACATTCCTGAGCTTCAGTTGCCTTATCTGAAACATAAGGTGGTATCTCATAGGACTGGTCAGAACTTTGAGGCAACAAGTACTTTATCAAATGCATTTTGAAATATTTACCTACTTATTGGAGTCAAGATCTTGCTGTGTAGTTCAGGGCTGGCTTTGAACTCACTATGTAACACAGGTTGCCCTCAACCTCATGATGATCTTCCTGCTTCAGCCTCCTGAGTGCTGGGGTCACAGGTGTGTGGCACCATGCCCGGCTTGAATGCATTTTCTGTGTGTAAGTTTTACGAATTCAGAGGAGAAAGAAAAATAAACCTGCCTCCTCCTCAGAAATTATATCTCTGTGCTTGGCGCCTAACATGTGGTAGCTATGTGGTAAACGTAGCTTCTTCTTTGCCAAGGAAGTCAGACAGCCCTCTGGGGAAAGGAATTGACCCAAAACTCGATAAGTGAGACCTAAAGAGTAAAGACATGGTCTATTCTTGAGAATAAAAACCATATATGGCATATGGTGGTGCGTGCCTGCAGTGTCAGCATTTAGGAGGCTGAGGCAGGAGTGTCTTAGCTATTTTCTCATTGCTGGCACAAAATACCCAACATCCACAAGTTAAAAGAGGAAAGATTCTTTTCTTTTTTTGGTCTTTTTTGAGGCAGGTTTCACTGTGTGGTTCAGGTTGGCCTTGAAGTCATTTTGTAGCCCAAACTGGCCTGGAACTCACAACAATCCTCCTGCCTCAGCCTCCCGAGTGCTAGGATTACAGGCATGCGCCACCACGCCCAGCTAGGAGAGATTAATTTCAACTCAAGTTTGTAGAGGTTTCAGTTCATAGTTGGCTGATTCCAGGGCAGGACAGACTGGCAGAGGTCATGGCCAAGCTCATGGCAGGAAGCAGAAATAGTGGGATCCAGAAAGGAGAGGAGGAGGAATATTACCCTTCTAGGCCACATCCACAGTAGCCTATCTGTTCCATCGGACTTTACCTCCCCACGTCCCACCCAGTCATAAAGCCATCGGTGGCTAATCCAGTGATGAGTACCACACCCCACGATCCAATCACCTCCTCAAAGCCCCACCTATGAGTGCATGAGACTTTGGGGGGACACCTAGATATAAATCATAACAAGGAGGGCGGCTGCAAGTTTGAGGCCAACCTGGGCTTTACATAGTGGGTTCAAGGCCAGCCTGAATGACATAGCAAGACCCTATATCCAAAAAAGCATCTCATCCGGATGGGAAGGGAAGATGGAGATGGGGGAGAGGGGAGGGCAGGAAAGAAAAGGAAAATAAAAAGGACCATTATACTGGGTGTGGTGATGCTTACCTGTAACCCCAGCACTCAGGAGGCTGAAGCAGGAGGACGGCCACGTGTTTGAGGCCAGCCCGGGCTACACAGTGAGGTCCTATGTCAACCCCCGTCCCAAGGAAAAGGACCAATACTCCATGAACATATTATGTATCATAAACAGTAATAAAAATGATCATCTATTGCTAAGTACTTGGACACTTGACCTGCATTAGAATCTCTGGAGACAGATGCATAAGCTACTTTATCATTCTCCTTACCTAGCTAAGGCTCAGGTGGAGAAATTTACTTATGAGAGTAGAAGAACTTTGAGGGAGGAGGCTGCAGGGGGAGGGATAGAGGGCAGCTAACAGGTACAGGGTGCGACTGGGTGGGAGGGGTAACTTCTAATGTTCTACATGGTCAGGCAGCTGGTTGCCAAAAACCAACTGTGCATTTTATTTTATTTATTTTTTAATATTTGTATTTTTGTCTTTTTCCTTTTTATTGGTACTGGGGATCGAACTCATGACTGCCTGCTTGCAAGGCAGGCGCTTATGCCACTGAGCTAAATCCCCAGCCCCTCAATTGTGCATTTTAGAATAGGGAGGATTTTGAACGTTCCTAACACAAAGAAATGACAAATGTAGTGATGGATATGCCAGGTAGCCTGATAAAATCACCACCTGTCATTTTCATGTATTGGAATATCACGTTGTGCCCCATAATATGGTAAGTATTAGTTGGCCACTGATTCTCAAAATAGGAAAATAAAATTCAGAACTGGTAACAAGTAGTGCTCAGGTAAGAACACAGGTGTGACTCCCAGCTCCGGATGTGGAAGGTTGCTCGTGGGTGGGAAGAGGGTGTCTAGAGCATGCAGGGCCCTGCTGAGGGAAGAGAGGCTCTGGGCATGTGCCAGGGATTGTCACCCAAGGAGAAGAAGAGCTCTGTAGCACAGAAGCTCTTAGCTTTGCTGCCCTGGAAGATCACCTTGGGGGCTTCCAACAGTACTGTGGCCTGCACGTCCTTCCTGCACTGAGAATGACTGTCTGGAATGGCATCTGGAAAACTTTCAAAAATTCCCCCAAAACAGACCAATTCTCAGGCAAGGCTCAGGACCACTGCTCTGGGCACAGTGTGCACCCTACAGTGTGGCAAGCTGACAGAAGACATGGATCATCGGTCCTAGAAGATGGGAAAATGGGTGCTCAGGAGGCTGAGGCAGGAGGATCACTAGAAGTTTGAGGCCAGCCTGAACTGCCTAGAAGACCCCATCTTAAGGAGAAAGAGAGAGAGACAAAGAGAGAGAGAGAGAGAGAGAGACAGAGAGACAGAGAGAGACAGAGACAGAGACAGAGAGACAGAGAAGAGACAGAGAGAGAGACAGAGACAGAGAATGGGAGGGGAGACTGGAGAAAGGAAGGGAAAATAAAAATTATTAAAATATGATACATAGGGATCGGAGATTTAGCTCAGTGGCATAAGTACCTGCGTGGCAAGCACGAGATCATGAGTTCAATCCCTGGTATCAAAAAATAAAATATACATATGTGTACCAATAGCCCAAAATGACTGTAATTTTTGTGTATTACAAACATATAGTAATTTAAAAGAGAGGGAGACCGTGGAGAATGGGAGATAAGGTTTCCCTCAAAGGGAAAGAAAGTTTCCTGGAACTGGAAAGCGGTATGACAGGGAAAGGTGGGAGGAGAGGCATCAGGAGCTGGAGAAGACAGCCAAGTGTGGTGGTGAGGGTCCCAGACCTGAGTCCCATCGCAGCAGTGAGACTCCGTCCCTGAGGAGGGTGGGGTGGGTGAGGAGCCTCTCCAGAAAAAGACGAAAGACAGCTCGGGCGGTCCTGAGCGGACCAGTTAGCCGCGTGGGAGCCCAGGACCCGAAGGGGCTGCTCAGCGCCACTCCGACTGGGCCTGTCCCCTTGGGCGTGCAGTGCTCAGCTTCCTGTGCCTCCCTTTGTCTTAGGCCTGAAGGAGAGTAATGAGAAGATGCCTTCCACAGCGTAGCTGCTCGGTAAATACAACTGTCGGGCAGTTGCAGAGGAACACAGGTCACCCTGGAGAACGGAGGGCATGTCTGCAGGGTGGGAAGTCTGGTCCCGGGAAGGATGGGATTGCTTCAGGGGTTGGAGGCAGGTCTGTAAAGGCTGTATCCAAAATGCACAGGAACCTCGGGGTTACAGAGCAGGGCTCTGATGCCCCGCAGGAGCCCCCAGCCTACCCTCTGCAGAGAGCCCGGGTTTGACTGCTAGTAACCTCTCCACTGCCGCGGTCGGAAACCTCTGTGCGGCCGCAGCACCCGCCTCCCTCCCAGCCAGCTCTGCTGTGTGACAGGTGGGCACCAGAGGCTCAGGTCACGTGTGCCGGCTGGCTAACCTACTTATCCCTAGAAGACCCAGAGGCCTGGCAGGCAGGGGTCGGGGAGGAATCGCCCGAGGAATGGGGAGTCAGGGCGGGGGCGGGGAGCCGCGTGCTCCCGGGGAGCGTCGCTCAAGCCGAGGGAGGGGATGCCCGCGCGTGTGCGGGGAGGTCCAGAGCCACGGCAGTGCACGGTCCCGCGCAGGTGCCTGGGGGCCTGAGCCTTGGTGCACGGGAATCCGGGTACCAGCATACCCTGGGAGCGCCCCCAAACCCTTAGAGAGGGCGAGCGGAGGACGCCCTGACTGCTGCTGTTTGCAAACCCTTTGTACTTAATCTGGGCGTGCAGGGGACTGAACTCTAGGACCAGAGCTGCGGGAAGCTGCAGGAGCCCGGGTTACGTGCACAGACCCCCCACCCCCCGCTCCGCCCCGCACCACGGTCTAGTCTGCTTTCAGGGACCCGTCCCTCGGCGCGGCTGCAGCTCCCCTTCTTTATGCCCCCGAGTCGACCCCTGGCAGCTTCCTCTCAGTGCTGGACTCATAAGGGCTCCCCTCCGGCCGCCGCCCCGCGGGCACCGCTCTGGCCTGCTCCCTCCTCGCCCCCCGCGGGCTGCGGGCCGGCGCGGGCCCTTTAAGAGCAGCGGGACCGGCGAGCAGCGGCTCGAGAGGAGAGGAGCGCAGTGGCCGCGGGCTCGGAGGACCCGGCTCCGGGACCCGGCTCGGCGGAACCGGGCCGGCTCCTGCGCCCCAAGGCCGGGCCCTCCCCGGCCGCCCGCCCCGCCCCGGCCCCGCCCCGGCCCGGGCTCCCCGGTCCGGGAGCCGGGGCGCCGGTGCCGCAGCCGAGCCAGGTGAGGGAGCCCGGACCCGGCCTCGGCGCGCACGGCCCGGGGCGCGTCAAGGTGACCGGGCGGGGGGATGCGCGCAGGGCCGCGGGGCTCGGGGCCGGGGCGCGCGGGAGCGCGGGGAGGGTCGCCGGCGGGGGACGCGGCGGGGCCGAGCTCCTCCCCGCGCCCTGCGCCCTGCGAGGGTCCGCTCTGCGCGCAGCCCGGGCCCCGACCCTGAGCACCCGCACCCCGGGGCTGTGCCCGCGGCTAAGGCGATTAGAGCCGCGCGGAGGAGGGGGGGCGGGCGGGGGGCGCGCTAGGCCGGCGGGGGCCGGTGGGGGCTGCCCGGACCCGGGAGCTCGGGCTGAGCCGGCGCGCGGGGGGCGCGCGCCCAGGGCCTGGTGCCCAGGCTCGGGGAGGGCTGCTGACTACTGGGGGGCTGCCGTGGGAAGGAGGTGGGGCGGCAGCATTACAAAGCGAGGGGCCGTGGGGCCGCCGGCCGGAGCCGTCCTGAACCGCGCAGGCCCTCTCCCTGCAGGCCGGCGGCGATGGCGGAGAAGGCGCTGGAGGCCGTGGGCTGCGCTCTAGGGCCGGGGGCCGTGGCCATGGCCGTGGCGCTGGAGGACGGGGCGGAGCCCCCTGTGTTGACCACGCACCTGAAGAAGGTGGAGAACCACATCACAGAGGCCCAGCGCTTCTCCCATCTACCCAAGCGCTCCGCCGTGGACATCGAGTTCGTGGAGCTGTCCTACTCCGTGCGAGAGGGGCCCTGCTGGCGCAAACGCGGTAGGCAGCAGCCCGTCCTCGTCCTGCGTCCTGCGAGCATGTGGGGGACCGGTAGGCCCCTGCCGCTTCTCGCTGTGCACGCGGTTGGTCCACAGAGCCCCAGCTTCCCACACCTGTGGGCACTGCAGGACGCTAGGTCCTCCTTGCCACTGAAGTGACCCTAGGAGGAACCTCTGATCTTTAATGAATTTTTCTTCTTTAATTGGAGGAGTCTCACTTGTGAGGGCTGGTGCGGAAAGGAGGTGTGTCTAGGGGCCTCCTGGATGTTTAAGGATGCCCTTGCTCCTGTCTTTAAAGCTGTTCTCATCCTTGTCATCTAACTCCATTCTTGCCACAGTCCCAAGCAAGAAGGGTGGAGGTTTGGCAGGACAGATGTCACTCTTGTTACTAATAAGGAAACTGAGGCTCCAGGAAGTTACCTTGACGTATGTCTCACACTAGTAACGTGGCAGAGCTGGGCCAGAAGCCCAGAACAGCAGCCCCCTCTCTGCGCCTTCCTTCTCATCAGGACTGGGACCCTGAACCCTGCCCAAGCCTTGTACAGCTATCCTGGGTAGCTGGAGCTTGGGATGGAGAGGCTGTTGTTTCCCAGGCCTGGGTGTGGGCAGGGGTGGAGCTGAGACATTGTCTCGGGCTTAAGAATTAGGTTTGGGGTGCTGTAGAGCAGAGCTGGCCATGAGCTGTCTCTGCATATTCTCCGCCCTCACTCCCCTGGTGGCAAAAAAAACACAGGGCACAAACAGTGGAAACTGAGGCACCTAGGCTCCCTGCTCATCACCAGTTCCCCGAGGAGCCTCTTTCAGGCCCGAGATCAGCTGTGGGCAAAGGGATGATGTTATTTCAGGGCCCTTTCATTTCCTCCCGTCTCCCTCCCCACCCCTGCCCCAGTGCTGAGCACAGAGCCCAGGTATGAGCCCCCCTGCCATACACCTGGCTCCTCATAACTTTAAGGAGAAACAGAGACAGAAAGACGTGGCTGGATAGGTCTGCTTCCTTCCTCCCGCTGACCCAGGCTGCTGCACTGTCCACTGTGCGGCCTCCTCCATCCCTTCGCCCTCTTTTGCTCTGTATTCTGTCTTTCCTCTCTGACTTCTGTTTTCTCTTCAATTCCTTACCCCTCCTCTGAAGGACCCAAAGCGATTAAGGTAGGCAGAGAGGAAACCAGCAAGGGACACGGAGAGAGGGAGAGTTCTAAAGGCCGGTGTGGTAGTGCCCGCCTGTATTCTCCGCACGCAGAAGGACGGTTGCTGTAAGTTCAAGGCCAGCCTGAGTTACACAAGTGAGATGCTGTTGCAGAAAAGCCAAGCAAGGGCCGGGGGTTTAGCTCAGTGGCACAAGCGCCTCCCTGGCAAGCTCAAGGTCGTGAGTTCAATCCCCCAGTACCAAAAAAAAAAAAAAAAAAAAAAAAAAAAAAAACGTAAAACAAAACAGCCTCCCTTAAAGCCAGGTGTGGTGGTGCACGCTTAAAATCCAACCACTCTGGAGGTTGAGAACCACTCTGGAGGTTGAGGCAGGAGAGTCACTGGGAGCTTGAGGCCAGGCTGGGCTACATAATGAGTTCTCATTACTATTAACAATCTCAATTAATATTCATAATGACCCTACTAAGTCCTTTGAGCAATAGTATGTTTGTTTTTGTTTTTGTTTTGTTTTTTGAGACAGGGTCTCACTGTGTCATTTAGGCTGGCCTGGACTTACTATGTAACCAACCTGGCCTTGAATTTGAGGTGATCCTCCTGCCTCAGCCTCCCAAGTGCTGGTATGTGCCACCATGCCTGGCTCTGGAAGAATATTATCTTCCTTCTTTTATAAGTGAGCACTATGAGACCCTAAAGATTGACTTTGCAAACTGCAGCAGGACTAGAACTCAGCTCTCTCTCCAGCACAAAGGCCTGGCAGGCCTCTTGCATGTAGAGCAGTTGGGGTCCAGAGACAGGGGTTCCTACCCGTACAGAAGCTGTGTGACCTTGGGCAGGTTGCTTACCCTCTCTTGGCCTTGCTTATCGATAAGCAGGCATGGTAACAGTACCCACGGGGGAGCTCAGACCATCTGCACCTGTGCATGTAATTAGAGAAAGGCAAGGAAGTATAAGCTGATGTTTGTGCTGGGCCCCAGCGACCAGAGCCTGGATGCGACTAAATTCGAGGACATTCATCCCTGCGAGTTGCTTCTCTTGCACAAGAAATCACTTCCTGGTGGTTCCTGACAGGCGTGGGGCGGAGGACACCACCCAACAGCCTTTTGACTGACTGTGAGGTGCCTGGGACAGGGGACTGGCGCCCACGACTTCTCTCCTAGTTGAGAGCTTGCTGTGTGACTTGGGTAAGTCCCTGGGTGTCCCCGTCCCAGGCGCCTCAGCCATGTCGTCAGAGGAGCAGCCCTGCAGGCAGGCAGTGTGGCGGGGCCCTGAGGTGGGCAGGAGCCGTGCCCTTCCCAGAGGCCCTGGTGCGGTGGGCAGAGGAGAGGGAAGCCGTCCTTTTGTTCTCTCTGCTAAGGGTTCCTGGGTGCCGTGGGCTTGGCAGAAGGCAGTATCGGCCCAGTTCTAGTGAGGGGTGGGGCCCGGTGTCCCCTCTCCACCCTCATCTCTCCAGGACTCCCCGAAGAGTCTCTCCACCCTCATCTCTCCAGGACTCCCCGATTAGTCCCTGCTCTCTGTCCTCTGTGTTATTTCATACTGTTCTAGGACAGAGCTTTCCCTCCTAAAGTCTCAGAGCTTCTGCCTTTTGAAGTCTTGCTCATCATTAATTCAAATGTCACCTCTTCCAGGAGGCCGCTCCTGATTTCCCCCTTCCCCGTCTACCCTCATCAATGCCATTTTCGGCATTTTTGTGGCACATTTGTACCATTCTTCTGTTGTGACTCATTTTTACTGTTCCCTGGATCATAGATGTTTGCTTGTTTATCTGTCTTATCTAGGCTCTGACCTTCTTGAGTGGCAAAACTGCCCTTCCTCTTTCTTGCTCCAGGGTCTGGTTCAGAGCCTGGTACATAGTAGATAGCAATAAGCATTAGTCAAATGAGATTAATAATACAACATTTCTTTGTAAATGCTCTCTTCATGTCAAGCACTATGTCATATGCTTTATTTAGCTTATCCCATTGCATCTGCTGAGCAACTCTGTGAGATAGACATAGCATCCTCATTTTACAGAGAAACCCGGGGCTCAGAGAGGTTAAACAACTTGCCTAAGGTCACACAGCTGGCAAGTGTGGAATCAGGATTCGAACCCATATCCACTTGACTCCATACTGGTGCTCTTTATGCCTCCTATGAGTGAACGAAAGGTGAGATTTTGCTGGGCCATGTTAGGGGCTGCAGAGTTGAGCTCAGAGGGCAGACAGACACAGAGAAGGCAGTTTTGGGGTTTTTTTTTTTCAGGATGGAGAAAAAGCTCTGCAGGTGCAAATTTCTATAGCAAAAACACTTACTGAGCACTTACTATATGCCAGACAGACTGTTACAAAGATGAGTAAGACAGACCCTGCGTCCTGACTAAGAGCCTGGAGGGGGCGAGTGACAGGCACATCAAGTCACAAACATGCTGGTACAGCAACAGTCCTGGGCGGTAGGGGGTGCAGAAGACAGGCAGGCAGTCCAGGCTGGGCCAGCAGGGAATCCTCCCGAGACAGGGAGCCCGGGGACCGCGGAGCAGGGAGGCTCTTCCCTCCATGCCCCTCCACAGGTCGCTATGAGAGCCTTGGTTCCCCGTATCCTCCAGAAGTCTGTCACCTCTTGTACTCTGACATTAGTGCTGGTCCTTCCTAAAGGGACCAAATAAGAGGGTACGGGTCACTGCTGGGACTCCGAGGGTCGCTCCTCCATCCTAACCCCACCCTGAGTGGAGACCCCCAGCTCTTCCACTGATAGCCACCTCCATGCGCTGCGGCCCTCAGAGAAACCCCCCTTTCTACTGCAGGCTATAAGACCCTCCTCAAGTGCCTATCGGGTAAATTCTGCCGTCGGGAGCTGATTGGCATCATGGGCCCCTCCGGGGCTGGCAAGTCCACGTTCATGAACATCTTGGCAGGATACAGGTGAAGAGGAGGCTGGGCGGCAGCACTCAGGGAGGAGGCGCCTGCGGGGACCTGGGGATGGACTTTGGTCCTCACCCACCACTGTCCCCGCAGGGAGACCGGAATGAAGGGACAGATCTTGGTCAACGGGAGGCCGAGGGAGCTGAGGACGTTCCGCAAGATGTCCTGCTATATCATGCAGGATGACATGCTACTGCCACACCTCACGGTGCTGGAAGCCATGATGGTGAGGGTGGCCGCTGGCCGATCCGCAGCTCCCTCTCCTGTCTGCTGTCCCCCTCGGCCTCCTCAGGGAGGACTGTGGCCCTGTCCACTCACGCACACTTTTCTTGCCCGCTGGGGCACTAGGTGTCTGCCAACCTGAAGCTGAGTGAGAAGCAGGAGGTGAAGAAAGAGCTGGTGAGCGGGGACAGGGCGAGGGTACAGCTGCCCTCTGTGTGGCGCCTGCGTCTGGGGGCAGCGAAGCGGGCTTCTGAAAGCTGCTCTGTGAGATCGGGGTGGTGCTCGGGGAAGCAGATATTCTGACGCTGACCCGGCCGGGTGGGGTGGGTCCAGGTGACAGAGATCCTCACAGCGCTGGGCCTGATGTCCTGCTCCCACACGAGGACAGCCCTGCTCTCTGGTGGCCAGAGGAAGCGCCTAGCCATCGCCCTGGAGCTGGTCAACAACCCACCTGTCATGTTCTTTGATGAGCCCACCAGGTAGTTCTCTATCTCCCCTCAGCCCTGAGCCTGGGCTGGAGCCTGTGTCTTTTCTGTGACCAGGGACAGAGCCTCTCCTGGGGCCCCCAAGGCCCCCATAAGAGCTGACTCCTCCCCTCAGCTCCATCCTGTCCTCAGTCATTGGTGATCTTGGTGATTGATGCCTCTCTGTCCTCCCTGACAGCCCTTAGTCACCAAGTCCTCTGGATTCTACCTCCTTTTGGGAGCCCTTAGGTTGGCCCCGCCCCTTCTCTAGGTACAGTGCTTGGGCTCAGGACATCTTCAACACTTTCCTGTGCCAGCCCCAGCCTGTCTCAGCCAGTGTCCCTCCAGCCAGTGGCCAGAGTGGGCTTCCTAAAAGACGAGACTTCCTCCTGCTTCAAAGCATGCAGTGTGTCCCATTTGCCCTCAGCGTGGTCAGGTGGATGACATGGTCCTGCTTGGAACCTATCTGTCCAACCTCATGTCTTGTGTTTTATGCTCTAGTAACGATGAGTTGCTGGTGATTTCCTGGCCTAACTAAGCTTGTGCAGCCGTCTTCCGCCCAGGGCACCCTTCACCTCCGTCCTTCCCCTTCGGCCTTCCCCAGCTCAGCTCTTACTTCTTCCAGACACTAGAAAGCTTCTCCGACTCCTTTGCAATGCCCCGTACAAGCATGGCTGATTTCCCACCTCTTCCACATGGGTTAAATCACCCGAGTTTGTCTGTCTCCTTCCTGACCAGTTTTATTAATGCGTCATTGTATTCTAGTACCTGTAATTGACAGGTGCTCAGTTGTGCACCTCTGTAATGCCAGCGCTTGGGAGGCTGAGGCAGGAGGATTGAAGTGAGTTTGAAGCTGGCCTGGGCTACATAGTAAGACAGGGTCTCAAAAAAAAAAAAAAAAGGCACCAAACAAAGGCTGAACCATCCGGAGTGTTTGGCATGCGGAGTTGGCCAGTGGGGCCTTTTCCGGCCAGCTCTGTCCCCTTCACAGCAGCTGCCCCACCCAGAGACTCCCTCCCCTCCCGCCTGTAGGCCCAGTCCATCTCACTGGGCATCCTGGCGGCCTTTCTCTGGACAGCGGTCTGGACAGTGCTTCTTGTTACCAAGTGGTCTCTCTCATGAAGTCCTTGGCCCACGGGGGCCGCACTGTCATCTGCACCATCCACCAGCCCAGTGCCAAGCTCTTTGAGATGTTCGATAAGGTGAGTGTCCGGGCTCTGAAGAAGATTGGCCTGAGGTTGGGGGACACAAGGGAGCCGGGAGAGATGCTGGAAGGGATCCTGCCCACCCACTGGTTCATTCTTCTGTTTTGTTTTGTTTTGAGACAGGGTCTGGCTGTGCAGTTGAGGCTGGCCTTGAACCACTTTGTAGCCCAGGCTGAACTTGAGCTCACAATGATCTCTTGCCTCAGCCTCCTGAGCGCTGGGATCACACGTGTGGGCCACCAGGCCTGTCTTACCCTTCCTTTTCTGCTGCAGCTCTATATCCTTAGCCAGGGTCAGTGCATCTTCAAGGGCGTCGCCACCAACCTGATCCCCTACCTTAAGGGGCTGGGCTTACACTGCCCCACCTATCACAACCCAGCTGACTTCAGTGAGTGCTGCTGGTTGGCTGGGGCTGCGACGAGGGGCGGGGTGGGCTTGGGGCTCCGCCCTCCCTTACACCCGGGAGGGAAAGCAAGGTGAGGCCCCGCTGAGCGCGGACTCTGTGTCCCCAGTCATTGAGGTGGCCTCTGGAGAGTACGGAGATCTGAACCCCATGCTGTTCAGGGCTGTGCAGAACGGGCTCTGCGCCATGGCTGAGAAGAAGAGCGGCCCCGAGAAGAACGAGGTCCCTGCCCCCTGTCTCGCTTGCCCTCCGGTGAGTCCTGTGGAGTGGGCAGAGTAGGCAGAGGGAAGAAGGCACGTGGACAATGGCCCTGCCAAAGAGGGTGACCCCTAGAGTTGGGGACAGGCTTCGGACTTGGGACTGACTGACCGTGGACACTCGTGTGATTTGGGCCCCCAGTTTTCTCACCCACCCTCTCCCCCAGCAAGCGCCACCTCTGCCCCTGGTGCGCGGTCCGCAGAGCTGCACAGGCCATCTGGTGAGCGTGGCCAGCACAGCTGCTGGTCTTGTGGCCAGTGTGGCTCCCTGCCCTTGCCACCTGGACAGTGATGACACTCACCTCCCAGGAATGCTGGGGGACCAATTAGATCATCACTGAAAGCCCTGTGCAGGCTGCTGGAGCTGCAGGTGCCCCCGCAGTGTCAGATCTCCTTAGATGAGACACTGTCCCCTTGAAAAGCTGGGCCTTTATCATTATTAAATAATTCTTTGAAACTGGTGGCCCACAAGTATCCCTCACTTTTTATTTTCTGGTACCGGAGCTGGAACCCAGAGCCTTTGCACTGAGCTACACCTTCAGCCTTTTTTAAAATTTTGAGACAGAGTCTCGATAAAGCACTAAGCTGCACAGGCTTGTTCAAACTTGTGATCCTCCTGCCTCAGCCTCCCAGAGCACTGAAATTACAGGCACAGACCACTGTGCCTGCCAACAGCTTCCTCCCCCATCCCCTCAATACTAGGGATTTGAACCCAGAGCCTTGAATTGAGAAAAAAAATATTTGTTTATTTTAAATTAGAAGACAAAGCCTCATTGAATTGCCAAGTTGCCCAAATTAGGCTGAAACTGGTGACCCTCTTGCCTTAGCCTTCCAGGGCCTCCTTCCCTCCTTCTCTCTCTCTCCCCATCTCTCTCCCTCTGTCCCTCTCTCTCTCTCTCTCTCTCTCTCTCTCTCTCTCTCTCTCTCTCTGTAACCCAAGCCCAGTTCCCAGACACACAGCTCAGTGATGGAGCCTCTCCCTCTGCTCTGGGAGGGCCCAGGCTTTTTGCACCCACCAACCCAGGCAGCAGCAGGCGGAGGCCAGGAGGGGGTAGGCTCACCTGGCCCCCTTTCCTCTCCCCAGGAAGTGGATCCCATTGAAAGCCACACCTTTGCCACCAGCACCCTCACCCAATTCTGCATCCTCTTCAGGAGGACCTTCTTGTCCATCCTCAGGGACACAGTAAGTAAGGTGTCCAGTTGGGGCACAGCAGGCGCAGCATGCCTGGCCTTTGGGCTGTTGGATCACAGCTGGTGGGACGAGAACTCAGAATCCTGCCCACAGCGCTCCAGTGCCCCTGCGGGCGGGTCTGAGTCCCTGCCCCGTGGGCCCTGGCCTGAGCCGCCCTGCCCCTGGCACCGCCCTCCAGGTCCTGACCCACCTGCGCTTTGTGTCCCACGTGCTGATCGGCGTGCTCATTGGCCTCCTCTACCTGCACATCGGGGACGACGCCAGCAAGGTCTTCAACAACACCGGCTGCCTCTTCTTCTCCATGCTGTTCCTCATGTTTGCTGCCCTCATGCCCACCGTGCTCACCTGTGAGCAGAGCTGCCTGGGGGTGGGTGTGGGCACTGGGCAGGAGGCAGGGGCAGGGCCTGGCCAGCAGCACCCTATCTGCCTGTGTCTCAGTCCCCTTAGAGATGGCAGTCTTCATGCGGGAGCACCTCAACTACTGGTACAGCCTTAAAGCGTACTACCTGGCCAAGACCATGGCCGACGTGCCCTTCCAGGTGAGCCTCCTCTCCTGCCTGCCTTCTGCTCTCCTGGCCAGCTCCCGGCCTCCTGCACTTCGACACTGTAACCCTTCCACTCTCTTAGCAAACAGGGATTTGTACCTACTATGTGCCAGACTCCGTGCTGGGCCCTAGGAGACAGCAGCAGATTAGACTGTCGCAGGCTTTTTGATTTTTGTTTTCTTGAGCCTGTGAGTTCAGGCTGGCCTCAAACTCACTATGTAGCCCAGACTGCTCTTGAAATCATAGCGATCCTCCTGCTTCAGCCTCCGGAGGGCTGGGATTACAGCCATGCACCACCATGCCTGGCTCCTTTTTTTTAGTTTTTTATTTTGAGACAGGGTCTACTAAATCACTCAGTTGTCCCAGCTGGAGTTGAATGTGATCCTCCCACCTCAGTCTCCCAGTGATGACATTACAGGTATGTGGTCCCATGCCCAGTGATATGAAACTTTTAGACACTTACAAGTGCCCAAGACATGTCAGCTGGTTTTGTTGTGACTGCCGATAATGCCTGTTATAAGCTCATTATGCAAAAGTGCTCCTCCTCAGAGTGGACAGTGCCCTGTGCCAGGTCACAGCATTTAGTGGGAGGAGCATAAGCGACATCTTGGCCTCTGGTTATCTCCAGTTGGATTCCTGTGCACAGTCTGCAGTATAATGGGGTCAGTCCCTGCCCCTAGGGGATGATAATCTATTTAAAAAGAGAGGCTGGGTGTGGTGATGCATGCCTGTCATGCCACTGCTGGGGAGGTTGAGGCAGGAGGATTGTAAATGTGAACCCAGTCTGGGCAACTTAGCAGGACCCTGTTTCAGACTAAAAACGGCTGGTAATGTAGCTCACTCTGAAGGCTCTGGTATGGCAAAAATCAATAAATAGATAAAGAAATAAATAAATGATTTGGGGCTGGATGCCACTCAGTGGCAAAGTGCTTGCCTAGCATCCGCGAAGTCCTGGATTTGATCCTCAGCACCGCACAAACAAATGCAGCCCAGGCATGGTGTCAAATGCCTGTGATCCCAGCACTCAGGAGGCTGAGACAGGTGGATTGCTGAGAGTTCAAGCCCAGTCTGGGCTACATAATGAGTTCAAGCCTAACCCCCTGCACTGCATGGTGAGACCTTGTATCAAAAGACAAACAAAAAGGCTGGGCATGGTGGCATACTCATGTAATCCTAGCATTTGGGAGGCTGAGGCAGGTGTCTTGTTGCAAGTGTGAGACCAGCCTGGGCTGTGTTTTGCAGACCTCAATTCGAGCCCAAGGCCAGCCTGAACTGCATAGTGAGATCTTGTCTCAAAAAGACAAAAAAAAAAAAAATAGTAAATCATGTTTTCCATTTTGGGCTTATAAACTGATATTATGAAGCCAGGCATGGTGGTGCACACCGGTAATCCCAGTACTCAGGAGGCCGAGACAGGAGAATCATTTTGAGTTTGAGACCATCCTGGGCTACAAAGTGAGCTTAAGGCCAGTCTGAACAGTATAGTGAGACCCTGACTCAAAAAGACAAAAATAAATAAACTGATATTATGGGTGCATATCAATAATAAAGTTAAGCAAATTAACGTGTCTTTCAACATGTTACACTTGTTACATTTTTGTGATGAGAGCAGCTAAAATGTTTAACAAAATTCCTGCTACAGTGTCATTTTATTAACAATAGTCCCAGCTTACATACACACTAGCTCCCGAGAGGTGCTGATCCACCTGTCTGTCTTTGGGTCTGCACCACTTGGTAGTCTCAAGGGGAAGCAAAACACTGCAGGAGAGAATTAATTCATTAATGATGTAAGAACTAAGCTGGTTCAGATGGGAAGGCCTTTAAGTGCTCCGAGGAGATCTCTCATGAAAGAGGGGCTCAGGAGTGAGGCTTAGAGGGTCACAGAGAGAGGGGACATGTGTCATCCTGGGCACAGCAGGAACAGGGGTGCAGGCGGGCAGGCCTGGGAACCCTGGGATGGGCCGATTAGCGGTTTGTTCCCAGGTGAGGGTTTTAGGCCTGTGGCGCCCCGGGTCAGTGCCCCTGCCCAGTGTGTGCCTGCCCAGCGTGTGCCTGCCCCCAGGTGGTGTGCCCGGTGGCTTACTGCAGCATCGTGTACTGGATGACAGGCCAACCAGCCGAGACCAGCCGATTCCTGCTCTTCTCGGCTCTGGCCACCGCCACCGCCTTGGTGGCCCAGTCTTTGGGACTGCTGATCGGAGCCGCCTCCAACTCCCTACAGGTGGGAAGGTTGGCATTGGAGGACTCACAGCGGGGGTGGAGTCTTATGGGAGCAAGGGGCCAATATCGGGGTGGCATGGTCTCCTGGGAAACCCTGGGGCCCCCTTAGTCCTGGTCACCCCTGTGATGGCCTGACCCCCTTGCCTCTCCCCAGGTGGCCACCTTTGTGGGCCCGGTAACTGCCATCCCCGTCCTCTTGTTCTCTGGATTCTTTGTTAGCTTCAAGACCATCCCCACGTACCTGCAGTGGAGCTCCTACCTCTCCTATGTCAGGTGGGTGCCTCTTCCTCCCCCAGGAGCCCCTGCCCAGTGCTTCCTCTGTTGGGCCATCACCTGTTGGGCAGGGGTACCCTGGCTGGCTGCAGACATGAGGCTGCAGCTGGGCTCTGATAGTTTGCTGAGGGAGCAGGGACCGTGTGCTCCACATCCTGCTCTGATGGCCCTGCTTCCCTAGGTACGGCTTCGAGGGGGTGATCCTGACCATCTATGGCATGGAGCGTGAACAGCTGTCCTGCTTAGAGGAATCCTGTCAGTTTCAGGACCCACGGAGCATCCTGCAAGCGCTGGATGTGGAGGATGCCAAGCTCTACATGGACTTCATTGTCTTGGGCATCTTCTTCCTGGCCCTTCGGCTGCTGGCATATCTTGTGCTCCGATACCGGGTCAAGTCTGAGAGATAGAGCTTTGCCCTGACCTTGCCCAGCCCCCGCAGCTGAAAACCCCCAGCCCCAGCCCTTTGGGGCTGTTTTAACCTTGTAGACTTGGGCACTGGTGGCCCTCAAATGCTCCAGCCTGGCTGTCGGACTGTACTGCCAGCCGCCGGCCTCCAGCTGTGGCCCTGGCTTGGGGACTCTGGGTCATCCCCCATGCCCAGGAACCTCCCCAAGTTGATGCACTTTGTAGCTTTTCCCTCTCTCCACCACCTGCATGCAAAGACCACTGGGAGGCTGCCACCCTCCTTCCTGTCTGCAGTGCCCCGCTCCGTGGTCTGCCTGGGAGCCACAGCGTCTCTGGGCCCCTACTTACAACTGGCCAAAGTGGCCCCTGGGGGTCCCCGCTGCTGCAGCAGTGTTTGTAAACCAGGGTGCTGTAAGGTTGGAGTGCCGGGGCTGGGCCCTGGTGGGGTCCCCTGGAGTGTCCTCCAGGATGTTGTGTCGAGCGGGGAGGGACTCTGGAAGTCTGTTTTTCCTTCTACCTCTCTCCCACTCCCAGACCCTGGACATGGACCATCTGCTGGGACAGAAGAGTTTTCTGTCTGGGTCACCACTCTCAATCCTGGGGATTGGAGAGGCCAGGGGGTGCAGCTCACCCCTCCTGTATCTTTAGTTGGGGGCAGGGCCGGGGGCCTTCTGCAATACTGTCTGGGATTCTGTCCCACGGGCCACCGCAACTGGAGAATGCACTTTATTTTGGAGGGTGATGGGGAAGACACAGCCCTCCCTTCCTGCTGCTCCTGACGAAGGGTCCTACATGCTGCCTCCCCTCTCAGTGTTATGGGCCCTGCGTGCGAACAGGCAATCAGCCCTCCACAGGCTGCGCCCTGACGGCTCACAGGAAGAGTGGAGGTGGCGTGGTGGTGGCAGCGGGTGCTGTGGGGAGGGCGGTGTGGACCTCTTCCTGGGGATCCCACACTGGAAATGCTAAGGATGGGGCTGGTACTGCCCAGGGGGCTCCAGGGTCTAGAGGTGTCTACACCTCAGTCTTCCCTCCCTCCTGAACCAGGGGTGGCACTGGGCATGAGGCTCTTGGAGTCACTTGGGAGCCAACAAGCACAAGCATGGGTATAAGTTGGCCTTTGCCCCTGCCGCCACACAGCCCTCCTTTTGTGCTCTAAGCTGGCATTCCTGCTGTCCTATCCCTTGTCCAGCTACCTGCCCTTCCCATCAGCAGGTGGCCCCCGTGCATCAGAATGACAAGCCTCGGGCATGCAGGTGGCCGACACCCCTAGAACCTGTGTGACTCTCCTGGTGGGCCCAGGAGCATTCTGACTTCCCCTCCTCTGGGCTTCCCTGTTGTACACATCCCTCTCGCCCTTCCTGACTCTCCTTCCACAGAGATGCCAGTTGTATTGGTGGGATTTCGCCCATTATTAATAAAACCTATATTTATACAGTATTCGGTGTGTTTATTCTGCCGCCTGGCCCCACGGGCTGTGGGGGGTTTCAGAGCTCTTGGCAAGAGGTCTGTCTGCTTCAGGGAGCCTACGGCAGGTGGTGGTAAGTCCTGGGTCAGTCAAGCAAGGGAAACAAATCATGCTTTCCAGTTCCAGTGCTCAGGGGCATCCTCCCAGGGCACGTCCACGCTAACCCCACAGTCCTCCCGTTGTGTGGATGAGAGGACTGGGTTAAGGAATCTGCTACGGGCCCTCAGCCAGCAGAGAGGAGCCAGGCCTGGAGGCCAAGGTCTTCTGCTCCCCATTCCCGTCCTTAGCACTGCTGGGCGCCCCCATTTATGGTGGATCCTCATGCTGCCTGTGCTGTTAGTGTCTGCTGCACAGTGTGTTCTTGTGGAGTGCTAGGTGCCCATTTCTGGGGTGCTGCAGGGAAAGGGGTGTCTCCGTGATCGGGAAGGGAACCCATTGCCCTGTGTTGTATAGGGGTGAGCATAGTTGCCGTCCAAGAAGGGAACCCCATCCTGGGATGTGAGTGGCGTGGGCCTCCCTGAGCCCACTCTGCTTTTCTCCTTTTCTTTTCTTTTTTTTTGGTCTTTTTCGTTTTTATCGGTACCAGGGATCGAACTCACGACTGCCTGCTTGCAAGGCAGGCGCTTATGCCGCTGAGCTAAATCCCCAGCCCCTTCCTTTTCTTCCCTACTTTTTCCCACCAGGCTATACTTAGCAGAGCCAACCAGGACTACAGGTCATGTGTTGGGAGGAGGCCAGTGTCCAGAGGCTCTTGGGGGCTTGTGGCAGGATGATTTGAGACGCAGCACAGTGTCTCTTCTCTAGGCCTGAAGCTTGGGGACTGACGGGAGGGACTGGCACCAGCCCTGCCAGCTGCCTGGAACACCCACTTTGCCATAGTAGAGTAAGTACCCTGGGCTGGGCTAGGGTTCAGTCTATGACAGGTTGAGTGCTGGGCTAGGGAAGGACTGACTTTGTTTCTTATGGGAGTTTGGGCTGAAGTCTGGGTCTCAGTTCTGGAATTCTAGAGAACTTTAGGGAAAAATTTTAGAACTTCCTTTTCCCTGGAGCGATACTAGTAGGTGAATTTCCTTTCTTTCTTTCTTTGTTTCTTTCTTCCTTCTGTCCGTCCGTCCGTCCTTCCTTTCTTTCTTTTTTGGTCTTTTTCTTTTTCTTTTTTATTGGTACCAGGGATCGAACTCACGACTGCCTGCTTGCAAGGCAGGTGCTTATGCCGCTGAGCTAAATCCCCAGCCCCCTTCCTTTCTTTTTGAGACAGGGTCTCACTATGCAGTTCAGGCTGGTCTTGGGCTCACTTTGTAGCCCAGGCTGGTCTCGAACTTGCAGTGATCTGCCTGCCTCAGCCTCCCGAGTGCTGGGATTACAGTGTTTCTTTGTTCTGAGGCAGGATTTCAGTATGTAGTTCAGGCTGCCCTTGAGCTCACCGTATGGTCCCAACTGGCCTTGAACTTACTGTGATTTTTCTGCCTCATTTTCCAGAGTGCTGAGATTACATGTGTGTGCCATTATGCCTGGCTCAGTAGAAGGCCCCTTACAAGTCAAAGGGCATAAAAGACCATCAAGTAATCTTTCTGAAGTCTTCATCTTTACTCTTTGTCTTTTAAAATACAAATATTTGAAGCTGAAAAACAGAACTGAATTCAAGGCCAGAATGTCACACACACACACACACACACACACACACACACACACATCCTAATGTTGTTAGTTTTTTTTTTTTTTTTTGAACCAGGGATCGAATTCATGATCTTGCGCTTGCAAAGCAAGTGCTTATGCTTCTGAGCTAAAATCCTGGCCCCACACACCCCTAATGAAGCCCCCAGAAAAAATACAAGTAAACAAAGTAACTAACTAAAAAGCCAACTATGATGGTGCATGCTTGTAATTTCAGCTACTCTGGAGACTGAGGCAAAAGGATTACAAGTTTAAACCTAGACTGGGTAACTTAGTGAGAATTTATCTCCAAACAAAAATTGAAAAATGAGATGGGGCCAGGCATGGTGGTGCACGGCTGTAATCCAAGCCCCTGGGAGCCTGAGGCAGGAGGGTTGCCATGAGTTAAGGCCAGTTTGGGCTACATACTGAGTTCAAGGCCAGCCTAGATTACAGGCTGTCTCACAAAACAAAGCAGTAATGAATATGATCATTACGTATATCTAAAATGTACCAATAAAATGTAGTTTAAAAAAGAAAAAATACTGAATCCCGGAAAGAACAGCAAAAACCAAACCAAACCAAACCAAACTGAAAAATGGGCTAGGGATGTAGCTCAGCAGTAGCATGTTCCTGGGTTCCATGTCTAGTAACACACACACACACACACACACACACACACACACACACACACAGCAAATACTCCTGAAAGCATTAAACATTTACAAAGTCACACAATTATGTTTCCTTGGGAGTTAATGAAGGCAAATAGCTGTTCTGGAGCCAGCAAGAGTCCTTCTGGCACAGAGAACATTTGTAGAATGGTTCACATTTTTGCAAGGAGAGTTTTTATGATTCCCACAGCAACCCCAAGAGGTGGCTAGGAGGCTGAGGCAGGAGAATCACCATGATAACTATTCCTTCTTTTGATATAAAAAAAATGTAATTTCCTCTGCCACGCTGCCCTGCCTTGAGTCAGTAAATGTGCTAAGTCTGCGGTCTCATAAGATCAAAGAATGAAGATAAAACCAAAGAATACGTTAGGAAAGTTTTACTGGAAGTAAAGAAAAAATTATCTCTTAATTTAAAAAAACAAAAAACCTGAGTCCCAGAAAGAATAGCAAAACCAAAACCAAACCAAACCAAACCAAAAAATGGGCCCAGTAGCCCCTGGAGTCTTTTGTCACAGGTAATTTATACAGCAAAATCACAGTGTGGATACAATATGGGTCCGACTACAATCAAGCCATAGGATTACAAATCTAGTCACCTGATATTGACCCAATAGGGAAACAAGTCACATAGCATGGGTACCTGGAAAGAACAAAGGTGTTTAGGGAAAGGGAGGTATTACAGCTTGTGTCTAAATGTCACCCCACACAGCCTCATGTGCTCACAAGTGGGGGTTTTCAGAGGTGGTTGGATCTAGGATGTGTGCAGATGGATAAAGGATATGCAATAACTAAATTAGTACGTTGATTGGTTTAGCATAGTTGGAGTTTGAATAAAGGGAGGGCTACCCAATAGGCTCACAACCTGGATGGGATAAAAGGGAAAGGAAGGCTCGCTGCCTCCTGCCTGCGCTGCCGTGGACTATTTCTCCTCTGCTGTGCTGCCCTGCCTTGGAGCCAGCTGACTATGAACTGAAACCTCTACAAACTGTGAGCTAAAATAAACCTTTTCTCCTTTAACTTGTGTCAGGTATTTTGTCCCAGCAACAAGTAAAGTAATTAAAATTGGAGGGGTATCTGGGGAGTAGGCGTTCAGATGCCCTGATCACCCACCTATGTGTCTGATGCCTGTCTGGGTCCAATGAACCAGGTGGTGCTAATTACATTATAATCCCAAAATACTATTTAATCACAGGCCTGGCTATGGCATCTCCATCCTGAGACCTGGCTCTCTCTAGATTTGTCTCTAGTCACAATTCTCATGTCTATTTTTTTGTGATGACTTCCTTGAGGGCACAATCCCTCTCTTGACTGTATATAAATTTTTATGTAACTTAGCTGTCTGTAATATTTTTATTTGCATTTATTTTATGCGTAATGTATTTCTGTGCCATGTTTTTGTTTCTTCTGGGAGAGCTTTTTCTCCTGTGCAGTGTCCTCCTTTGGTTTAGGAACAGTTTGCTCCTTTTCAGTAAGGATCATCCCAATGTGGCCAAGGGAGCCTGTCTGTAATACTTTTAGAGAAAAGGAAACCAGGGTGGGAGAAATGACTTGAGCAAGCTCTTAATGCACTATGCTTTGCCATTGGCGAGCCACGCCCTGGGCCACGCCCAGTGGTCCACTAATCTGCCACCCTGGAGATAAGATGTGTTTTGCCATCCAGGTACGTGTCCCTAAGCATCACCCTAAGCACACAACACTATTCCCGCATTGCTGCTGGCACTTGGTAATCATGCTCTTTACCATAACTCCATGTTCCACGGCCTCTGCAGAGTGCTGGAGCTGACCGAGACAGTCTTCCATGCTATGGCTCTTCGGGCACCTGGCACCCCATCCTGAGGTCAGACACCAGAGGACGTGCCCGAAACATGACTCACAGTGTGTCTGTCTGCAAGAGACCAGTCAAATTACATGTCATTAATAAAACTTACATGGCTGTCCTGCCCATTGGGAGGGGAGCAGTTCACTCTGAGGTATGTTTGGTAACTGCAGCCTGGCGACTCTGACAGGGCTGAGCAAAGGAAGCGAAACTGGAACAGAACACCAGGCCCAAAATGTTACCCTGAGACTACAGAGATAACTTGCTCTAATTCCTTTTCATCCCGCTCTACTCCCCTCAGAAAACTTCTGCTAAAATGGGACTGTGCCATGTTCCCCTGAGTTTCTCTTGCTAAGTTGCCCAGGCCAGCCTTGAACTTGGGACTCTCCTGTCCCAGTGTTATCCCTCCTGCCTGCCCTGACCGTTTTTTTTTTTTTTTTAGCATCCAGTTCAAATGTCATCTCTTCTGCCAGAAGCGGTAACTTCCGCTTCCTGGCTTTCCTAATACTTCACTTCTGAGGCATGTGATTTTCAAACTGGATTCACAAGTCTTGTTTTGGTGAGCAATGCAAGGCTTCATGCCGAGGCTTAGACCTGAGGCTTTGGGCCCTCAAAGCCCCCACCTGGTGCCACACCAGGAACACACCGGGCTCATATAGCCCGGATGGAGGGAGTAGGTGATCCATACCAGTCCAACACCACATAGTGAACCAATGGACAGATGCCTAAATAAAATACTGACACTGCCTTCAGCTGGGATGGGGTAGACCACAAAGCCCTCTTCCCAGCCTTGCCTGGGGAGTCAGCAAGCCCCTTGCATACTTCCGTTCTCAGACGTTGCACACCTGTGTCTGCAGGTAGAGGTGTGCCTTGATGGTGGCCCGTGGGTGGCTCTTCCCTCTGCCGCTATGTGAGCCCTGGGTGTTCCTCGTGAGGCATAAGGGTGGGGCTCTGAGGACCTGAAGCCTCAGACAGGAAAAGCAAGTTGGTGTGGGAACTGTCCTTCAGCCCCATTCTTCTTAGGCCTCACCAGAGTGACAAGGAGCTGCATACTAAAGAGGGCCAGGTACAAAAGGGAGGATCCAAAGCCGGGTGTGGTGGCACATGCCTGTAATCCCAGCACTTAGGAGGCTGATGCAGGAGGATCCCTGGGAGTTCAAGAGCAGCCTAGGTTACAAAGTGAGCTCAAGGCCAGCCTGAACTACATAGCAAGACCCTGTCTCAGAAAGACAAAACACAAGCAAACAAAAAGGAGAACCCAGAAGGAGGACCTGAAGAAGGGTTCAGGTATTTGAGAAGGTGACAGAGGTGGAGGTTGGGTGGGATGGTGGGGGGAGAGGGGGAAGCATTTCAGAAAGGTCCTGGGGTGACGTAGGAAGGCTTGGGCCTGAGATTCTGGTACTGGATCATCCGGTTCCCACCTGGGCCAGCCTGCCAAGTCGTTCCACCCTTCTGAGCTTCAGTGTTCATCTGTGAAATGGGCCTATCAACAGCCCAGCCTGGGAGGTGGTTAGTGAGGTCACTGGGCCGGGCTAGCCCTTGGGAACCTGCAGGGGGCAGTACCAGCGGCGGCGGGGTGCGAGGGTGCGGAAGGCCTTGCCCGGGAGCGGGCGGGGCGGGAGTCCCCGCCCAGCGCCCCTGTCGCGGAATCGCCCCGCCGGACTCCGCGGCCAGGGCGCCGTGGCTCGCGCGCTCCGGTGCGCTCGGGTGCGCGCTGCGGGGCGGCTGCCGGGTGCTGGGCGGGCCAGGCGGGCAGGAAGTGCGGCGCCGAGCGGGCCGGGAACTGAAACTCCGAGCCGCAGGGCCGGGCAGCCGCGGGTAGAGGCCTAGCTGGGTCGGTGGCCCTCCGGCTCCGCTGGGCGGCTGCACTTGGCGGGAGCGCGGGCGGGGCGCGGAGTGGGGAGGCGCTGAGCAAGTGCGGCGGCTGGGAGTTCTCGGCTGGAGCAAGTGGCACCGGGCCGGGCCGCTGGGAACGGGTGCGGGTGATCGCAGCTTTTCCTGTGGGTCCCCAAAGCCATCTGAAAGGAGGAGAGCTGCTTGGGACTCAGCCTGCTGCGTGTCCCTGGATCTCTGGGAACACTGGCCCTGTGCTTTCCCGGAGACCAGGGTGATCAGCAGACAATCGTGGCCCTGTGCGTCCCACCGTGACTCAGTGGCTCTGCATCTGATGCCAACCCTGAAATTTCCCTGGGTGTGCACTCTTAACCCATCCCCACCTCCTGGGACTCCTGCATTGAGCCCTGTCAGCACCTTAGTCAGCTGCTGCACTGGTTGGGCCTGTAAGCCCTGCCACCCTGGGCAGCCACACAGAGAAGGGTCCCCTCCCTTATCCTCTGACCTCCGGAGTGCCCAAGGCTCTGGGTAGAGGCCTGCCTTTAGGGGAGCTGTGGAGCTCGTGAAAGGCTTCCTAAGAGAAGACTTTTGAACAATATTTTAAAAGATTGGGATTCTGATAGTGAAGAAAGGTCATTCTGAGCTGAATAACGTAAGCACAAAGTTCAGAAAGTGAGTGACAGAAAACCATGGCCCTGTGGCCACTGGTCGAGAGCAGAAGATGCTGACACACTGGGTAATGCTTGCTGTCTGCCTCTTAGATCCCGGGACTCACACCGTGCCATGGAGAAGAGGCTGTGCACAGCATAAACAGGTAACCAGCGAGGAAAACTTGCCTCTTACAATGGAAACCACCACCCCCGCTTTTTTTTTTTTTTTTTGGTACCAGGTACCAGGAATTGAACTCATGACCTAGCGTTTATCAGGCAGGTGCTCATGCCGCTGAGCTAAATCCCCAGCCCAGAATGGAAACCCTTTTAAGGAACCTCTGAAGAAGTGTATCTTGTGTGGGAAACGTGGATGATAAGAATGCGCAACTTCTTTTCTTTTCTTTTTTTTTTTTTTTATCGGTACTGGGAATTGAACTCAGGACTGCCTGCCTGCAAGGCTGGCGCTTATGCCGCTGAGCTAAATCCCTGGCCCCAAGAATGTGCAGTTTCTATCCAAGTTGATTTCTCCATTTACTGGCTTCTTCCATGGGAGGCATATAACAGGTTTTCCTGGAAAGAAACAGAAAGAAATTTCAAAAGAGATTAAGAGAGCTCAAATAATGGGATTTATGCCAGTTACATACAAGGATCCTGCATATCTCAAAGACCTTAAAGTTTGCAACATCTAGGGTTGGGGATTTAACTCAATGGCATAAACACCTCCCTGGCAAGTGCGAGGTGGTGAGTTCAATCCCTGGTACCAAAAAAAAAAAAAAAAAAAAAAAAAAAAATTGCAACATCAAATAATGGTAATTTCATAAAATTATTACCGATAAACTCACTTTATAGTAAGTGGTTGTATGCCATTGTTGAGTCATACTAACCTTTGGGTAGAAAAATGTTTCAGGACTCAAGCTTTCCCCCATACCACTGAATGTTCACTGAATAGATTGTGTATTGGAAACACTAATATGCTTTACATTGTCTATGCCAGGAATAAAAGTGGGCCTGTATGACTGTCCCCCACCCCAAAAATGAGAGTAAGAATACAGTGCGCCTGGAGAATGAGACGGGGGCAAACTCAAAATAACTGTGGGCCGGGCATGGGCTGCTTGTCGGTAACCTTGGACTGCAGGGCAGTCTGGACTGAGGGGCTGGAATGGACTGAGACTGCAAGCAGGGCGCCCCCTTTGACAAGGGGCTCTGGACCAGCGACCGGAAGGCAGAGCAGTGGGGAGGACAGTTCCCACTGTGGAAGGGGCAGGGGAGGACGGTTTGAACAAAAACTTCAGGAGGCCAGGTTCCAGTGTTGAATGAGTATTTAGGAAGAGCCGTGGTGAAGCAACTAGAAGGGAAAGGGAAGGATAAGTCCGCTTTCACACGGGTGAAGTTTGAAGCAGAATGTCATTAGGACTCTGTCAAGTAGGAAGTCCGTTCACTCATTTATTATTTATATCAGCCTCAAAGGCAGCTTACATAAAAGTCACAGAGAAGATAAAATGATAAAACCATTAAAACTCAGCTAAAAGGGTCTGATGGTTGGGGACCAAAGACAGAAGGGAGTAGATAATAATTACTGGAAAATGTGGACTGGAAGGCTATTTAAAATGAACACAGGACTCCGAGCTGAGCTCACTGGAGAAAGGGCGGCTGAAAGCTGAGTTTGGCATTTGGTTTGGTTTGGTTTTTTGAGACAGGGGCTTGCTCTGTAGCCCAAGCTGGCCTCAAACTTGTGGTGATGCTCCAGCCTTGGTGAGTGCTGGGATTACAGGCATGCACCACTGCACCCACCCAGCTTCTCAAAGCAGATTATTGGGCTAGGAGTCAGGACCAAGGCGTTTATGAAGCCTTAGGAGAGAGGCAAACGGTGGTAGGAGATGAACTGGGGTCATTCAGGTTGGGGTCATCAGAGAAGGAGGAGAGCGGGACACTGGCCAGGGCTACATCTGAGGGAGGCCTGGGGGATGCCCCTCCTCACTGGCATAGGACAGGGTTGTGTGGGAGGAAGGCAGGGAGGTGGGTGGTGGCCACACATTCACACCATTCTCCTTGCAGGGGAGCGGGCACGAAGGTGGTGCCAAGTCGCCAGGCTCTGACTTTTTCTCCCAGAATGAGGTGGGGGCACCATTTGTCCAGGGCATCTTGGGGCTCTCGTCTTGGAAGAATACCCCGGCTACCAGGTAAGCACAAAGCAGGGGTTTCTGTTGCTACCTCTCCTGCTTCTCAGAGTCTGGGTGGCATCTCCTAGAGAGCAGGGATCCCAGACACCAGGGGCACTAGGCCCAGCTCTGGTTCTCTGTGTTGACTCTCCTATGTCATCTCGTCTCTCTGAGCTTCCTTTTTCCCTGCCTAAAATCTGAGAGTGGGACTAGATGATCTTCTGGAATCCCTTCCAGCTCCACAAGTCCAGGAATATTTGTCTGATTTTCTTTTGCATTTAACAGATATGAAATATTAACCTAAGCACCCAATCCTGGGTTAGGATCTAGATATATAACAGTGAACAAAAACAGATGTGGTTCCTGGCTGGGATCTCTTATGGGGGGTGGTGAATATTAATCAAATAATCACGTGGTAAAACATAGGACTGCACAATAATTACTAAAGTGGGGTGCTTCGTGTTGCTATGAGAACAAGTAAGGGGTCTGTGTCCGGGTGGGGAAACGTGGACAGTATCTGGAGATGCTGTTTCTGTCTTCTCTCTGCAGATGATCACAGCCCCTTCCTGATCCACCGGAGATGGCTGTCTAGAAGGGAGCGGCCCCTTGGGCCGCTTAGGTGAGGCCTTGATGTCATGCCTTAGAATGCATCTCAGGCACAGCCCAGCAGACTGGAAAGGGCTGGACATGGCACTAAATCGATCCCTTTGAGAAGGGACTGTGGTTCTCAGAGGTGGTGGCTGCCAGGCCTTGAAGGAAGTTAGCTTAGATCACCTATGTAGAAGTCATGGTGGGGGGGAGGGGGAACCTGTGAGAAGCGGGTGGGCCTGGCAGTTATCAGCATGAGTTCCATGCAGGCAGTTGGTTGTGGGGGATGGAGGGCCAGAGTGAAGACTTAGTCCCTGGGAAACGGTGAGAATTGGGTGTCCAGGGTTGGGCTTGGGTCTTATGCAGTGGGGAGTCCAGCAGGGCATGCTGGACTCAGAGGCTATGCAAGGTTGACCCCCATATCCAAGCCACAGCTCATCCCCTCTCCTTGCCCCCCAGGGCCTCTGAACGCCTCCATGGAAGCTCAGCAGAGAGTGCTCCCCACAGTGCTCCCCAGGCTAGAAGGCATGCACAGCTGTTCCAGAGCTCCTCTGCGGCTGGTAAAGGACTGGCTGGGATCCAGATGGCGGGAGGGGTGGAGAGGAGAGACCTGAGGAGGAGCAGGGTGAGGGAGGTTAGAGGATCCACTGCCCTCAACCTTCAGTGGTCCCTCCTCCCCTGCCTGTGATACTTGTGCAGCGCACACCGACTGTGAAGAAAGCACTCGAGACACACTACCTTCTGCCAACTTTGGGGCAAGCAGCCAGGTTAAGACTATGCACAGATACCTAACCGTGAAGCTGGTCAACACAGCCTTACCTTCCAAAGGCTCCTCACCATCTGCCACAGGAGTTTTAAATGCCCAGACACCCCTATTTTCCGAGGGAGTCCTGGCTTCCAGTATCTCTGGGTGCTGTCTTGATGCCTGTCCTCACCCTAACCCCAGCATCTCCAGCCCCTCTCCCTGATCCAGGTCTCTCACCTTCCCATCTAGACGCTATACGTCAGCACCGCCAGAACCTGGTTGAGTGGTTCAGCCGGCTGCCCAGGGAGGAGCGGCAGTTTGGCCCGACCTTTGCCCTTGACACAGCCCATGTGGACCCTGTGATCCGAGAGAGCACCCCTGATGAGCTGTTTCGGCCGTCTTCAGCACTGGCCTTGGATCATCAGTCACCCACAGCAGGGCTCCCCCCGCTGGCCCTGTCTGAGCTCTTTAACCCAGATGCCTCTGGGCGCCGGGTGCAGACGGTGGTGCTCTATGGGACTGTGGGCATGGGCAAGAGCACGCTAGTGCGCAAGATGGTCCTGGACTGGTGCTATGGGCAGTTGCCAGCCTTCGAGCTACTCATCCCCTTCTCCTGTGAGGACCTGTCATCGCTGGGCCCAGCCCCTGCCTCCCTGTGCCAACTGGTAGCCCAGCGCTACACACCCCTGAAGGAGGTCCTGCCCCTGATGTCTACTGCCGGCTCCCGAGTGCTCTTTGTGCTCCATGGCTTGGAGCGTCTGAACCTGGACTTCCGGCTGGCAGGCACAGGGCTTTGCAGTGACCCGAAGGAGCCAGGTGCACCAGCTGCCATCATCGTCAATCTGCTGCGCAAATATATGCTGCCTGAGGTGGGTGACCCGTGGCCACACCCCGCTACTGCTGCCCCTTGACCTGCCCTCTGAGGCAGCGGTGATGAACCTATGGCACGCATGTGGCAGCAGCCAAGCCGAGCCCTCTGTCTGCATGCCAGCCAAGTGCATGAGTTGTTTTTTCCAAACTAAAAGCTCAGTATTCAGGTTTGATTACGATGGCCCTTTGCAATTAATAAGTAGGTTTGGGATTCTTGCTCTCGTTGCTGCTATAGGGAGCCTTGGGTCCTGGCTCACGTTTGTCAGGTAGGATAGGCCCTCAGCTAGTTCACATCCTGGCCTTTCTACTTCCCAGTTGTGGGATCTGAACAAGTGATTAACTTCCCCAAGCTTCAATTCCCAGCATCATAGAGTCAAACTGATCAAGTGAGATCCTGCATGCAATGTGCTTAATTTGGTGTCCTGGACCATCATAGATGTTCAGTGATTGTTATGATTATTATAGTCACTGTTCTCTCCATCTTTAGATGGACACTCAGTCTTCAGGGGCTTGAAGTAATCAGGGCACTCAGGGGTTTTTTTTTGTTTGTTTCTTGAGACAAAGTCTTGCCTATAGTTCTGGCTGATCTTGAACTCACTATGTAGCCCAGGCTGATCTTGAGTCCACAGCGATCCTCCTGTCTCAGCCTCTGAAGTGCTTGGATTACGGGTGTGCCTGGCAGGTCTTTCTTAACCCTCAAACATGCCGTTCCCAGGCCAGCATTCTGGTGACCACTCGGCCTTCTGCCATCAGCCGCATCCCCAGCAAATACGTGGGCCGCTATGGTGAGATCTGTGGCTTCTCTGATACCAACCTGCAGAAGCTCTACTTCCAGCTGCGCCTCAACCAGCCCGACTGCAGGCACAGTGCAGGGATCCTGGCCACGCCAGCTCAGCGGGACCACCTGGTGCAGATGCTGTCCCGGAACTTGGAAGGCCACCACCAGATCGCCACTGCCTGCTTCCTGCCCTCCTACTGCTGGCTTGTCTGTGCAACCTTACACTTCCTGCATGCCCCGACCCCTGCTGGCCAGACCCTCACAAGCATCTACACCAGCTTCCTGCGGCTCAACTTCAGTGGGGAGATGCTGGACAGCACTGACGCCTCTAACTTATCCCTGATGGCCTACGCAGCCCGAACCATGGGCAAGCTGGCCTATGAGGGTGTGTCCTCCCGCAAGACCTACTTCTCAGAAGAGGATGTCCGGGGCTGCCTGGAGGCTGGCGTCAAAACAGAAGAGGAATTTCAGCTGCTGCATGTCTTCCGCCGGGATGCCCTGAGGTTTTTCCTGGCCCCGTGTGTGGAGCCGGGGCACCTGGGCACCTTTGTGTTCACTGTGCCTGCCATGCAGGAGTACCTGGCCGCCCTCTACATCGTGCTGGGTTTGCGCAAGACAACCCTGCAACGGGTGGGCAAGGAGGTGGCCGAGCTGGTGGGCCGTGTTGGGGAGGATGTCAGCCTGGTACTGGGCATCGTGGCCAAGCTGCTCCCTCTGCGGATTCTGCCTCTGCTCTTCAACTTGCTCAAGGTAACAGCCCCAAGACAGTAACCTTTGCTTTTCCCTCCCAGGACCCCAAACTGCCTACCATCCGGCTCTTCAAGCACTCGCCCTTCTCCCACTACGAAAGCACTGCGTTTCGCATAGGTGCAAGTCTTTACCTGAGCTCTGGATTTAGCTCTGGGGAGTTTGGCTTCTGCTGGGATTGAGGCCTGAGGAATGAGAGGAAGAAGCCTTGGGTTGGGGAGGCTCGGGGCTGGGAGGGATGTGAGGGCGTGGGGACTCTCCTGACAAGCGCAGATGGACCCTAATAGCAGTTGGCTTCTTCCATCTCTCCTCCTAGTCTTTGTTGCCAGGAAGCAGGGGTCACTACAGTCCAGGATCTGTCCTTTGCTCACAAACTTGATTGTATCTGTTTCCCCAGATGTGACTCGGATCTGGCAGTGATGACTCACCCTAACTCAATCACAAGACAGGTTTATAAGGCAGATGCCATTTTATTCATTTATGCTAGGAGGATGATTGCATTGGTAATTGGCTTAGGATGCTCCATCCTAGGTGCAGTTCTGCCCCAGAAAGCCATCGAGGGCCTGGGGGAGTAGGGCGGTGCACAGATCTCCTGAGGAATTGAGAGAGCCACTCTGCTGTCTGCCTGACACTTCTTCAGGCTTCTTCCTTTCATATCGACCTGGAGATGAAACATTATTATGGTCCCTTTTATGTAGATTTTTAAAATTTTGGTGTTTTTGTGACACAATCTCCCTATGTGGTCCAGGTTGGGCTTTAACTTACTATATGCACGCTAGACTCAAACTTGTGATTTCCTGCTTCAGCCTCTCAAGTGCTGAGACTGTAGGTGTGCACCACCCTGCCTGGATTTTTCTGAGACAGGGATTCGATTTGTAGAAAGGAGCCTTGAGGTAGTAGGAAGGAGCTGCACCAATTGTAGTTGCTGTGATGATGAAAATATTGAAGCTAGTGATGTATTTCAGCACCTAGCACAGCTCAAACTCCAGGCCTCACACAGCTGGCCTTCTGCACCTGCTGGCTTTGCACCCATGTACTCAACTAACTGCAGATGAAGATGCTTGAAAAAAATGGGACTGAGCTGTATCTCAGTACAGAGGGTACTTGGTACGCACAAGGCCCTGGGTCCAATTCCTGTATGCACACACACACACACACACACACACACACACACGATTACTTGTATATTTTTTTGAAAAAAAATTGCATGTTTTGAACATGTGCAGACTCTTCAATCCAATGTAACACTTTACATGTATAGTTACAGTGTAATAGTTATTTACGTAGCTTTTATATATATATATATATATATATATATATATATATATATATTTTGTCTTTTGTCTTTTTCCTTTTTATTGGTACCAGGGATCGCACTCACCACTGCCTGCTTGCAAGGCAGGTGCTTATGCCGCTGAGCTAAACCCCCAGCCCCATTATTATTATTATTATTTTGGTAGTGGGAATTGAACTCAGGACCTTGCACTTGCCAAGTGGTCTCTGTGTCTATCCCTGGCCCTCTTAAGTATCTTAACTATTTAGAGATGATTTAGAGATGATTTAAAATATGCAGAGGATGTGGGTAAGCCGGATGCAAATACTACAGCATTTTACATCAGGGACTTGAGCACTCATGGGTTTTCAGTTTCCGTGAGGGGTCCTGGGAACCAAGCCGTGAAGATGCCAAGGGACAATCTCGAATGCTTGCTCCTTCCTGCCATCTCCCAGGCTGGGAAATGGGTAGGTGCTCAGGAAAAAACAAGGAGTTCCTAAAGCCTGGAGTACATTAGACAGGTATTTGACAGATGGCCCTGGGAAGGTCCCGCTGGGGCCAGATAATGGAAAGCATTGTATTCTAGGCTGTTTAGTTTGCCACACAGGGAGTGGGATGCAGTGGAGCTGCTCCAGTAGGGGACCAATGTGACCCTGCAAGTCATGAGGCTGGAGCAGGAAGGGTGGACCTTAATTTGCACCTTGGTGGCTGAGCAAGCACATGGGAGGTCCCAGCGCCCACCCCGCTGCTTTTCCAGGTGGTCCCTCGAGTGTTTGGGCGCATGGTGGGAAAGAGCCGGGAGGCCGTGGCCCAGGCCATGGTGCTGGAGATGTTCCGAGAGGAGGACTACTACAATGATGATGTCCTGGACCAGATGAGTGCCAGTATCCTGGGTGTGGAGGGCCCCCGGCGCCACCCCGATGAGCCCCCAGAGGATGAAGTCTTTGAGCTGTTCCCCATGTTCATGGCGGGGCTTCTGTCTGCCCACAACCGGGCAGTGCTGGCTCAGCTTGGCTGCCCCATCAAGAACCTGGATGCCCTGGAGAATGCCCAGGCTATCAAGAAGAAGCTGGGCAAGCTGGGCCGGCAGGTGCTGCCGCCCTCGGAGCTCCTTGACCACCTCTTCTTCCATTACGAGTTCCAGAACCAGCGCTTCTCTGCCGAGGTGCTCAGCTCCCTGCGCCAGCTCAACTTGGCAGGTGTGCGCATGACACCCCGCAAGTGTACAGTGGTGGCAGCTGTCCTGGGCAGTGGAAAGCATGCCCTGGACGAGGTGAACTTGGCCTCCTGCCAGCTGGACCCTGCTGGACTGCGCACACTCATGCCTGTCTTCCTGCGTGCCCGGAAGCTGGGGTAAGGACCTGTCCTCATGTGCAGGTGTGAAGAGGGGAGAGGATGGGTGACAGAGAAGGTGCTAGGGAAACCAGCCACCCTGAAGAAGGACCAGCTGGTGTGTATTCATCTCTTCTCTGTTGCCATAGCAAAACCCCTGAGGCTGGATACTTTATAAAGAAAAGAGGGGCTGGGGATTTAGCTCAGCAGCATAAGCACCTGTCTTGCAAGTAGGCGGTCGTGAGTTCAATTCCCGGTACCGATAAAAAATGAAAAAGACAAAAAAAAATATGTATTATAAGAAAAGAAAGTATTTAAATGCCAGATTGGAGGTTGAGTCTGAGACTGGGCAGTTGCATTGACTCAGCCTCTGTAGAGGGCCATCTTTCCTGCATTACAACACGTGTGCAGAGGAGGCATGACCTTGCTTTCTAACAACCCACTCTCAGGAGGGCTCACTCTGCAAGGCCAACATTAATCCCCATCAAGTGGGGGGGAACCTCCAGTGCCCTAACTGCCCTGCACTGGGCCTCCTGTCTCAAGGTCCTGCCACCTTGGTCCCTAATGCAGTGGTCCCCAATACTGATACACTGGGGAACAAGCTTCCTAAGTCAAGGACTCTTGTGGAACAAACCACATGCAGACCTTACCGGGGTGGGATGGAATGTGGTGTGGGCAGAGGTGACCAGAGCAGCAGGTAGTGGGTAGGTGTGATGCAAGAGGCAGACCGGGGAGGGAAGCGCTCTGGAGATGGGCGGCCTCCATACTGATCCGCCTTGCCCTCTCACCTCCTCTCTGGCCACCTTCCACTCCAGCTTACAACTCAACAGCCTGGGCCCTGAGGCCTGCAGGGACCTCCGAGACCTGCTGCTGCATGACCAGTGCCAAATTACCACCCTGCGGTGAGTGCCCAGGAGGGAGACTCTGGCCATCTTGGTGGCCAGCGCAGGTCAAGGGTGACTCCCTGCTTCACAGCATACTTGGCACAGTTAAGGGAGCGGGAGCCAAGACCCCATGTAGCCCCCAAATCCAGGTGCATTACTCGCAGGGGGCAAGGGGAGGATGCCATCATAATAGGTGCTAAGAAAGCCTCTGGCTAACACCAGCCTAGGGGCAGGGAGGCTTCAGTAATAACTGGGTTGGTTGCCTGGTAACAGAGCCACTGATCCCTCCCAGGACTCTTCCTGCAGCCTCACCAGGATGACTCCAAGGCTAGGCACTGGATAGGAGCTCCCAAAGTGTGGGCTGACTTTCTGGTTGGGGGGGGGGGGAGATAGGGAGGAGCAGGAGGGAGGAGCCAGAGAGGAAGGAAAAGCAGCAACTGGGGAGAGAGAGAAGGAAGATGGGAAATAGTGGTGAGGAAGAGAGAGAGAGGAGAGGGAGGAAGAGCCAGGGAGCAAAGAGGTGGAAAGAGGGAACAGAGGGAGGAAAAGCCCACGTCCGCTCACCATCACTCCTCTGCAGGGGCCACACTCCCTGCGTCCCTGCCGCCTTCTCCTTGGCCTGCATTTCCGTGTCCAGCTGTCTCCACCCCAGGGTGTGTCCCGTTTGGCGCAAGCCCTGATGCCCAGCACAGGGCACCTGCCATGGGCCCTCATAACCTCGGTTGCTTGTGACTCTAGGTTGTCTAACAACCCATTGACGGCGGCAGGTGCTGCCCTGCTGTTGGAGGGGCTGGCAGGAAACACCTCGCTGACACACCTGTCCCTGCTGCACACCGGCCTTGGGGACGAGGGCCTGGAGTTGCTAGCTGCCCAGCTGGACCGCAACCATCAGCTGCAGGAGCTGAACGTGGCCTACAATGGCGCTGGTGACAAGGCAGCCCTGGCCCTGGCAAAGGCGGCTCGGGAGCACCCTTCCCTGGAGCTGCTGCAGTGAGTCTTGTCGCTGGTCCCATGACCCCCGCCCCTCAGCCCTTTGCTTTCCCTTCTTCTGCCCCAGGACTGCTCTGGGCCTGGGCCTGGTGTCTGTCCTCTCTCCCTGGACTCTGGCTGACCCCTGCCAACTCAGTACTGAAACAACCACCCTGTGTGTCACTGGGCCTTACCCTGCCCTGCCCTTTCTCCTAGAGACCCATTGTCCCTGTCCTGTGCTGAAGTCGCACGTCATTCCCTACCTCCCAGTGCCCAACATCTACCATCACTGGCTAACTGCAAGTTCTTATCACATTTATCCATCACATTTGGCAGCCAGGGGCCGAGATGCCCCTCCTGTCACCGATGTTATGGATCCACCATAGAGGGGCCCCTTTCTCAGCCCGGATGAGTGATGCCTGCCCTTCTCTTTTCTGCCAGCCTCTACTTCAATGAGCTGAGCTCAGAAGGCCGCCAGGTCCTGCGAGACTTGGGGGGCACTGCTGAAGGCGGTGCCCGGGTTGTGGCATCACTGACAGAGGGGACAGCCGTGTCGGAGTACTGGTCGATGATCCTCAGTGAAGTACAGCGGAACCTCAACAGCTGGGACTGGACACGGGTCCGGCGCCACCTTGAGCTACTGCTTCGGGATCTGGAAGATAACCGAGGTGCCACCCTTAATCCTTGGCGCAAGGCCCAGCTGCTGCGAGTGGAGGGTGAGGTCAAGGCCCTCCTGGAGCAGCTGGGGAGCCCTGGCAGCTGAACAGGGGCAACTGAGACCTGGCTGTGGGGACCACTGACTGCAATGCCTCCCCTCTGGCCCACACCTCTTTCCTGCCTGGATTCTACTCCTTCTAGAAAGCCCCCCTCAGCTGGGCACAGTGGCACATGCCTGTAATAGCCCAGCCAATCAAGAGGCTGAGGCAGGAGGATTGCAAATTTGAGGGTAGCCTGAATACTTAGTGAGACCCTGCCTCAAAAAACAAAATAAAACAAAAAAAACCCCCAAAACCAGAAAGCTGAGTATCTAGCTCAGTATTAAAATCCTTTCTGGGTTCAACTCCCAGTACTAAGGGAGATGAATGGTGCTTCAGGGCTGGACAGTGGCCTCCGCCCTGTGGAGCATGTCCACCTAGGGCCTGTACAGCTGGAATTTCCGGGGTCAGCATCAGAGATGGTGGACTGTTGCTTGGTCTTGGAGATGGGACATGCCTCTTCTCTCATTGGCTGAAAGGACTAAGGATATGGCATCTGAGTGACCACCTGCTCTGTGGCACCACCACCCATCTTCTCTCTCTTTCCACTCGAGGAGCCTCTGATTGTGCCAGAGGCACACTTCTCACACCTGCCATGCCAGGGCTTCGCTCCTGCTTTACGCTCACCTGTGGGCACCAAGGATGCCGTCACATTGGTGCTTTCCTGGCCCTCAGGCTCCCTGCACCACGCTGGTCCCGAGGGCCTGGTGGCCTCCCATGGCCCGGCACACCCATGTTGCTGCTATTAAAAAGCCAAGTGTCTTCCACCTATGGTGCCTCCACGTCCTTCTTTGATGCTTCCAAAAAAGGGCATTGTTTTTGGTCATTCTGATTAAGCTGCTCACCACTTTCTGTTGCCAGAGCTCCTGGATGCTGACTCGGCTGCAGAGGCTGGGAGGGAGAGGCTCATGCCCAAGATACTGCGATGGGGTTTGGCCGCGTTGTCCTCTGTCTTATCTTTTCCTCCTCCCCTGGGTTTGCATTCTGCCTTCTTATGTGCCGAGGGGCAAACAGGTTTACTACAGGATCTCCAGAGAAAGCTGGGCCCCAGGCATGGGCAGGAGGAATGCACACACTTCCCCATAATCCCAAGACTCTCATCAGTGTTAACCATTACCCTGCAGCTTCCACCACGGAGTCTTCAAGGAGGCGGGACTTGGGGAGGGGTAGGTAGGAGGGTCACCTGGTTACAATGGACCTTGTCCCTAGGCTGAACACTGGGTCACTGATCCAACTATGGAGGCAGCTGCAGGTAGGAGGCTGGGAGGTATCCTCTGGAGGGTACTTTGGGCAGTTGGGGTCCCTGAGCGGATCTGGAGACTTTGGGATTAGGGGACACCTGATGTTGGGGCTTGGATCCCTGAGGCAAATCCTCGAGGTCAGGAGGACAAGTGAGTTGACATTTCTGTCTACCTGGTCCACACCCTGTACTGATATGCTCAGATTTATGAGCCATGACTTGCAGGGAAAACAACAGCCTTGTTCGTATCACATTCTTAGAAAGGGAAAACTCTTTTGAGCCAAACGGGGAAAAACTGGGTTTGGGGTTCCCCAAATCCTCAGTTTATGACCATAGAAGAGGTGTGTTGCGGGGGAGGAATTGCCTTTCCTTTCACCCACCTCTTTGTCCAGGAGATCTTCGGGACACAGCTTCCTTACCTCTGTAAGTGACGTGAAGGCTCGGGCAAGGGAGGAAGACATGGGAGCGCGGTGGCCTTCAGCACGAGCGCCTAAGACAGCTGAGGACTCAGGTCCAGCTGCCAGCTTCTTTTGCCTTTCCTGCCTCCTTGCAGGAAGTTTAAGTTTAACCCAAAGCTGGGCATTGACAATCCAGTCCTCTCCCTGGCCGAAGACACTGGTAACCCTCTCTTGCCCCCTGACAACCATTGCCTTTCCCAGGAGACAGCACAGCTCACACAGCTTCCTATCTCCTTGGTAACCACTCTGCCTCCTTCTGATGCCGGTGCTACGCAGAGCGGGGGTGGGGGCACATTTCCTCTGTCCTAGGCACGCTGTCCACACAATGTTAGCCACATTGCCCAACCTCCCACTGGGCGGAGGGGTACCCTGGCGGGAGGCAGTAATTACCAATCATGCAATGGACCTGTACTTGGGGTGTGTCCCCTATTGTCCCCCTTTTCTGCTGCCCATTCCCCCCTCCAGGTCCCTGGAACTTGGAGCGGCCTCGATTCTGTCTGCTGAGCAAAGAGGAGGGCGGGAGTTTCGGTTTTCACCTGAAGCAGCGGCTGGGCAAGGCTGGGCATGAGGTGTGCAGGGTGGAGCCAGGCACCTCTGCCCACCACCAGGGTCTCCAGAAAGGAGACCAGATCCTGGCCGTGAACAACAATGTCGTGGAACACGAGGACTATGTGGTGGTGAGGCTGGGCTGGGCCTCCCCGTGGCATGGGAGGGCATTCCTTCCACACACAGCACCTTAGCGGGGGAAGCTGGCCGGCCAACTCCCCGGCATCATGGTACAGGGCCCAACCTGCTCCCCACCTCTCAGGAGACAGGGGTGCCCACGGAAAAACGGTTGGGTAAAGGCATTAGAGGGCATGTTTCCACCATGCAAAATGTAAGTTCCAGGGAGGTCCCGGGACCTGGCAAGGCAGACGCCTCCTCTCTCCCCGCATGCCTCTGTTCAGGTGGTGCGTCACATCCGGGCCAGTGGTCCCAGGGTGTTGCTGACAGTCTTGGCAAGGAATGTGTATGATGTGACCCAAGCTCAGCGGGGGAACGACGCCCACCTCTGTCCTGTTCTAGACTCAGGGGTCCGGCCCCGGCTGTGCCACGTAGTGAAAGATGAGGGTGGCTTTGGCTTCAGTGTCACACATGGTGAGCTTAGAGGCGGAGGGCTGTGGTCAGGAAGGGGACCTGAGTCTTTGTTCTGGGGAGGCAGCAGACTGGCCCTTGCTTTTCTTTTTTCTTTTTTGGTTCCAGGAGCTCAGGGTCCCTTCTGGCTGGTGCTAAGTGCAGGAGGAGCAGCCGACAGGGCAGGGGTGCCCCCTGGGGCCCGGCTGCTGGAAGTGAATGGAGTCAGCGTGGAGAAGTTCACTCATAACCAGCTCAGCAAGAAGGTAGCTGCTGCTCCCTTTCCCCACGCCCACCGGCGGGGGCGGGGCCACAGGCCCCCCCCCCCCCCCCCCCCGCAACACCGGGGTCCTTATCTGGTGGCCTGCATTCCAGGCCGTCCTTCCTCTCCAGTTTATGTCAGGCCAGCTACTTAGTGCCTCATTCCTGTGCCTGGGAGGAAGGGCTGAGAGGAGGTGCCTGCCTCTTCCCTTCCTACCCAGATGGCTGATGCTGGCGTCCTGCTGGGTCCCCACAGCTTTGGCAGAGTGGAAAGCAGGTGACTCTGCTAGTGGCAGGGCCAGAGGTGGAGGAGCAGTGTCGCCAGCTGGGAATGCCTCTAGCCGCACCCCTGGCAGAGGGCTGGGCACTGCCTGCCAAGCCCCGGTGTCTGCACCTAGAGAAGGGGCCCAAGGGCTTTGGGTTCCTGCTTCGGGAAGAGAAGGACACTGATGGCCGTCTCGGTGAGTGGGAGCTGTAGGGGTGGGCACGGCAAGTGGACCTTGCATGTGCATGAGCATGCTTCTTAGGGCACAAAAGACGGCAACCTCTTCCCGTGGGTCCCCCACCCTCGTGTAAACATGGTGACCTGGGGTTGCACAGGGGTAAACTGGGGAGGAGCATGAGGATGTCTATGTCCCAGGGCAGTTCCTGTGGGAGGTGGACCCGGGCCTGCCGGCCGAGAAGGCCGGGATGAGGGCAGGGGACCGACTGGTGGCTGTGGCCGGGGAGAGTGTGGAGGCACTGCGCCATGAGGAGACAGTGTCCAGGATCCGGGAACAGGGCTCTCGCGTAACCCTCATTGTCGTGGACGCTGAGGCTGACCGCTTCTTCCGCATGGTAGGTGCTGAGCGAAGGGAAGGGCGGGAACAGAGTAGGGCTGAGTGCAACAGGTTTGCTCAATCTGCCCCTCAGGTTCGCCTGTCCCCACTCCTCTTCTTGGAGAGCACAGAGGCTGCTGCCTCCTCCCAGGCCACCAACTCAACCTCTCCGGTTGAGACTGAGAACCGACCAGCGGAACACAGAGCGGGGTTTCCTGGGCCTCCTGGCTCGAGCCAGTGCTTCCTGTACCCCGGGCCTGGTGGTGCCTATGGTTTCCGACTCAGCTGTATGACAACAGGGCCTCATCTCTTTATCTCTCAGGTGACGGATGCCCCATGAAATGGACCTTCTCCACCTTTACCTCCCCATCAGCCTCCTTCATCTCCCTGCCAGAGCCTCAGAACACCCAGAAAACTTCTCTCCGCCGTCCTATATTCTATGTATCTCCCTGTGCCCCCAGGTGACCCCAGGAGGCTCAGCTGCCAGGGCAGGGCTGCAAATGGGAGACACGGTTCTGGAGGTGAACGGGTATCCTGTGGGCGGTGACAGTGACCCGGAAAGGCTTCGGCAGCTGGTGGAAGCTGAGCCACCCCTCTGTCTGACGCTGGCAGCCAGGTCTCAAGAGGGCTTGAAAGCCTGGACTGCCCCAGGGTCTGGAGAGGTGAGGAAGGACAGCCAGAGCTGGGAACAGCCAAAGAAAGGCAAAGACAAACCGCTGGAAAGGACCGACTGGGAGGACTGAGGAGGGGGCGCTTTGCTGGTCATGGGAGGGGGGGACCCACGGAGTGAGTGCTACTCCTGGACATTTCAGGTCAGGCTGGGCAGGAAAACTCTTCTGCTCCTGGAACAACCTTCCTCTCTGTGCAGGACTGGGCTCTGGCCTCGGATCTGCTGTAGAACAGCTCTGCCTAGCACGGATCTGCGGGTGGTGTTCCTGCCTCGCAGCCCACGGTGGCGGGAGCAGAGGGATGCTCAGAGGTGGGAGCTGGAGGACTCCGAGGCATCACTGAAGGGACTTTCCAGGTCTCCCTCCCATCCTATGGGCTCCCTTCCTGCCAAGGATGTCGTCGGAGGCCATGAGAAGAAGCCAGAGGCTCCAGGGGACTTGTGGGAACTCCGGAGAGCTGCACACAGGGTGAAGTCCTGCCTGAGGAGGGGCGCTGTGGGGCTGGCTAGGATTAAAACCATTTGGAAGCTGGCCTAGCTCTGACTCCAGTATAACTCAAGAATTTGGAGAGCAGTTATACCCTCTCCTGTGGACACCCAAGCATCGTGAGGGCAGGTGCCTAGATACTACCATGTCTTGTTATAGGAATGGCCTTTCCTGTAAATCTGGCTGTCTGTCTTTGTGCTTTGGGGGGAAGGGGAGGTACTTTGAAAGAATCAGCAAGGACCTAGGATGAAGGGATGGGATCCAGTTTCTGTCAGATTTCTCCGTTACTCAGCCTCTGGGACAGGGGTCAACTCAGAACTGCACTGTGCCTCCGCCCCACCAGCAACCAAGCCCACAGCTCTGCTCTGTTCCACATCAAGACACTTTATTGCTGGGCCTTGGAAACTAGAGGTCAGTAGCCTCAAAGATCCAGGGGACTGAGGTCAAACTGGCGCAGCAGCTCCTTGTGCCTGGCATGAAGTCCCAGTGCAGCCTCGTCCCGCTGAGGCTTGACGGCTCTCAGCTTGGCCAAGAGCAGGTCCAGGCTGTCCTGCAGACATCTCGTGTGCACCAACAGGCCTGGTGTGCCCCCTCCATCAACCCTCCGAGACCCTGCCCCTTCCCCTGGGCTGGCCCTCTTCACACCAGCTGTGGGGCACGGTGATGGAGTGCAGAGTACTGGGTGGATGGGGCTTGAGGGGTGGTGCTTACGTCCAAGATTTCCTTGAACTTGGCCTCCATGTCTGTCACTTGGGCCTGAAGCCGGGCCAGGGTCCGGTCTCGTTCTCCCAGGGCTTGCTCAAGCTTTTCCCTCGAGGCCTCAGCCTCTGTCTGGCAGGTTTCTGGGGGTAAGGCAGAATGATCAGAGAGGACAGGATGGTGACACTCTACCCCTGGATGGTCCACAAAGGCACCTAAAAGGACACCATGAGGGGGATCATTCCAAATTCTCTCAGGGTCATCAACTTTCCTGTAGTCTCTGCAAAAAGCCAAAGGCCTGCTGGTGCATGCCTCTAATCCCAGCACTTGGGAGGCTGATGCAGGAGGATCAGTACGAGTTGGAGGCCTAAAAGGGAGTTCGAGACCAGCCCAAACTACACAGTAAGACCTGTCTCAAAACAAAAACAAGACAGAAAGCCAAAGAGTCAACTGGTATTAAAAAAAAAATGGTGGGCTTGAGACAGGCTGGTTGCCATTTATGCCTGGTATCACCTGGGCCATAGCTACTTTTTTTAAAATTTTTTTTTTTTGTCTTTTTTCCTTTTTATTGGTACCAGGGATCGAACTCACGACTGCCTGCTTGCAAGGCAGGTGCTTATGCCGCTGAGCTAAATCCCCAGCCCCCATAGCTACTTTTTTGAGTCTCAGTTTTTTCATCTTCAAAGAGAAACTGATATACATCTTGCTTGATATAATTCTTCAACGAGAAAATGGATGCTAAAATGCCTTTGTATACAGGAGGGTTCAATAAATGTTGATTTGAACTAAGGCAAAGATCAGGGAAGGAACTTGGGGTCTGTAGGGAAGATAAAGAGATACGGAAGGTACTCAGGGTAAGAACACATGAAAACAAGAACACTCTGAGGCCAAAATTATGAAAGTCCTCTTGTGCCACACTAAGATATTTCAACTTTCGTGCAAGCAAGAGGGAAGAGAAACAATAGCTTCTTGTTTTCTATATTTCTGCTTTTCAGAGGGTTTATTTATTTATTTGGTAATGTCTAGGTAGTAGGCCTTGAAGGCACAGAAGCAAATGGGTCTAACAGTTTCCTTTAGTTTTGTGCAAAAGTCTGTTAAGTGAAGAGGGAATCAGTTTTGCCCAGGAGAGATAAAGCAGTGGAGGGATTGGAGAGGCCAAGCAAAGGGGGACGCAGGTGCAGGACCCAGCGTTTCCCTCCCCTGTGGCACCTCAGGATGGTGTTTAAGGAGAGTCCAGGAGAAGACAAATCAAACTCACATTCAGCCAACAGATGGCGACCTCTCAGAGGAAGCCTTTGAGCAGCACCCTTCACCCCGGACTTGGGGGTCACCTGAGAGGAAGGAAGCAGGCAGGGGACTTACCTAACTGCTGCCGAAGGAGTCTCACTTCCTTTTCCAGCTGCTCTCTGCGGGCATCCATCTCCCCCTGCAGGGCCTGCTGTTGGCGGCTCATCTCTGAGGTGGGGCAGTGGTCAGTCAGGGATCCACGGAGGATGGAGGCCCAGAGAAAGGAATGAGCTTGTGGGTGTGGACAACGGTCCTACTTGCGGTGATGCTGAGAAGCTGGGAGACCCTGAATCAGAACTCCTGCCCCAATACCAGTTTAGGAGAGCTAGGAGTGGTGGTGCATGCCTGTAATCCCAGCACTTAGGAGGCTGAGACAGGAGGATCACTGTGACTCTGTGGCCAGCCTGGGCTACACAGTAAATTCAAGTCCAGCCTGAACTGCATAGTGAGACCCTGTCTCAAAAAAAGACATTAAAAAAAAAAAAAAAAACCCAGAAAACTGAATCAGCTTAGGATGGAGATTCCACTCACGGGAAAAATGACATAATGGATTTTTGCACCCCACAAGGCATCAGGCAGATGAGATAGACATTCAGGAAGGTCCCTGCCTGGGATGCCAGAGATCTGCTTTTGGATCTTTCCGGATCCAGCCTGTGCAGGGAATGCTGAGACAAGGCCTGCAGGCAGAACCCTCTGTGTGTCCCCTTTTCGCATCCTTGGGCCCCTTGGTTGCCCTCTTCCAGGCCTCTGTCTTTCATTGTTTGACCAACCAACCACACACCTGTAAATATTGCCTTGCCCTCACGTTGGGCCTCTTGCAGTTCGGCTGCCAATCCTCGCAGTCTCTGCTTCAGCTGCTCTTCCGAGGCCTTGGCTCGGCGGGCCTCATCCCTCCACAGAGCTGTGAACAGTCCCAGAGCCACACTCAGAACCGGCTGCAGGTCACCCAGAATCAGCTGCCAGGGGCTGAGTGAACTTTGCTCACCCCTGAAAACCTGGAGGCTGAGTATCTGGCCTGTTATTCTGTTTATCTCTCTCACCCCAAATCCTATCTGCTGTTCATCATAAGAAAAATTCCCTCCCTGTTTTGGTTAAAAAAAATTTCCTTCCTTCTGGGCATAGTGGCGCATGCCTGTAATCCGAGCAGGAAGATCACTGTGAGTTTGAAGCCAGCCTGGGCTACCTAGTGAGTTCAAAGCCAGCCTGAACTACTTTTGTGAGACCCTGTCTCACGGGAGATTTTGGCAGGAGGATCCCAAGTTCAAGGCCAGCCTTGTAGTGAGACTCTGCCTCAAAATAGAATAGAGGGACCTGGGATGTAGCTCAGGGGTGAAGCCCTTGTCTGCTATCTGCAAAGCCCTGGCTTCCATCTCCAGGATGGGGGTGGAGCTTTCTTCATCAGCTTTTACTGCCCAGCCCTCCTCCACAGTCTTTTCCCACTGGTGATGGTGATGGTGATTGTCTCAGACCCACACATATCTCCAATCCTGTAGCCCCTGAGGACACAGAAATGCCCCTGTGCCACCTCTGGTGCCCCCAGTCTTCACCCTTCTCACCCAAGTGGTCTTTCAGCAGCTCATTCTCCAGCAACACCAGCCTGTGCTTGGCCTCGGCCTCCGCATCTGCCCTGGCAAATGGGTAGAGCCTTAGTTTACTGCAGTCTCAGTCGGCCCTACCCCTGGCCTTGCTCCTACGTGAGACCAGAGGACCAGTCCATGAGGGACCTCTGAGGACAGTCTGCTGCCATCACCGCTATCCCCCACCATTCAGCCTCCACAGTGACAGAGCTGTAGGAAGGCACAGAGATAGACAGGACTCAGGGAGTGTGGGTGACCACTTCTTCAGTTTCTCGGCTGTGTTCAAGGCTTGTCATGCAGAGGTTCTCCGCCCTGAGGACCTCTGTGTGCAGGCCGGGACACAAACAAGCAGGGACACTTATTTCCTACCGCCACTCACCAGAACCCGAGTTCTTTTTTTTTCTTCTGTGCCCCAGTTTTTCTCCTTTTTTCTTTGGTCTTAGGTGGCATGTCCTGGGGGAGGAAGGGCTCAGGGTGTAGGGCTGGACACAGGGACGCTTTCCTGACCCCCGGAAGGACCAGGCGTCTCAGGAGGGTCACACTCCACTGCCCACGTCTGTCTCACACTTTCCGGAAGCTCTGGGTCTCCTGGGAACCGCAGGCGGGGCTGGGGCAGGGGCAGGACGGTTGGAGACATCACTCCTCCCATCCCTCCTTTAGGGAAAGTAAGTTCTGGGCCTAGTCCTCTCTCTCCTCCATCATCCTCACCCCCCCCCCCACCAGTGGGATTCTGGATCCCTCTCTCCCTCAGTGTAGGGGTCTCCGCGTGGGGTGCCTCACCCACCAGGAGGGGCTGAGAGTCCAAGTAGGTGGAGCCTAAGGAGAAGCCCGGCCCTGGCAGCCAATCCAGGAGGGCGAAGCTCCCGGGGGCGGGGCCAGCCGGGAAGGCTGGATTCCTGCCGGCTTCTTGTTGTCCGGGCAACTGGGAACCGCGGAGTCCCGGGAGGGTGCAGCCGGCTAGGTCAGCTCCCGGAGCTTGCAGGGGGAAGGTCCTGGGGGGTCCGTCCCCCTTGGCCCCCAAGCTCTAAGTACAGTTGGGAGAGAAAAGGCTTTCTGCTAATTAGCTATGTCTCACTTCCACGTAGGCACTACCGCAGTTTGGATCCGAGATGACAGCGTTGCGCTGACGGAGGAAGAGGACCGAGGGGAGCCATCTTGGGCAGTGCACGTGCCGGGGTCCCCATAGCACAGCGACATTATTAGGCTTGAAACCGAGGAGCCCTTCTTCCCAAAAGCGTCGCACAGTGTACAAGGGAAACAAATGCAGGAACAGATAGTGAAAAAAATTTTTCACTTCAGATGAATGAGAACGGAGCAGTGGGCCCATGGTGCTGACCTGGGGGGACGCAGACGTCAGGAAAGGGGACCACTGGGGGGACGGAGATGGAGTCCCCTGTCCCAGTACGTGAACTGGGGCGAGCTAGTTAGCTTTGCTCGACGCCAGGTGCATGGTATTTAAATCTTTGATTTTGTGATTTCTGACGGTCCTGGGTGTTAGCTGGGTATTCACACGATTATTTTAACTCGGCGATGTTCAGTCTATTGCCTCTGCCCCTGTCTCCCACGTGCTAACCCTCGGTGTTGAGACGCTACCTTGCGAGGCTCCCAGCCGCACCGCGTTGGTGGGGCGCCCCCTAGTGGACGTATTTGACCTGGGTCTCCTGACTTGTTGGTTTTTAAAAAATCATTACATTTATTGGTACATTTTAGGTATACTTAATGGTCACATTCATCATAGGGGATCTGTACCTGTAATGGCACAGCTTGATTCTTTTTTTCCCCACTTTTTCCCTACCCTTTATCCCATCCTCCTTCTCCTCCTTATTTCCAAAAGCGGTTTCCATTTTTCCTTCTTTTTTCATTTTTTCTTTTCCTTTCTTTCCTTTCCCCCCTTCCTCATCCCTAGTTCCCCTTCATATCTGAACACTTTTTTCCTATTTCACAATATCTATTATACTGGCCCTTATTTACACTTTCAATTTCTTACACCAGAGAAATGTTGTGGTATTTACATGTGTGTCAGATTTATTTCACTTAAGAGTATGTCCTCCACAGCGGCATAAGTGCCTGCTTGGCAAGTGTGAGGTCGTGAGTTCGATCCCCAGTACCAAAAAAAAAAAAAAAAAGAGTATGTCCTCCAGATGCATCCATTTAACAAGAAATATCTCAAGCTTACCCTTCTTGATGACAAAATAGTACTCCATTGTATAAAAAGCACATCTTCTGTAGCCATCATCAGTCGATGGGCATTTGGGCTGTTCCCAAATTTAGCTATTATGCACTGTGGCTGCTGTAAACATGGATATGTATATATCTCTGGCAAAGACTTTATGAACAAAACCCCAACTGCATGGGAACTGCCACAAAGAATCATTAACTTGGATGCTTTTAATTCTTTTGGGAAGATATGAAGAATTTTGAGAAATCTTCACACTGATTTCCACAGTGATTGCACCAGTCTATACTCCCATCAAAAGAGGAGAAGGGTTCTTTCCCCCCAAACCCCCGCCAGCATTTGTTATTGGTTTTTTCTCCTTCCTTTTTTTCTTTTTCTTTTGGTCATTTTTGAGACAGAGTCTTGCTACTTGATATGCAGTTCAGGCTGGCCTTGAGCTCATTTTGTATCCCAGGCTGGTCTCAAACTTGCACTGATCCTCCTGCCTAGGCTGCCAGAGTGCTGGGAATACAATTGTGCATCACCACACCCAATTTTTGCCCTTTTTTTGGTACTGGGAATTGAACTCATTGTCGATGTCCGCTCCCGGCCGGCAGGAAGGACACACGACAAAGTCTGGTAGTGGACAACCTTTTCTTTTTATTTTCCTTCTCCGTACAGCCTGCCCTGGGTTCTCCCAGCTGAAGCCTCCTCTGGTCCGCTCCCCGCGGCTCCTTTTGTGCTTCAGTCTGCCCCAAAGCCTCTACCGGTCCGCTCTCCGCGGCTCCTTTTGGGCTTCTACCTGGCTTCTTCTTCCGCCCAGGGGTGGCACCGGTATATATACGGGTACAGTGTCCAATCATGTTAAAGTAAGCAAGGCAAGCTGATTGGCTAACATCATCAGTTGCCAGGCAGACTATATTGTTGAGCGGGTTGTTTACGCGGTAAGCAGGAAACTAACATATTCGATGGGAGGGGTAATCTACCTCAGGCTTTGCTCTTTACCACAGGCCGCACGTCCGCCGCGCAAGGCGAGCTATCACAGACGCGGCTCCCAACATCTCCCCCTATTTTATTTTTTATGAATGTGCGCATCGTAGCCCTTCCTGGACTGGGTGCAGAGGCTTATGCCCTATGTGTAGGTCCACCGTAGGTCCTTGGCTTAGACCCTGGTTGGCCATGCCATGGTCTGCCAAGGCCCTGAGGCCCTCGTCTTTTTTCTAGGGCCAGGCACAAACTGGACGGAACCTGGATGCACACAAGCTTGCACTCATCTCCTCTCCGTAAAGAAATCCCCTCGGAGAGAAATTTAGACCTGGGCAGCATCTAACAGTCCAGCGGCTTACGTGCAGGATGGGGTAGGGCCTGGCTTAGGTCGAGTCGTGCTGGGGAGGCACGCTCTTACCCGTCATTGACTCACCTACCCTGCTGTGTATTGTCACCTTATGGAGGAGAATGAGGGATGCCCGCCATATCTAGACTCGGTCGTGGGCCAATTGAGCAAGCCATGCATATGCCTGAGGATCTTCTTGTCCATTTCGGGCTACCGCTATTTCTATTCATCTTATTGGTTGGTCTGTGATGGATCTCCAGTAGGGCAGGTCTGATCTTCAGTCGAGGGCTTTGTTGCCCGTGTCAGTCTCTCCGGTATCCACAGTGGTTCTCGTCCCGGTTCCTGTGGGAAAACACAAACCGCGCCTCGGTTCCAGCTGACCACTGGATCCGGGCCCATCCATTGTCCTGTCAGGACATCTTTCCACTTCACCCACCCTTTATGGTTGGGGGAAGGGTTGCAGTGCTCCACAGCTGGGGAGCGATTATCATTATTTAAATTTAAAAAATTGTGTGTGAATAGTGCCATGGATAATCGTGCCTTTGGGGCCAGGCCTTGGCCTACTCCCCCTTTTTGTTTTTGTAAAATTTTTTTGAGGCTTCTATGAGCCCTCTCAATGATTCCTTGACCTTGGGGATTGTATGGGATACCATGTTTTAATTGAACCTCCATCATTTTGCAGAACTCATTGAAGGCTTTGCCTATATAGGCTGGTCCATTATCAGTTTTTAATATTTTTGGTTTGCCCCATGCGGCCCAAGCCGCCAGGCAATGATTGATCACATTAGACACTTTTTCACCTGTTTCTGCTGTTGCGAATATGACGTGAGAACAGGTGTCTGTGGAAACATGAACATATTTAAGAGTCCCAAACTCCTGTATATGTGTGATGTCCATCTGCCAAACATCACCAGGGATCAAACCTCGAGGGTTTACTCCCATCGGTATGGCAGGTTTGTATGTGGCACAGGAGTCACATAGTCGCACGATATCTCGTGCATCTGCTCTAGAAACATGGAAATGGTTTGCTAGTGTCCTGGCATTAACATGAAATTTATCATGGAAGGCACGGGCTCGCTCGATTGGTGTTAGTAAGGTAAAAATCTATAACGGGCGAGTGGCAGTATCAGCAGCCGCATTCCCCTGTGCCATGGGCCCCGGCAGGGATGTATGTGCTCTTATGTGGGTGGTGAAGACCTTATGGTGTCTGTTCTGAAGCAATGTCTGGATAGACAGGAACAGTCCAGCCACTGTGGAAGTGGATCTAATTAAACTGGCAGTCTCAAGCACTTGCATAGCATTGACCACATACCTAGAATCGGAGACAATGTTAATGGCTTCTGAGAACCGTTCAAGAATCATTTTAACGATCTGCAGTTCTACCACCTGAGGCTGATCTGGTTTAAATTGTATGGTAACCGGGGGCTTGCCTAGGATCACATAGGCGCCTATCCCCGTCTTGGAGCCATCTGTGTATATTGTAGTTGCTAGGACTAATGGCTCAGAGGCAGTAACCTTTGGAAAAATTATAGGGTGCTGAGTGACAAATGACAAGATAGGGTCTTTAGGGTATTGATTGTTTATATCCCCATGGAAAACACATCTCAGAATGGCCCAGGTATCTATGCAGGCAGCCAGGGTCTTGATCTGGCTGGCGGTATAGGGTACTCGGATGGCTTGTGGTCCTGAGCCAAAATGTTGGACAGCTCTATCATGCGCTTCAAGGGCCAATGAAGCGACTGCCTCCGGGTAATGCTCTATGACTTTTGCAGGTGAGACCTTAGGGTGTATCCACAGTAGTGGTCCTTTCTGCCAAATCACCGCTGTAGGCTGTAGACTAGTCTGTAGCAAACAGACATCAAAGGGTCGCCCTGGTTCAATTCTGTGTAAGGTAGCCCCACCTAAGGCTTTTTCCACTCTCTGTAAGGCAGCTCTTGCCTCAGGAGTGAGCCTCCTGTGGGAGGCTATATCTGGGTCTCCCTTCAGAAGGTCGAACAGGGGTTTGAGATCTGAATTTGGTATATGTAAATATGGCCTAATCCAATTAATGTCTCCCAATAGCTTTTGCATGTCATTTAGGGTCCTAACGCCATCCATCCTAATGGTGACCTTCTGTATAAGTCTGGAGGCGACACTGAGGTCCACACCTGCTGACCCAGGGGTGGCCCTTGTTGAAGGCTGCCACCCTGAGCTGTCCTGTCTCTGGGGCGGGGGCCCGCCTGTGAAGGGGGCCCCCTCTGGCCGTTTTTTGGCTCTCTAGCATCTTGTCCACAAATACGGTTGCCCTGAGCATCAAAGACCGACCTACACTCCTCAGCTTTGTGTGATCCCTTTTTGCATCGCCCACAAACATATGGTTCTTCATTCCTAGGGCGAGGCCTAGCATCTGTATTGTTTGGGCAATGACGTTTAATGTGTCCTGGCTCCCCGCAGGCAAAACACCCTTTAGCCTTACATTCCCCTTCTAACCCGCGAGGTC